TCTTTCGATTGCCTATACATAATATACGCGTAATAATCAGAATAAATTTTTAGAAATGTTTAAAGTATTAATTACTTGCAAAGCAAAGTCAGTGAAGTGTGTATTTATATTAGTCACCTGCTGATCTAAAACCGAAAAGAGCCATAAAATTGTGCGATTTTTCAAAATTTAGGTTATTTTAAAAATAAATTACATTCCTGGGCTAGGCCTAAAAAAAATAAATTTAAATTTATCTAGTTCGAAATTCATTAAATATTCATTTTAAAGACCTGCAAAGCCCGCCCCCTCCCGGGTCCGAAGTTGCTTTAGTCTGGACCGGGCCTATAAAAACATAGCCAAAAATAATTTTTAAAAAGGGAAAATCTTTTTAAAAATTCAAATGAATCTTGGCAGAATTTGAAAACTAAAATCCAGTTTGAGCTTGAAAATGGGAAAATTTTTTTAAGTCCATTCTCGAAATTTGAGGCTCTGATTTATATTAATAAAATTAATTCTTATAAGATTATCACATTTTTAATCAAATTATCAAGAGTGACATGATATTGCTCAAAACCAGCAATTAAGATCAATATATAGTGAAACGTAGCTGCGAACCATTCTAGAAAAAAAAACAGGATTTATTGGGAAAATATGAACTATTATATCATATTCTTAAACAACAGATTAGTTAAAGATACTTTTAAATATATATTTTTCCTACAAATGTATTCGATAAGGGTGCAAAAAATTATTGATTCCATTTTGGAAAATATTTTAATAATGATTAACAAATTCTTCTTTTCTTTTTATTTAAAAATTATTGGCAATATATATTAAAAATATTTACAAACTTAAATATTATTTGATTTTAAAACAATAAACATTTTAAAAGGTTTTATCGTGGATGGAGCAATCATATAATAATACCTAGAGTGACGATGCATTCATTAAAAGTGTACATCAATGAAAACAGCTGGGGACTCCATTTTGGTTACCCATATCAGTATTAAAAATTTTAAACGAGAGGCCAATTTATTTCTATGTCTGACACAAACTTTATAAAAGAATTGCCTGTTAATCGAGACAATGAATCAAGTTATCACTTTAATAGGAGTTTTTAACATGAGAATAATTACTATATGGTTTACCAAAATGGCAGGTTCAGCTGATTTTCTTACAACCACGCTTTCAAATACATTATGAATGCATCGTCAGTCTAGGTATTATTATATGTCATTGGGATGGAGATAACTGAACTAGCCTTCGGCGGGTGCTATTGTTTAATATTAGGAAAATTATTAAAAAATCAAGGTTTTGTTTAGTAAATCATTTTCATCATATAATAAACAATTTAAAATTTTTAAGAAATTTTTTTTTAATATTTCTAAATTTTTCAATTTAAAAAAATAGAGGCAAGACATAAGATAGGGAATAAAATAATTCAGATAATTTAATTTAATAAAATTTACCAATTTAAGTATTTTTATTTTATCACGTCTTCTTTTTTTAATTTGTTTAGATTTTCAAAAATTTTGTAAAATATTTTTAGCACTCAAAAAAATAATTAAAACTTTGGATAATTTATAGATAATATAGAATTTATTTCTGTGTAGTTATCACGATGTATATTATTAAAAAAATGTAAAAACGCATCGCCATATTTGCGATATTTTAAAATTTTATTTAACATTAGAATTGTTACAATCTGAACATGCAATTTAAAATGCATTATTTGCGTTTTAACACACCGATAAAATTTCTCAAATTGGAAACATTTTAGAGGTAGTCTTAAATCATTTCTAAGCAACTTTTAAAAATTCTCGAAAAAACTGTTATGTTGAAAGATAAGTAACAAACAGATTTAATATCAGTTGTTGAAAATTATTATATTTTTAGTAATAAACTTATTAAATGTAATCATTTATTAAAATTATTGACTTAAAAAGTAAATAATAGAACTAAATTAGGATTATCATTAATTTTATAAAAATTCTGGCAACATATCAGTTTCAAAGTCAGGAGTTCATTAACATCTGATCGAGTTTGTAAATTTTTAATAGGAAACTATTATTAGTTTTTTAAAAGAAAAAGCTTTTATACACTAACCTATTCGATATTTTCTACCTAGAGGTCTAGAATATTTGGTGCTAAATGGGAGATCAATTCTAATATATGTTAAATGGAACCTGTTTTCATTTTTGATTTCTTTCCTAAAAGTAAATTTAAAAAATTCATTATCAATATTATGTCACTAATAATTTGTTTTTCTTATAATTTAGCCTTGTGCTCCTGTTCATTACAATGGTTCATTATTATAAGGTTTAATGCTACTAGAAGCCTATTTGGAAAGCTTAAAAAACTTAAATAAGATTGTTCTTTTCTCTCTGTTATTTGGCTCTAAATTTTTCATTGGCAAAATAAATTGTTGATTTTTTTTAAGATTTAGAATAAAATTAACCAAAATGTTTTAAATTTCAGGCTAATTTGTACAGATTTCAGCTTTAGAATTGCCACCTTTAGTGTTTTAAGATTTATTGAAGTCTATTCGGTTTCTTTTAGATTAAACTATATTTTTTTTTTACTTAGACATGAGAATAATTTATTAAAAAGATTATTCAGGAAATATAAATACAATATACGCCAGACTTGTTAACTAATACTCTGAGCCGTTATCCATTTTTTAAACAAATTTATATATTTTATTTAAATAATTCTCTTACCAAATTTTAGGGCTTATAAATATTATTTTCCCTCTAGCATTAAATCAGTCTACAATTATAATTTTTTCTCTTTTTGTCCTATGCAAAAATCGATATATAATTATTATTGTATTAAATGATCCTAGATCAATGACAAATACGTTAAGGTTGTTAAATTCAATATATACCTTCATGTATATTTTTGAGTATTAAAAAAAAGTTGGGCTTATTTTCCAATTTATTCAATGTTCCTGATCATTCCTATTTTAATTCTGAAAAAAAAATCAAAGTACGACTTTTTTGGGTCTATTTTTACAAACGGCCCTTAAAATTTTAGCCAAGATAATACTATGTATGCCTGGAGCAGTGTTGTAGCTAGGAATTTTTTTTAGAGGGGGTATCCTCCTTTAACGGCCTTCGGCCATTTTGCCCAGCTTTCGGCCGGGTTTATCTTAAAAATCATCTTTGTTCTAGAATTATTGATCATTATAATTAGTGTTGTTAAACGGCTCGATTTGAATGCCGATTTTTATAACCAGCTAACTCAATATATTAGCCAAAAAAATATTGCTCACGCCTAAAGATATCAAGAATGATGTCTAAACCTTTGTAACATCCATGAGCAAAATAACACATTTCGACATAACTTTTATAGATATACGTTTCAAATTATTAAACTTTTATAGAAATCAATTTACAAATAAAAGCGATTATTTAAAATATAAATATAATATTGCTTTAATTACAATTATAATATTGCTTTAATTACAATTATAATATTGCCTGATATAAAATCACTTTTGAGTCTTTTGAAAGTATAATCTAAAAGAAAATTTTGCTTTGAAGGGGGTCCAAACCCGAACCCCCCCCCCCCTCCGTAGATACTTTACTGGCCTGTATACTTATAAATAACAGAAAGGTTTTGATCTCTATTTGCAAAATCTTGATTACCTACATAATATTATTTTGGCTTAAATCTTAATCGGGCCGTAAAAAATCAACCCAAATAAATATAATTTTTTTGATAATTAAATTGAAAAGATATAAGAAGATTGGATTTAGGAATTCTTTTTTGGTTATTTAAAGTGGTAGGCCTGGTAAAATCGAGCCAAAGGCTGGCCAAAGAGGTGGGGGGGGGGGGGCTTATAAATTTTATATAGAGTTTTAATAAATTAGATACTTTTTAAAAAATAATAACACAGCATATTTATAAAAGCTAGCAACGCACATAGGGTGCTCAAATAAAATTTTAATCCTGTCGAGCACATTCAAACGCCACTTAAACATATGGGAAGTATTTCAAGGGGAACTTCCCTAGCTTGATACATATTTATGGGTAGGATTCCGAATAGTGAGTATATTTTCTTAGAAATAGGGGTAAATCTGGAGTCGTTACCTCCAAAGAAAGTTTCTCTCTTGTAGAAGTTTGCAGCCACTCGTATTTACTTTAATGCCACCGAAAATAGTATTAAAATATTTACTATTCTAAAGTGAAATGTAGGATTATTTGGCAAAATTATCGAAAATTGGGAAAAATACATATGGGCGAAAATAGTATTAAAATATTTACTATTCTAAAGTGAAATGTAGGATTATTTAGCAAAATTATCGAAAATTGGGAAAAATACATATGGGCGAAAATATTTATGACCAAATGGTATACGATTCTTTTTAAATTGTTATTATAAATATATATATTTAAAAATTGTGGCTAAAATCTTATAAGGGGAAGTCTAAAACATTTATGTAGTCAGTTACTTTATTTTATCTTCCAGCCTGCATAAGGTTCAATATTTAGTTTTAAATTAGGTGGTTTGGGTTCCGGGAAATTTATCTCTTAATAATCGTGTATGTGCGGATATAATTATTAGTTGCTGTGTCTATCGGGGGGCTAATTATTCATTTTATTTTATTTGTAACTTTTTTTTCTGTTCTCTTTTTATTTAAGAACTCTTTATATATGGCGGGGGGGGGGGAGGAGTAATTATTTTGCTTACAAATTTTTTAAAAATATATTTTTTTAAAAATAATTCTTAGATCCAATTATTCTCAGTGTTTATGGGAAGGGGGGGAAGAATTCCTACAAATTTTTTAAATATATTTTTTTATTCTTAGTTCCAATCCGATTATTATTATTAGATTATGTATATATAATATAATTCCTTCAATACAAACTCAATATTATTTCCTATTTCCAATAATAATATATAAAAATAACATCCAAAAAAAAAATTAAAAAAATGAGAGAAACTGCAACCTAATTATTAAAACGCATGCCAAAAATGTTTTGCAATATTTCATGTCAACACTCTTTAGGAAAGGTCAAATTTTCATTCAGTTCACAACGTTAGTCGGTAAATATCCCCCAAAATTTACACGTTTATACAATTCAATGAAAATAACTACAGTACCTACAGGAACTTTGTATTCAACTAATTATAGATTATTTTTTAGTAAACCTTTTAATTAAGATGTATAAATATTTTGTTATAGAAAATGAAAATGGTTATATATCACCTCTTCATGACATTCCATTATATGCAGACAAAACTCGTAATATATTTAATATGATTATAGAGATACCTAGATGGACTAATGCAAAATTCGAGGTAATTTATGGATTATGCTATCAATGTTTAAAAATACCCCCAGATATCTACAAAAGAATATTTAAATCCTATACATCAAGACACAAAAAGTGGTGTGCCAAGGTTTGTTCATAATATTTTTCCCTACAATGGCTACATATGGAATTATGGTGCTTTGCCGCAAGTAATTATAATATGAATTTATTTTTAAATATTTATTCTTCTATAATTAATCATTATTTCAGACTTGGGAAGATCCAACTCATTTGGATAAAGATACACAATGCAAAGGGGATAATGATCCAATAGATATTGTAGAAATAGGATTCAGAGTTAAATTTTAAATCATAATTTTTAATATTTATTAAAGTTTTTGCATAATTAATTTAAAATATACCATGTTTGGAATGATTTTTTTTATAAACAGAATAAGTATATTCTTTACTAAAAACTTTAAATTTAAATATTTTGAAAGATGGTTTATTTTCTTTTTCATTATATAAAATAAAAATAATATACTCTTACTTTATAAATTTTTTAAAAAAATTCATATATTTTTATTTATTTTTAATATGAAACTTTTATTTATATATAAAGGTTGGGAAAACAGGTGATGTGATTCAAGTTAAAATTCTGGGGGTTTTATGCTTGATAGATGAAGGTATATTTATATTTTTATAATAAAATGTAATTAAAGTTGGTTTAAAAATAGTTATGTATAACTTCTAATATTTTTTTTTAAATATATAAATTAAACACTAGCCCTAAACATTTAAAATACATAGGTATATAATATTGTGAAAAATATTAATTAATTATATTTTGTAGATAAAATTAGTAATGGTACGGTTTCTTCAGAAAAGACTACCACTGAAAAATATAAATCTTTGTTTACTATGAGTCTCCAAATCTTTGGTTTTTTTTGTCCATTTTAGGATATGTCCCAGTTTCTTTAAAAAAATTAAGCAAGCTGATTGCAAGATGTTACTGTCCTGATATTCCAAGGTTGAAATAGGCAGAGATATCATGATTTGGCAACTTTTTAACTTATATTCTTGCTACTAAACCTTGAGCATGAGGCCAGGTATTAATCAATACAACTCTTGCAAGAAATTGTGTATCTCATATATGACATTTTTGACCTGTTTCAGGGGCAAGGGTATAGTATATTTCAAAGCTTATTAAATTATAGCATTACACTTAAGCATGAATGTATTTTTCAACCACTACAACATTGGATATGTCTTAGCTTATCATCAATTGTGCTTTTACACGATGTATGTCTAAGGCAATCCTATATAGAAAGTTGAAGATATCATTTAGAAAAACTCGTTTCTCAATCCAATCAAAATTGAAAAAGGGTTGATCGGTAAATATTGCCAAACCTTGTAACCATTGGATTAGCCCAGTTTTCTGGTTGCTGTTTGGGGAAGTTATACATCTGCTTTAACCACAATCTTACAAAGTAAACTTCGCTTATTTATTAGATGATAAATTTTTATATATAGATTGGAGAAATATAGAATTAATTAGAGAAAAAGGTTTAGTAATTACTTTCCCATTTTAAAAATGCTATTAAGTGTATCTGTGAATTTGTATGGCTAAAACAGTCCTCTTTATGGAAACAATCCCAAATCAGTAAGATTCCTGTTAGTAATGCCTTTTTGAAATCAAAGGATTTGGATCTATTGAATTTGGATGTGCTGGCTCAGATTTAATCTGGCTGACATATAATCCTATAGAATTTTATTTAAAGTCAACTGCTTTGAGTAATGTATCTAAAAAGCTCGATTTGGGTCAATTCTTCAAAATGGCCAATGAAGATTTTGGCTAAAATAATATTATGTAAGCATCGAGATTTAGCAAATTGATGTCCAGACATTTCTGCCAGCTATGTGCAAAATCTTTAGGCTTACATCATATTATCTTGATTATAATCTTTATCGGGCATTTTAACAACACTAAGCTATGAGAACTAACGATTCTATAATCAATATGCCGTCATGAAGCAATATAAGGGCATGTTAAATTTGCGGCTAATAAGAAAAAAGATGTCATTGAAAGATGATTGCAGCTAGCATTTAGAAGGAGATAATTTATATTCTGGGGAATTTAAACATGATTCTCGTATGCGTGTTGCAGAATTAGTTACCATCATTAACCCTAATTTGGTAGGTTCATTAAGAAATAAAAAAATTTGACTGATTCCAACAGCACATGAAGAATGTAGCTGTGAAAATATAGTGCAATAAGAGAAGTAGAATGTCTTATGACATAGTGACCTCGTCTCTTGTAAAAAAAATTGAGATGTAAATATTCCTAGATAAAAAAATATTGTTTTCATATAAGTAAAAATACTTTTCAAGCGAAAATGAAATAAACACTTTAAGGTGATACATGAAACGAACATAAAAATGTTTTTCAAGCGTAAATATATATATGGTATATGATCTTAATATAGGAACAGTCTATAAAAGTCTCACCTGATGGCTATGAAATGAAACAAGATGGATGCTTACTTTAGCACAGCCATTTTTTTAAGATGTCTATTATCTCTTGTATTCAACCTTTTTTTTGCCATTCAAATCTAGAGTCATTTTTTGTGGTATGTCATGTGTACACTAGCAGCGTGACATAGAAATTAAATATTAAAAGTGACATCTTTTATATTTTAGCCATAGCAAAGAAAATTTAGCTAGTGCTCTTATAAGTTAGGAGGAGATCTATGACAAAGATAGCCATCTACAATATTTCTCCTTTTGAGGAAATGAATTCTAGAAATTTTATGTGGACCTAATGTCAGTTTCCCATATTCCGTACTTGTGCAACCGCTAGTGTTGTTAAACGGCTCGATTTGAGCCGATTTTTAAAAACGGCCAACTCGATATTTTATCCAGAAAATATAAGTCAAGCCCGAATATTTTGCTCATAGGTGGCACAAGGGTCCAGACATCTAATAGCGAAATCTGGAATCTTAGGCAATATTTCTTTGGCTAAAATATTGGGTGCCGTTTAACAACACTAGCAAAAGCCCACCCACAAATATATTCCTTCAGGAAGTATCAAGTATTGAAACAGCTTTTTTCCCCTAAAATTAGGCGTTGCTCGCGACTTATTTCACCATTACCAAAAATAAATATGACAAGAATATTATCTCTCTTATATTAAAAAAAAAGGTAAGCAAGATCGAAGGTCCCTAAGCTTAAAGTATTAAAGTTCTAGGCGGATATCGCCCACATCTCTTTTACCACTAAACAAATCATATTAAACATATTTAATTAATCTAATTATCCCTAATATAGCAAAAATTTACTTTTTTTTTTAAGCATCTTCTCCAATGATTATATGCTCGTTATAATAAAAAAAACAGGTGAAACCGATTGGAAACTAATATCTATCAACATCACTGACCCTATGGCCGAAAAATTGAATGGTGATCTTAATTTACGATATTTCATTTTATTTATGTATATTATTTTATTTAAAAAAAAAACAATTCACTTACTTAAATATATTTTTAATAAAATTTATTTACATATTAGATATTGAAGATGTCGAGAAACATATGCCAGGATATCTACAAGTAATAAACATATTTTACTTGGAGCAGGTGGGGGGGGGGCTTATTTCTTGAACAGGTTAAAAGTTTTGTTATGGACTTCGGCACTGTCATTTTTATAAATATGCAAATTTTTTTTTTGATCAGATAAAATCTATGATATAAAAGAGTAAACCATAATATTTTTAGAGTACGGTTGAATGGTTCAGGGACTACAAAGTTCCTGCCGGTAAAAATCGTAATATATTTGCCTTCGATAATCAACCAAGAAATAGGGTATAGCAAATTTATACATATATTTTTTTTTGTACTGTTTATATAAATGATTTTCGTGTAAACAGATTGTTTGTTTAAAGTAGAGGTTATAAAACCACCTTTCAACCTTTAATATCTACTAAAGGAGTGGACCACATAATGAAACCTCCATGAATATATTTGTTTTATTAAGCGGCTCGATTTGAGTCGATTTTTAAAAACGGCTGACTCAATATTTTAGCTTGAATGTTAGACTCGAGATTCGCTGATAGATGTCCAAACCTTTGTGCCCCGTAATATTTTTCTGGATAAAATATTGAGTTTAGTCGTTTCAAAAAAATCGGCTCAAAACGAGCCGTTTAACAACACAAATACATACTAAATAAGATACTTTTTCGTATGTGCGTGTAGAGGTTGTAGTTTTTTAAGATATTTTTTTTTCCGCGCATTGATTACAAATACGGCTTCATATTAATTTTACGAGAAAACTTAAAGGGATAATGTTATTGTGGTTTTTAGCTATCTAATAATTACGCCTTACCTCCTACGAAATTTCTACTTCAATGAGATATAAATTTGCGCCCCAGCCCGTCAAAATATTTTAAACAATTCGTCTGGCCTGGCGAGAATATATTTTTTTTTCCCAGGCTCGCAGGCTTGGCTTTGCCAGTCTCTTAGTTTAAAGTTTGAATTGTCACTGTATCATCGGATCTTTGTTTTTATTCTATTATTTATAGTGTTCATTCATATACTTAAAAAAAACGCGTATCAATTAGAGCCTTGTAAGCTGGGCGTCAGCCTATTTTTCTTTATTTTGGGCCAGGCTCAGCCCAAATTTTTTTTGGGATTAATATGAATTAACGGTATTTAACCAAATTATTATAGGTTGTCCATATCCAAACCATAAATTTATTTTGTGTTTGAAACAAAACAATTCTTATATCTTAAAAGTAAGAAATTATAATCATAATTTAAGGGGAGAGCAGTTTTTATAATAGTTAGATAGTATGGGTGGGGAATGGTAGGATAATCATAAAAATGATTGAATTTTGAGTTGGGGAAGGGGGGAGGGTGGGATTACTTTGTTAAAAACGTATATTGCATTTATTCACTTTTTATTAAATGGGGTCTTTTTTTTTAATTTAGGACTTTGCTTTGAAGGTCATACAACAAACTCACGAACAATGGCAGAAGCTGATTAAATCGTCTCACAATGAGGGTGGACTATGTTGGTAATTCATAGTATATTTTTTAGAATATAAATAATCATTTTTGGCAGAAAATCTTAAGACAAGTTGTTTTTTTTTTACGAGATGAGGCAAAATTTTTAATGTGGGATAGGCATAAGCTTGAAATGTCAGATATTTTCTTACCCTTAATTAACCTCTCCTAAACTTATGTCTGCAATCTTCCTTTTAGTAACCATTTATTTATATATTCCTGAATTCCCATTCTAAATATCAATCCGCTATTAGTCACCATATGTGCAGCCAGGATTTTCTTATGGAAGAGGTAGACCTTTTGTTGAGCTTCCCCAAAAAAATTTATTGGAATTAAGCCTTGAGTTGCATTTCCGAGGATTCTGGTTCCAAAAAATAAGTTTGATGTCCCAATACTTTGGTAGTTTTCAATGGGAAAGTGGGGTTGTGTGACCCGGGCAAGGGTTCATCTTTTGTATCAGGGTTTTCTAGGATCCTGCCCATCTTCTCAGTTATTAAAAAACTTTAATGCTTGTCCATCCTGTGATCTGATTATAATAAATGGAATTTGGAAACTCTATGTTGAGCTCAAGATATATATATATATATTACGGTTGGCAAATAAAAATCAATATTTTGATGAAAATATTTATCATAAGGATAAATATTGACCTACATGATTTTAGAATTAAATAAATTTTTATGAAAAATGCTTAATTATTCGATTTATTTTGTATTTCATCGTTTCAATTTTTGACATAATCAATTGTTTGGGTCTCATTGTAGTGAGAAATCATTTAATATTCCAAGGGCTGTGAACCCTCCTAAGAAAAAGTTCTGTTCTGCTTCAGTGAAATATCTTTTAACTAGGTTCATTCAGGGTTTGCAGTCCTTAAAAAAAGACTAAAATTAAAAATAACAGAAATATCAGTTTTTTTAGCATTTACCATAAAAATAATTTTATAAATATAATAATGCAATACAATTTAAAAAATCTATTTGTTTTTTTAAGTTTTATTTTAAAGATCGTTTTTTTTATGACTAACTTTGACAGTGCACTGCAGTTTTTCATGTACTCGAAATTGGTTCTAAGTTTGGAACACACTCCATATGATAAAAATACTCTACTGAAGCTGTCGATTGTTTTACTATGAATTAATGGTCCTGCTAACCATCATTCATTTTTTTTTATTTCATTGGAAAACATTAATTTTATTAAACGGGTCAGATGTAGCTTAGAATTTTATCATGATTGATAGATGAGAGATTGGTTGAAGATATAAAATTAGCCACGTTCCATTGCCACTTAGGTTTCATTGTTTTATTAAATTTGAAACATATTTTGAGGTTAGAAGATAGGATAGGAAATGTGTATGTAAAAGTATTATAATATTGTTAATTTTTCAGGATTGTGGGTTATAAGAACAACACCAATTTATATATTATTAAATCTTTCTTTTTGTTTAATTTTGTCATATAACCCAAACATTTTAAATGTGATTAGATTGATTATTCTATTCGTGTAATATTTTGTTATAAACAATCGATTTATCATCAGAAAAAAAAAGATTTAAACCATATTAATCATAATATAATTGAAGAACTATTCTAGTTTTGAAATTTTTGGTCCCATACTAGAACATTTACAAAAAAATTATTAAGCAAGTGTATTTTAAATTTAGGTATTAACGAATATCTTAAATACTAATATATCAGAAGACCCAATTGGGAAATAACAGTAGCTAAAATTAATTTTATTAGTCAAACAAATGGAATTTTAAATTTGGGATGAACAGTTTTTTCTTAGAATATCATATTAGGTAACGTTTTAGTTAACATTTTTTTTAAAACGGTTGTCACATATCATCGAATTTTTGATTGAAAGTCGGATTTTGATTTCACGAAATATCAAATTAGCTCATGATTTATCAATATATATTTTTTTAAATAATTTCTTGACCTGATCTCCCAGAGCATTAACTTTTTACTTACAAAGAAATATTATATTAAGGTAAATATAATTATTATTTATTTCGATTTAAATCTGTAAATTCTCTAATTTAAATATTTGCTTTAAATCAAGATTTAAATCAAAAAAAATCACTAATTTTGCTAACCCTAATTTATTCTAATTAGGGTAATGCATTAAATTTAGGTAATCGACAATATCGGAATTTATCTATTTATTACAAAAATAATGATATGGATATGAAATATTTAATGAATTTGGATATGATATTTATTAATAATAAAAAATATAATATATTATAATTTTGGAGTCAACTAAAATGTGACTATAGCTAAATAAATCACTTAAGCAATTTTTTTTTACTACTTTTTGCCACTTTCCTCCATATATTTATTTTTTTATCTTATCTTTCTTATTCATTTTTTTTAAATTCTTGATATTCAATCAAGGAAAAATGAAGAATTGGGGATATAAAATAAGCATTTATTCGGGTTATTTGGTTAATAATATTTTATTTATAATGTTAATGGTCTACGGAACTCGAATAGAGGCCTGGGATATAAATTAGGTAAGTCGGCCAATTCTGATCAGAACTATAGTGATAAAACTGTGCATACACAAAATACTACTTCTACATTTACATAGATTGAATCAGACATATTATTATATTCCATCACCCACTATCTATAATTATTATTAGATTATATTATACTTGTTATAAGAATAATTTATAATGCAAGAAATTTACAATAGAAATTAGAATGAAAATAATAGATTAAACCTCATAAAATTATCGGAGATGATGCTGATTATCTTAGATTTAACGTGTAGCACGAGATGAGGGAATAACAAAAATATCTTGATATTTTTTTGATTCCGATAAGGGACTACAGATGTTTCTTAGAAAGGCTCTCTTACCACACATCTTCTCCTTTCCCCATTCTAATTATCCTCTGGTATCCTGTGATGCTTTCCTCCCACCCCTATTTCTTCCTATATCACAAACTATATAATTTTCTCCTTAACAATCTAACTTCTTCTTTTGCTCTTATCTAATTAGCTTACAGTTATTTATTTATTTTTTTCACATCCACAACACGACATTTGATTTATTGCATTTGAGTTCTTTATTTAGTACATAAATGTTTTTAGGCGCAATTATTATTTTCAGTAGTGTCATTAGGGGATCGCAAAGGTTCAAGAATCCTAGAAAACTTTGATCCTAAAATTTTATATGTCCACTCTTTTTTAGCCAAAATTTGACCAACACCACAGAAACGGTTAACCTGACCCAATACGATGAAGCTGAAAAATTTGTCCAGGCTCAACCAGAATTTACCAATACATCCAGACGTGTCGCGTTCCCGAAAGGTTTAAAATGTGATATCATGAACCATAGCGTAGCCAGGATTTTCTTAAGGAAGGGGGGGAATTAAAAAATTATTGGGGGCTTTGCCCCCAGACCCCATTTTGTGGGTTACCTTATCTATATATATAGTCATAAAATATTTTTACAAGATAGGAAGTTAATTTTAATAAAAAAAAATAAGCCTGGAACAAATATGGAATATATTTTTATTAGTTTATATAAAATATAATAAATTACTTGTAATATTAATATAAAAGCATGGTAATAATTTATTTATTTATAAAAAGTAAGGAGACATATAGTTGATATTCCTCTATTATATAGAATTAGTTACAAAATACTAGGTAAAATTCCAATTTTACAGACATATTGACAGTTGGAGAATATATTAAAGTTAATATTTTAACAAATTTTACTAATCAACGCTCTTCATAATAAATATAGCAATAATTTGCATTCAATTATTTAACGCCATCTATTTATTTAAAAAAATGATATTAAAAATTAATCATCCCACAATTTCTTTAAAAGATATTTTCTGATGTCCTTGTCAATATTTTATAGTTTTCATATAAAATATATAATTCGCTATATTGGTAAAAATTACTTGATTGTCATGATAATTGATAAAATTAGATATACTGTAAATCTACGACATATAATATTCCACTGTTTGTATTGTGCTTTTATTTTTTTATTTAATTTTATCAATAGTTTTATAATTATATTTTTCTTTTATTAAGATAAATAAATTAAAATTACTCACTTTATAAAAAATTATATTTGATATTTTATATTATTTACTAATTTTATGGATCTAATAATTATTACATTTCATTTTTGTCTTAAGACTTATCTTTGGCTTATATTCCATTTCTTAAAAAACATTTTTGGTTCGCTTTTTTATACATAAATGCTTTTTTCTAAAAATGTATAAATTATGATGAATAGTTTTATAAAAAAATAACAACTTTTACATTCTTTCTTTCAAATTATTGCTTATGATATATGCACACATTTTTGGGAGTCAAGGAGTGGTAAAAGGACTAAGGGGGATATTTTTTATTAACCTAAAATGATATTCATAAAAAGTGACAAATTTCTGAAGAGGGGGGGGGATTTCCCCTTGCCCCCTCCCTGGCTACGCCTATGTCATGAACGAAATTATGTCTTTTTGCAACCTCTTACGATTTACTTTTATTACCAGAAGATCTTTTCTTTTCGTAACTTATAACATCTTGCTTTTGAAGTCAAAATAAATAATATTGTATAAAGTCTCATGTACGCAGTTGTATTGCTCTAAAAATGATTCCACATCTTTTAATTTTTAATCGAATTCTAAACCAGAATCATTATTATTGAATATTTAATCAATAATTAGTGTTTGATGAAAGGGGGAGGGGGTATACTAGCTAATAGGAGTTTCTCTCGTGGTGATGGTCTTGATAATGTATTGATGATATAATATTTCATGTTGTAAACACTATCGAGTATCATTTATGAAAAAACTTTATTTATTTTACTCAATTTAGTTGACACTTGGTCTTTCGTGAAGAAGGATTGATCGCGAGAATTACTTCTGAGATCGCATTTTACAAGCCTTCCGCGTTACAACAATATTTATAACATTCTTACTTCTACTGGATTAATGACAAATTGATTTGGGTAATTGTGATACGGCATAATTTTTTTTTTGTTATGAGAATAATTATTATATAACTTTTTCTTGTTATATTATATAAACTTGATTAGTTAAATATTTTATCGCAAAAGCACATCGTTGTTAAAAATAAATTTTATTCATAATTAAATATTTTTTTCTGTAATCATTATAATTTTAGAAAAAATTTTTCCTTACAAATACACAATATACATTTACACATCGTTGTTTAAAATAAATTTTATTCATAATTAAATATTTTTTTCCGTGATCATTATAATTTTAGAGAATTTTTTATGTAACAAATTATATCTTTACAAATACACATTATATATATTTACGTGAGTTTGATTTTAAGATTGAATTTTTTTTTGCCACGCGAATAAAATATTAGATTGGTTGGGTTGAATGCTAAAAAAAATATATAAATTGATTATCTTAAAGGCTGTCTCATTAAGCAATTATGGAGGGATTAAAGATGTAAAAAAAACATGCTAGTAAAATATAGTCGCTCGAAAATTTGGTTATTCCATATCCTATTTTTGTCATAAATCAATATTTTATCTACATACCCGGCCCGGGTTGTATATTTTCAGGATCGGTCCAGAATGCTGAAAGCTATATATTTTTCAAATTATCTAATCTCAACTCTCTATTTCATCGATGGTAATTTCCTTTCTATTTCCTCTTCCCCTTTGAAATTTAATATGGTCATTTTAATAATTACCGGTCATTTTTCACACTCTTCCCTGGCATACGTAATTGCCCGAATTTGGGACTGAGAACAAAGGAGAGATAAAATGATACTTATCTATAAAATAATTTTTTCCCACAAAATATATTCTATTTTGAATATTGGTTTTGATTTGATTGAATATCTATCTATCAATAATGATTATTTTGAATAATATTATACTAGAAATATTTTCTAAGAATCGAAAAAGTGGAAAATATGATATGTGTCATATTGTTCTATGATACACAATTTATACATATTTATTTTTAATTTTTATAGATAATAATAGCGAATTAAAATATTCGACCCTCCCTGGGTAACGGACCTGTAGGTCTCTGAAAAAGATACTTGATTTTAATAGTAGTATTGTTAAACGGTTGAATTTTAAAAAAATATTGTGCGATTCTCGAGATTTTGCTGATAGGTGTCCCAAATCTCCTTTTTTTTGCCATCTACGAGCAAAATTTATAGGTTTGTGAAATATTTTTATAGTTAAAGTATTAAGTTAGCCGAATTTAAAAATCATTAGTGATGTAGGAATTAACTTGGGGATTAGATCAGAAAAATATATTTGATAGGGAATTAAACTCAGGGATAGTCATTAAGCCCTGGCGGTAATAAAATAATTTATTTTCTTTATTAATTTAAATAACTCGTCGGTCTAGAATTGGAGTGCTCCACTCGACATTTTCATTTTGAGTTAGAAGTAGATAATTACTAATTTATTCCCAATATATATAAAAATAAAAACCATTATAAAAAATCTTAATTTTTGCCAAAGTTATAGCTCTGTCAATTTTGCGCTATTTGCATATAACAATGTATTTTTTGCTTCATATGCATGGCCTATCCTATTATGTTATTTATCACGTGTTGTTTTCCCTCCTATTTTAATTTTTTTTTCTATATTGAATCGTAAAATATTTTCATTCCATATCTCTATTCCAAATTAAATGTCAAGGTAAATTTTTTATTATATACAGTAATGAAATTTAACAATTTTTTAAATTATGCTTATAATTTAAGATTTTTATGCATTACTTGTTCATATAAAAATTGAAAATTAAATTATAATGAAATTTAACAATTTTTTAATAATTAACTTGCTCATAATTTAAATAAATTATTAAGCATTACTTGCTCATATAAAAATTAAAAATACAATTTTTTTAATAATTTACTTTCATAATTTAAATAAATTATTAAGCATTACTTTCTCATAAAAATTGAAAATTTTAATATTTATAATGAAATTTAACAATTTTTTAATATTTCTAGAAGCAAAGCAAATGAAAGAAAAAGACTAAGGGAATGTGGTGAGGCCTATATCAATATCAAAGGTGATTTGAAAAGAGCAAAGGTGGTTCAGAATGATCATTCTAATAAATGTATATTTCAATGTCATCTAAAAGTTAATGTAGATCAGAGAAAAATTATTCATGAAGTTTTTTGGAGCTTAACTGATGAAGCTAAGGGATCTTTCTATAGCAAATTTATTGTTAGGTCTCCATGTAAAAGAAGGGTAAAAGATTCTTTAAATTATAAAAACTATTCATACTTATATTTTTTTTGAAGTGGAGAGTGTTAAAGTTAGAGTTTGCACCCAGATCTGATAGAGAATATATCGAAAAAATTATTAATTTTATTCATTTTTATTTATTGTATGAATAGAAAAGAAAAAAAAGATATAGTTATTTATTTATTAAATTACATTAATAAAATATAAATAGAGCATTTTGAACATTAAAAAAAAATCATAAAGTGTTATATTTGCTCTACTTGCATTATGATTTTATTAAATTAAATTTTTTGAGCAAAAATTTTTTAAGCTATAATTAAGCAACAAAAGGATAAATTATCTCTGAAATTTTTAATTAAATTGAGCAATAAGTTTTTCCTATAGATGATTTTAAACTTTAATGTTGATTTTCTCATTTTAAACATTTGCGCAAGTGGAGCAGTCCAATTCTAGGCCGACGAATATAGACTGTAAAAATATATAAATTTTTAGTGTTAAAATTTAAAATAAATAAAATATAAAATCCATAACCTACCATATAATTATTAATTATAATTACATTTTGTATTTCATCAATATTAAATCCGCAAGTTGGAGTATTATTATTTTAAACAATAAGATTTAAAATTTTCTTTGTTTTAGTATATTTTAAAATCATATTATATTATTATTTAAAAAGGTGTTTGGCGTGTTTCACATGTTTGACTAAACTGCAAATGCCAAGGTAAATTGCAAATGCTTAGGTGAAAATTTTGAAATTATTTCCTTGATAATTGTTTCTCTGATAATTATCGTATCTAGGTTTCCATTGATATCTATGTACGTTATTTGCTTGCGTATTCATCCCTTTATCGTGATCATCGTATCTCATCATCCTTCTATCCGTATCCATTTGATTGTCTCTCTGCATCTCTATTTGTTTTATTTCCATAGTTTCTTCTTCTATTTTTATGTTATCAATTTTATTAATTATTTTATACGCTTCTTGTCCTCGATTTCCTTTCCTATTTTTACTATCTCTGGTATATCTACACTTTCTATATGTAAAATTTTCTGCCGTATTTCTTTATTGAAAATATTTTTATTCTCTCAATCGCTCTACTATAATACTGAATTTGTATTTATAACTCAACATACATAATCTAGTTACCCAATCACTGAATGTTTCATTTTTTTCTTGTACAACTTCACTAAATTCTTTAAATACATTATATACGATTTGTCTGGATGTAATAGTCTAAATTTTCGAGTACGATTGACAGATTGCTAAACTCTGTTGGAGTACATATCGCTTCTAGTTTCAAGTATTCTTCTTCGGGAAGTTTTTGCGTGAACGCGTACGCCTTCTCCGCATCTGAAAATTAGGATCTTTAAAATTAGTATCAAATTTGAAAAAAACTTCAATATTATTATTATAATTTGGACACTTGATGAAATTATTTTTAACATTTACTAACGGTTTCATTATATTTTATTATATCATATTATATCAATGTTTTATAATTATAATTTATTATATATATATCAAAATACAATACAACTATTCTATATTGTTAGTGTCTCTAATTTCTTTGATAACGTTTCGTCTTTAATATGAATAGTCTTCCCTTATACCAATGACATATACCTTATACATAAATCAATTTTTTATTAAAAATTGAAATTAAATACCATATAATTTTATTTTTACAATGGGAATTTTTTTTTAATTTATGAGTATAAGAGTCAGAAATTAAATCTTGTAGAGTAGTAATTTATTAATTAAACAATAAAGTTATATTAATTATACAAATTTTAAAGTAAAAAAACAATGAATGTCTTCTATAAGCAAAATTAGTTTCTTTATATACACTGAACTTAGAATAATTATTAAAAAAAATTTTTTAAATTAAACAATAGTCTGGATTAACATTATTTCGTCTGTTTTTACAAAAATATTAAATAATCACTAATTTGTATAACATTATTACGTATCCATAATTTTTTATATAAAAAAAAATTATTTAAAAAAATATATTATGAATATAAAATTATCCTGGCCAAGTACCAAGTTATAGAATTTAAAATAATAAAAACTAATTATTACAACAATATTTACCAGCCTTACAACCTACCTAAATTTTATTTTAAGATTTTAAAATTTAACAAGTATATTATGAAAATATAATCTTAGGAAACCAGATTAATTTTGGTTAGCGCATAATTTTTATATTTGGGTGTAAATACAGGGTTTAACTAAACTACAAATGCTAAGGTAAACTGCAAATGCCAAGGTAAACTGCAAATGGTTAGGTAAAAAATTTTGATATATACTTTAGTATAACTTAATAAAAATTATATTATTATTAGATATAATAATAAAAAATGAATAGATATTAATAGTTGTATTTCCTTTTATCTCATAATAAATAGTAAATCCTTTAATATAAATAAATTTAAAATAATTATTGTTAAAGTTGTTTTGAATGTTAAAAATTTTTGTATATTTTCTTTTTGTAAAATAATTTAAATGACCTTTAACAAATAAGGTTCGGACGACCTTTTCGTATTCATTCTTTCTTTTTCGCTTTTTTAAAATAGATTTATATTTTTAAAAACTTATTATACTTTTCTTTTTTGATATGTAAATAATATATATATATAGAATGTAAAAATATACAAATTTTTAGTGTTAATATTTAAAATAAATAAAATATAAAATCCATAGCCTTCCATAGAATTATTATGTTGGCAGATTTTCTTATCGTTATAACCATGATTTTTATATTCGACAATTTTATGATAATAATAAAAAGGATTGGACATACGATTTACATGAAAGCAAAACAATCATTCTTTTACTATATGACAGGCTAGAAGACATTCATTATGCTTACAGACTTATCAATGGCAAGCGATATATAGATGCACGAACCGTTATCAAAGAAATTAGAGACACTAACAATATAGAATAGTTGTATTGTATTTAGATATATATATAATAAATTATAAATATAAAACATTGATATAATATGATATAATAAAATATAATGAAACCTAGTAAATGTTAAAAATAATTTCATTGAGTGTCCAAATTATAATAATAATATTGAAGTTTTTTTAAAAAATTTGATACTATTTTTAGAGATCCACAATTTTCAGACGCGGAGAAGGCGTACGCGTTCACGCAAAAACTTCCCTAAGAAGAATACTTGAAACTAAAAGCGATATGTACTCCAACAGAGTTTAGCAATCCGTCAATCGTACTCGAAAGATTTAGACTATTACATCCAGACAAGTATATAACGTAAAGAATTTAGTGAAGTTGTACAAGAAAAAAATGAAACATTCAGTGATTGGGTAACTAGATTATGTATGTTGAGTAATAAATACAAATTCAGTATTATAGTAGAGCGATTGAGAGAATAAAAATATTTTCAATTAATAAAGAAATACGGCAGAAAATTTTACATATTGAAAGTGTAGATATACCAGAGATATTAAAAATAGGAAAGGAAAATTGAGGAACAAGAAGCGTATGATAAAATAATTAATAAAATTGATAACATAAAAATAGAAGGAGAAACTATGGAAATAAAACAAATAGAGATGCAGAGAGACAATCAAATGGATACGGATAGAAGGATGATGAGATACGATGATCACGATAAAGGGATGAATACGCAAGCAAATAACGTACATAGATATCAATGGAAACCTAGATACGATAATTATCAGAGAAACAATTATCAAGGAAATTTCAAAATTTTTACCTAAGCATTTGCAATTTACCTTGGCATTTGCAGTTTAGTCAAACATGTGAAACACGTCAAACACCTTTTTAAATAATAATATAATATGATTTTAAAATATACAAAAACAAAGAAAAATTTTAATTTTATTTCTTAAAATAATGATACGCCAACTTGCGGATTTAATATTGATGAAATATAAAATGTAATTATAATTAATAATTCTATGAAAGGCTATGGATTTTATATTTTATTTATTTTAAATTTTAACTCTAAAAATTTATATATTTTTAACACTAAAAATTTTTATATTTTTACAGTCTATATATATATATTATTTACAAAATAAATGTCAAATACTAAATACTAATGTATAAATAATACTGCTTATATTTAATTTTTTGAAAGTCAAATATTATTCTTATTCTTTAACTTTTTTGTTCTTAAAGAAATCTCAAATAATTTTTTCTTTTTCACAAGACAAAATAAAATGAATGAAGGAATTTTTTTTAAAAAAAATATAACAAACGTAATAATAATTTTATTTCTTTTTTTCTCTATATATATCTATTTAATTAATGCATAATAAAAAATAATTTTTTCTAATTTTAAAAATAGCAATTTTTTTTATAATATATCACAAGAATGAATGCGCAAAAAAAAACATTAATCACAAATAAAAATTAAAAGAATAAATGCGCAAAAAAAAATTTAAAAAAAATATTAATCACAAAATAAAATGCTTATTTATACAAAATGACTCCACGCTAACACGATACACATAAGAATAAGTTTTTACATATCAAAAAAGAAAAGTATAATAAGTTAAAGGTCATATAAATATATTTCAAAAAAATGAAAAAGAAAGAATGAATACGAAAAGGTCGCCTGAACCTGTTAAGATGTGTAAATAGTTACAGGCGATTAAATTTAATTTTCATGTTTAAATTTTTCTCATTTTAATGTTATTATGCAAATGTTTTCGATTACTTTAAAACTATAACTTGTCTTTTTTTTATATAAAGATACACATTTTTATTTTGATTTTAATACTGTGATTTCAAAGTGAGAAAGCGGTGGGATACGAACCCTCGCCTCCGGGGAGACAGTTCCTGACTGTCTATCAAGATTACCACTCAGTGTAGATAAGGAAACTATTGATAATATAAGTACAGACAACACAAAAAATAAATTATGGGATATTCCGATTAATTTTAATAAAGTATTAGACGAAACATATAAAGACAAAGAAATATTGGATATTATTAAAGACATAAGGAAAGGTGATGGTATAAAAAAAAACAAATCATACGAAAACATGGAAATGGAATTAAGTATTATAAATAATTGTTTGTTCAAAGAAAACAAAATTGTGATTCCTGCAGGCTGAGAAAAACTATGTTGAAGGAATTACACATCGGACACTTAGGTGCTGGAAAGACCAAAGCATTAGCCAAGGATTATATGTATTGGCCAGGTATGAACACGAGTATCGATCTTGAAGTAAAAAATTGTAAATCATGTAATATTTGGGCATCGAATCCCAATTCAATTCAACATCCATGGGTTACTACTTCTAAACCCTTTGAATGAATACACATAGACTATACGGTGCCTTTTTATCAAAGATTTTGGTTAATAATAATAGATGCATACAGCAAATTTCCAATAATAACTCCAGTCAAATCTATCACAATAGATATCACTTTAAAAGAACTTATGAAAACAATCAGTATTTTTGGAATACCGAAAGAAATAGTAACTGATAACGGTACAAACTTCACGAGTTACTTCGATAAATTTTGCAAAGATCATGGAATCAAACACACCCTAACCGCTGCTTACCATCAGCTATCCAATGATCAGGTGGAAAGGATGGTGGGTACCTTCAAAATAAGTATGAAGAGAAATATGGAAAGAGAGAACACCAATTTAGACATAGCTCTAGAAAGGTTTTTATTTAATTATCGTAATACTCCGAACAGCTCAACAGGCATAGCACCGAGTAAACTATTATTTTCACATGATACAAGGATAAAATGGGATCTATTGAAACCAGTGATCAATAAAGAAAAAATGATGACAAAGATAACAACAACGAACAGCATAATAATGGTAGGAGACAACGTATGGTATAAAACATTCATTGAAAACAAATGGGACAAAGGCATTGTCAGTGAAAAAGAGTGAATTATTATACAGAATAGACACTGGTTGTAAAATAATAAGAAGATATATAGACCAAATAAAAAAAAAGATCATGCGAGACAGTAACGGTGAACAACCCGATAAGAAATTTTGGAGGGGAAAGAGATGAAAGACCTGTAAGAGCAAAACGTTTACCGAGTCATTTCAAAGACTATGTAATGAATGTCAAGGAATATAAAAATTATTTGGAAAAACAGATTATAAACAACACGCGATTTAATAAACATTAAAAAATAGAAATAAAAAAAACGCTATAAAAATTATAATAAAAAATCAATTATCATTCTATCATTATGGACCATTCGATATGCTTCTTATTATAATTATTCTACTATAATTCATTAAATGATAATGATAACGAACAAAGAGACGAACTAAAGAAGTATGATGAGACGTTGAGATGATGAATAGGACAGAAATAAGAGAAACTGGAATAGCAAAGAATTACTCAGAGAGAGAGATGTTAAGATGTGTAAATATAAATAGTTACAGGCGATTAAATTAAATTTTTATGTTTAAAATTTATATTAATGTTATTATGCATATGTTTTCAATTACTTTAAAACTATATATACTTGTCTTTTTTTTATATAAAGATACACATTTTTATTTTGATTGTAATCAACTTGCTTCCATTTCCCCGCTTATACCAAATTTCTTTTCTCTTGCTACCAATCACCAACAATCTTACAATTCAACAAAGAAAAGATACTTTCTGTCGAGGGTATCCAACAAGGTGACCCTCTCGGATCCCTTCTCTTTAGTCTTGGAATCAATGACATGATAAAATCAATAAACTCTTCATGTACTCTATCGCTCCACGCTTGGTATATTGATGATGGAATCTTGAGTGGTCCCTGTAGTGAAATTGCCAAAGCAGTCACCATAATTAAAGAAATGGGCACAGCCATTGGACTTTCGCTTAACCAGAGCAAATCTGAATTCTCACTTTTAAATTCTAATGCTCCCAACACTCACGATTTCAAATTCACATCAAGCGTTGAATTAACACATCTAGGATCGCCTGTTGGAGGACACGAGGCAATAAGCACCTTTCTTCATTCCACACTTGACATACTCCTTAAACTGGAGGACATCTTTACACTTCTTCCATCACACAAGTCCTTTTTTTTGCTAAAAAATTTCTTTTTTATACCAAGGATTCTTTACGCACTTCGGTCAACACCAATTTTTAAATATCCTATTCCTCTCCAAACTTACGAAAAAGGAATAAAGGACTTAACCGAAAAAATAGTAAATATCAGATTCAACGAAACCGCTTGGGCCCAAGCAACTCTTCCAACCAAATTTGGTGGTCTCGGCATCAGATCTCCACTTGACTTAACAACAACTACTTTCATATCGAGTAGTCTCTTGACAAAGCCAATAACCACCGCCCATAATTCTAAAGAAGACCTTTCCTTAATCGTGGCTATGGATATTTGGAAAACAAGGATCAATGCTGATTCTCATCCCCCCACAACCCATAAACAGAAAGACTGGGATGCACCAGTGGTTGCTCGCTGCGTTGAAACTCTCTTATCTAGCATGCAATCTACTGACCGCACCCTATTCTCTTCCTTGCTCAATGGTACGGGACATGAGTTTCTTGAGGCCATCCCATCTACCAATCTTCAGCTTCAACTATCCAACAATGAATTTACCCATGCCATCGGCATTCGTCTAAATTGTTCCATCACTCACCCCCACATCTGCTCAGGGTGCAACTCGCCAGTTGACTCGAAGGGTAGACAGTTTACATTGTCGCTCCTGCAATGGACGATTCATCAGACACAAGCAATGTAATACAATCATCCAACATGCTCTGAAATCCACCCAAATTCCTTCCACGTTAGAACCACAGGGTCTTTTTAGATCTGACGGTAAACGTCCTGATGGGATCTCTCAAATCCCATGGAGGAGAGGCCAACTTTTGGTATGGGACTATTCCTGTATTGACCCCTTGGCCCCATCCAACCACGCCATTAACATCCTTGACCAGAAGGAACAACTTAAAATTTCTAAATACACAGAAATAATAAACGATCATTGCTTCATCCCAATCATATCAACCACTCTTGGCACCTTCGGCAAACTCGCCTTAGCATTTTTCAAAAACTTAGGATCACAAATCAGCAAACTCTCAGAAGAACCACGAGAGGGTTTTTTTCTTCGTCAACGATTATCCATAGCGATTCACAAAGCTAATTATATCAGTTTCAATGGTAGCCTTCTAGCCAAAGAGCTATCATAGACAACGCTTACGTCCCTTTTTCATTTTTGTTTCCCTGCATCACACCATCTCCGTTCTTTTTTTTAATAGTATTATTATATATTTTTCAAACATTTTTAAATATATTAAAATTTATTATAATGAAAATTTAAATTATTATACCTTATATTGATAATAAACTATATAATAAACATTTAATTTTTTTTGTTTTGATCTTTTATTATGTAAATATTGTAATTTCAACATGAGAAAATAAAGTTTTAATTTAAATTGTCACAAAAACCTTATTTGTCAAAGGTCATTTAAATTATTTTACAAAAAGAAAATATACAAAAAATTTTAACATTCAAAACATCTTTAACAATAATTATTTTTAATTTAATTATACTAAAGGATTTAAACTCTTTATTATGAGATAAAAGGAAATACAACTATTAATTTATTATTGAATATATCTAAGAATATAATCTTTTAAAGTTATTTATAGAATAAGAAAATGAACCTCATTAAAAAATTTTATCTAAGCATTTGCAGTTTACCTTGGCATTTGTAGTTTAGTCAAATTGGTAAATAAAAACCTTAAAATTAAAAAAATAGTGATGTTTCTTTGATATTTAATTTATGATTTACGTGTTAAACATTTTCCTAAGAAATATTTTGAAAATATTATGATTTGACGAATGCAAGCTCAAAACCGTACTAAATATTCGATCGTTCAAATTAGCAAGTAATATTAATTGAAAAATGTTCATTTTCGGTTTATATATCTATAAATACGTGTAAAACATTATACCAAAAAATATTTTAAAAATATCGTGATATTGCCGATAATCGATTTGAAATGAAACCGAAATACTGCATTGCTAGCGTTATCCATGGAAAATTCTTTATTTTTGGTTTATACGTGTACATTTAGGTGTTAAGACATTAATTAATTTAAACCATATTCATATGACCTAAATAATATCCATTATAAATTATCTTATTTAGCTATGTTTATTATTAAAAATAATATTTATTTGCATCAAAATTTATAGCATTTTACGATTTTTTTTGCCGTGTGTTTTGAACAATCTAAAGAAAGAATTTTCAAGACCATTATTAATTTTTTTAAAAAAAAAATCTTGTTAATTCTTCTGAACTGTAACCTCCAAGATATTTTGCTTCTGAAACAAAATCAAACCCCTAAACATAACGATTCAGTTCGCTGTAAAATAGGCTTTCCAATCAATTAAAAACGAGAAGGAAAAGAACATGAATCACGAAAAGATGAATTTGTTGATATAATATAAAAGAAAATCTAGGGGGTGGGGGGTAGAAAAGGAAAGGGATAGAAAGATAAGGAAAATAGATGGCATCCATCTTAGTAAGCCTAAAACTTCATATTCCAAAACATATCCCCCACAGAGACTGATGCTTAAAGTTGAAATTGTAATAATAAGAAAGCGTATCCTTACCAGTGTTAACAAACATTCATTACTTTTAACTAGTGTTGTTAAATGGCTCGATTTGAGCCGATTTTTTAAAAACGGCTAACTGATTATTTTATCTACAAAATATCACGCGAGCCTGAAGATTTAGCCAGAAGACGGAACAAAGGTTTAGACATCTATTAGCGAAATCCATATTGGTTTAACCGTTTTAAAAAAATCGGCTCAAAACGAGCCATTTAACAACACTATTTTAACCATAGTATTTTTGCATTATTCCATATTCGTATGTATAATAAAAACATTATTCGATTTGATTCGTCGAATATTCGATTCGAAAAATTAATTTCTTTTAAAATATTTTCAAAACCGGATTATTCAACATTATAAAAAAAAGTCATTTTTTGGTGTGGAAAGATTCATAAGGAAATGTTAAATAATTGTAATTTAAGCGAATAATATATTATCCTTATACATTTGTGTTCATTAATACAATGAGATATATTAATACATACCTAGACTGACGATGCATTCATAATAATACGTTTGAAAGCGTCGTTGAATGCGAATCAGCTGGACCCGCCATTTTGGTAACTCATATATCAACTATTCTCATGTCATAAACTACTATTAAATGGATAATTTGCGCGTCAGACATAGGAATAAATTGGCCTCTCGTTTAAAAATTTTAATGATATGGGTAATCAAAATGGCATCCCCAGCTGTTTTTCACTGATGTGCACTTAGGTATTATTATGTCATTGGTATAATTAGGTATACTTTTTAATTAGAAGTAAAAAATATTTTTTAAAAAAAAATACAAACGTTTATGAAAAATTTTTTTTTTCTTCTAAAAATAATATTAGTCAAAATATAATACACAATAAAATCTAATATCAAATAAATTAGCTATAAATAAAGATGCGGTTTATAAAAGCTTATTACTATCGATATACAACAAAATCAATAAAATTATATATAAATAAATAACAATTATCATATCGTTGTTATAAAATGATCTGTATTATAGGCAATTACTATGATTGGCGTAAACCTTATAAAAAATTTGTTATATCCAAAAATATTATACTACTATCCATCAAGATGTTGAAAATAATATTAGAATAAAGGCATATAATATAATCTTACTGTAATATTATGATAGATACAAATATAATAATATATAAATTAGTTTTATATTTTGAAACGAGTAATGATATGAGCGAATAGTGGAGCAAGCTTATTACTACTTAAAATATGGTTTGGAATCATGCTAAATTGATAGGATTAGTTTCTGTGTTTCTCCGATCCTCTAAAAATTGTGCATGTTTGGCCAATAAATGTGCACAATCACTAGTCGTCAATCTTTTGTCCGTATCTTGAATCAAAGGAATGTTGATGTGTTTATTTTTGAGGCGAATCTGATACAAATATTAAATTATGAATTAACCTTATATTAGTTTAGTACTTTATGGGGGTTTATCCCCAATCTTCAGAAAATTTATGAGCAAGAATAGATTTTTGTGCCAATACGCTTTTGTAGTACCATTGATTTTGATAATTATTTTTGCTTAAAGCTGCGACAGTATTTTGTATATTTTCTTATTATCGTTTATTAACGTAAAGTGTTTTTTGTATATAAGGTATATTCTGTTCAATTGATCAGGGAAGCAATACCAAAATAAAGTTACTTTATAATTTTAATAAAATTTAAAAAGAAATGAATAAAATTAGTAATTTGGGATATCCCTCCAATTAGATTATCGTAAAAAAAGCTAAACTGGTGTGGACGCAGCACATACAAAACGTTAGGTATGCTGTACCTTGCCCAAATAGGCTTCGTGTTGGCGGATTTCGGAGGCGGCATAATTGGCTATAGGGACAGCCCTGGATTGAGCGATGTGGGCTAAGCCCTTTTCTACGTAGTCGCGAAAAAGTTTTGTGCTGGCCGCCAGCTTGGTCTCGATATCGACGAGCGGGTGCGTCAAACGAAAGTCGTATAGTGCCTCAAGACCAGCGCGGCTCGTCTCCCGATCTCCGATCCTAACAAAAATGGCAGCTAAACGATCTTGATCTGACTTAGCCAGTTGAGAAACTGCGACTAATTGGCGAGGTTTCTGGTCATCTCTCGATGCTGGGTTATCTATTCCACTATAAACAAACATAAAAAAGGAAATACAAAAATGTTTGTATAGTGCTAGTGCTCATCCTATAATTACGTAGATTGACACTTAGACATCTGATAAAAATAAATATTCTGATCGATTTATTAGGGTTGTGGTGATATTAAATATTGTATCGAGGGCCAATATTGCCGTTTAAAAAAAAATCATATTGAATTGATATTTTTTAAAAACCAGACCAGATTCAATGTTATCATTGTTTTTGGTTATCTTATGATTTCCTAATGATATATTTCTTGTTAAATCACTTGCAAGAGAAATTAAAAATATTTAACCAATCACATTCAGAATACAAATTTAAGTTTAATATAAAAAATACAGATGAGACTATTAAACAAACATTTTTACTCGAGAGTAACGTTTTGACCGTCGGAGGCATATGATTTGTTTATATTGTTGGAACTTAAGTTAGAAATTCCATTAACATTATTAACGCCAGCAGCGTTGGTTGACCTCAACACTCTGGATATGTAACTCGTTAATTCGGAATAGTCAGATGAGCCTACGTTACCGTAATCGATACAATCCAAAATAGCCTTCCCTTTACATAAGGTCAAAGAATGAACGAGCGTTTTTATGGTACGAATTGGGGTTTCGTTGAGTGGTCCTTTCGAATTGTGTCCACCTTTCCAGAAAGCGTTGGGAAAACAGGTCATGAAAGCGTTGCACTCTTTTAGAACGGCCCCGCAATCCAAAACTTCTATGGTTCTGGCTACGAGCTTCGTCCCTTTCCACACGCACTTCATCGCGAGGTCTAATCGCTTGTCACTGGTTCCTTCGTCAGAGCGATTGGGCTTAGTAACACAAATGAAGCATTCGCGAAATAGGTGAAGTATGGCACACATGACGGTTGTGGGCTGTGAATTCTCGATAATCTTCACGATGAGCATGTTTATCTTGCGGCAAATACCAGGGCCCAGAGTTGGTGATGCGTTCAGTCGTTTGTCAACTAAACCGGAAATAAGCGTTTCCACAAGCGAGACCAGTTCGGGTTCAGACGCCAACCCACCCAATTCCGACCCCAATTCACCCTTAACTGAATTAGTAAATATAAAGTCGAGGACGTTCAAAAGACGATAGTATAAGTGCGACAATTCTTCGAGCCCCCCATCGGCCATGTCGGTCAGATGGACCCTGTGGATGAGAGTAATTTGATCAATCACCGCAAGCAAAAGGAGGCCGAGTCGCGTTTTGACCGCGAATATGGATTTGCGCTTTAACAATTCTTCCAAACCCTGTAGAGCTTCCATGCTGTCAGCAACGGTCTGACTTTCTCTGAGTCTTACTATGGCGTTGTCCGCATGATTAAAAGAGCCTGGGATGGGCACCGATTTGATTGTGCGTGCAGTCGAAATATTAGGAGTTAAGGCAACTGAACCTGAAGATATCATACTGGGACGAGAAGGGTCGGCATTATTCCGATGTAGAAGTGTTTGGGGAAAGACAACGGGTTTGTACAAGAGTTCGTTCATTTCACTCGTGTCTTTGAGGTTTAAGCGACGCCTTGTATCTAATCCCAGAGGACGAAAACTCGTAGGCGCATCTTCTGAGCTACCCGGACTTCGCAGAGGCATCTTGGTGACCTTTTCATTAGGAGGAGACACGAACGTACTATCACATTTGGCGGAATCATCAATGCTATTATGCGACGTCACAATTGATCGGGATTTTTCACCTTGTATATTTATTATAAACATTTCAAGTAAAATTTATAAACTTTAATATAAAAATATCGGGTGGGCCTAAAAAGTGCCCCTTTTCTAAAGCTACGTGAAATGAAAATGGCAATTTATAAATATATTTTTTTTAAGTAAACATATTTACTTTTATTTTATTTTTAACAAATTTGGGGTAAGTCAGTTGGGCCATTTAAAATATATATAAAAATCTTTTAAAATTGGGTGCAAAAAATAAATAAATATCAGAGGGCAAAGAAATGCTCTATGTTTGCCAATCTAATGATCAATCCGTTCCCTATCGTCCCATAGTATCGAATTGGGATTATGTTTATACCTTTAAACAGGTGATGATCATTTACAGCTTAAAAACGTGATTTTTTTTATAACAAAAATATAAGCTTCTTACTGAAATGACTACGCCTAACCATTTTAGAAGCATAAAGACTATAATAGCTACACAGGTTACTACCCATGTACAAATAAACCATGCCACGGACGATTTATTTACTATGTCTAATGAATGCACGAGTATATAATTGATAAATTTTATAATATATTATAGATGCAATCTGCCTTCAAAATTATTTTTTTCAATATCTATGATGAGCCTAAAACTCCAGTTACCTATGCAACTGTATGATGCCAAAGTAAAACCTTAAATATTCTTTTAATCTATCTATATTGTGCAAATGTAGGTTCTCAAACTAAATCATTTTATATACATATACATCATAATTATCATCCTTTAATTTACCATTATATTAAAACTTCCATTTCCTATGCAAGTATTGGATGTCATAGTAATACACCAACATTAAAAGTATTCCACATTTGATATTTAAACCTTGCAATGACTATTAATCCAAGTGTTTTCAGAACAAACTAAAAAGTCGTATATAGAATAATCCAAAAGATTCAGCATGTATTGTTAGTTGATTCATAAAGTATGGCACATCTCGTTCTATTAAAAAACGGAATAGCCATAATAATATGGAAAATTTTCTATACATAATTATTTTGTATATTTAGCCTGGTCATACCTCATTGCTGAATCCGCTTAAGCACACATTAACAAAAACGAAAATAGCAGCCCTTAACAATAATTTTTGGAATTAAATATTCTTTAGGGCTAAATATACGCCAATTTCAAAATCAATGGTCGCATATTGTGGAGAAAAAATTTAAACCTAAAGTCAAACAATAATATTTTTAAATAAATTTAACATATTTATATAAGTATTTTTATGTTTATTGGGTAATAATAAATAAACACATAGAATTAAGGTATATCCGTCAAATCCATTATGGGACGGACTCACCCCCACCACCCCATTCTAATGCTGATATCACATTGAAGAGCATACATCAATCATGACTGGAACAAATTTTTTAGATCATAGTGGAGAAGACAAAAAATTATTAATATTTTCTACCAGATCTCTTCTTTCACGCCTTTGTTTGGCTGAAAAAAAATTTTTTTTTGAGTGGAACTATTAATTCCTGCCATAAATTATTTCATCTTTTATTTGACCATACCTTAATTGTATGTATTTATTATTACCCAATAAACATAAAAATACTTATATAAATATGTTAAATTTATTTCAAAAAAAATTATTGTTTGACTTTGAGGTTTAAATTTTTCTCCACAATATGCGACCATTGATTTTGAAATTGGCGTATATTTAGCTCTAAAGAATGTTTTCTCAGACATTCTTGTTGAGGGCTGCTATTTTCATTTTTGTCAATGGGTGGTTAGGCGGATTCGGCAATGTGGTCTGACCATGCTAAATATACAAAATAATGATGTAAAAAAAATATTTCCGTATTATTATGGCTATTCCATTTCTATTAGAACGAGATGTGCCATATATTATGAATGGACCTAATACAAGATGAATTTCTTGGGTTGTATTCAATATACGACTTTTTAGATTATTTTGAAAACACTTAGATTAATAGTAATACAAGGTTTAAATATCAAATTTGGGTCATTCCACGTCAAATCGACCAAAAAACGAGATTTTCAGACGACCATCTTTAAAATGAACGAAACTTGGCATGATAAGTTTTTATGTTGTATATGTTAATAAATTTAAAAATTTTAAAGTGATAGCTATATCAGATCCAAAGATATAAGTTTTCAAAGAAATCGCGCAATGCGTGCTAATTATATATCATTTTATATAAAATTTTACATTGAAAAATATCGAAAAAAAAAAAAAATTCCTATTCTTCTTATTTCCGGTAAAAATAGAAAATTAACATTGTTAGGAAGGGATTATTTTGGGTGTTGATATTCTCTAAAAATGTTCATTACCTTTTATATCAAGCGATTTATAAATCTCGATGGGCATCGATATTGTAATTTTATTTGGATTTTTGTATATTTATATAAATAAAAAAAGATAATATAGATGGCGTTATATTCAAAAATCATAATTTTTTTTAAATAAAAATATGTATCATATTGGTATTAAAATTTAAAAAATCGATTAAGTAAACCAATATGATGTTCTGGGGCAATAAGTAAGGAAGCAGCCCATAAAGATATGATCATTAAGACGTTATATTGTAAAACAATAAAAAAAATTTATTCCAACTATTATAAAAACATATCTGCTCTTATTAATAGAAATTCCTGAGGTCATATTTTGTAAATATATCCTTTCACTTGTTGTGTATATACTATCATTATTTTTTTTTGAATAATTAATTCAGCAAAAAACCAAGTAAAATATATTACCACTCTGACGTATCAGCTGCACAATATAAAAACAAATTTTTTTTATAAATCTGTGTTATCATGAATCAAATTTTGGTGTAGCAGCTGAATAACATTTTTCAACTACATCCATTGGAAAAGGTCCATGTGACGGCCTTGGCGGAACATTAAAAGATTAGCAGCACGTTCAAGCCTTCAGTGTACCAGTTATGGATACATTTTAACACCAGTTGATTTAAAAACAATACATACCATCAGCAAATTTTACATATATAACCAACAAACAATACAATTTAGAAGAGATTAAACTACTTGAAAGATTCAATTCAGTTTGCCCCATTCCAGGAACTCGGGAAATACATGCTGTATTTCCTTTGAGTTTAAGTAAAAGTCAAAATTGTATTCATATGAAGAGGACTTTCAAATAGACGATATCTCAAATGCCAATCATTTCTTTAGCTGATATTAAAGGATTCGTAATATGTGTTTATGACGATTTTTGGTGGTTAGCCACAGTAATAAAAAAGAATGAAACTACTTGAGATATATATTTCCTTTTTAAACCCCATGAACCATCACCATCCTTCCTTTACCCCACAATTGAGGAAAAGATATGGTGGCCCATTACAATTAATAACGATTATAGATCGCATAACAGTGATAGGACGTACCTACAAATTATAACCTAAGCACAAAATGGGGTTTTTTTATAATTGTTTGTATATAAAATTTATGTTTATTTTAAAATATATATCTTTCTAATAACCATATCCGTATGGGCTACTTCCTTACTGTATTTAAATCGATTTTAATTTTAATACCAATATAATACGTTATATTATAAAAATCTTTTTGATATAACGCCCTCTATATTACCTTTTTTTATTTATAAAAAATGGCTATCGAGATTTTTTATTAAATCGTTTAATATAAATGTAGTAAACATTTTTAGAGAATATCAACACCCCAAAAAATCCCTTCCCCTAACTGTTATATTATATTATGTTATGTAATGTATATTATTTTCGATATTATAATTATATATAAATTTTTGTATTTTTTTGTAATTTAAAAGAAAATAAAAATATTTAGTGTGTGCGTGTCTATTTTTATTTAATAAATTAAAATAAAAATCAAGGTAAAGTTGGTTAACAACATTAAGAAATATAAAAAGTAAAAATTCTAAAAGATGGGTCTATTTATTTAACTAATTAAATAAATTAAACTAAAGTTCTTTAACCAATTAAGAATATATATATAAAAAAGTAAAGGTCCTAAAACTGACAATGTTAATTTTTTTTATTTTTACCGGAAATAAGAAAATAGTCGGAATATTTTTAAATTTTTTTCGAAAATTTTCCAAGGTAAAATTTTTAAGGGCTATAAAATGATATATAATTTGTAACTCTGTCTTAAGTATTTTTTTAAAAAAACAAGATTTAATGAAATAACGCACTTCGCGATTTTCGACTTTGTGAAGGCGTATATCTTTGGAGAAAATTTTGATTTTATTAACATTTTACAACATAAATAACCAACATGCCAAGTCTCCTTCATTTCTGAGATGGTCGGCCGAATCGCTGGTCGATTTGTCACGGAATTACCCATGCGGATACACTTTTGATGTTAGGGGTAGTGTTGATAAACGGCTCATTTTGAGTTGATTTTTTTAAAAAAACGGCAACTCATACGCGAGCCTTAAGATTTTGTTCATGGGTGACACAAAGGTTTGAACATCTATTAACGAAATCTCGAAGCTTCTTGGACAATATTTTACTGGATAAAATATTGAGTTAGCCGTTTTTAAAAATCGGCTTACTTTGAGCGGTTTAACCACACTAATTAGGGGGTGTTCAGGACAAATAATTTGGCTACCCTAACATTTATCTTTTTTTTTATTGACATTGTAAAAATTATAGAACAGGACATGGATCTGAAATTATTACAGTTAGATGATGGAAGGAAAGTTATGGCGAAAAGAAAAATATAGCAAAATAGAGAATAAAATTAGGGAAAATATATTTCTTTATTAAGGGTGTATATATATATACACTCCTATGTAATATTTAGAAAAATTTTCCAGATATTTGTATTCAAAGAAGTCTAATCACATTTAAATTTTTTTTTAAACTACAAACGTCTATTTTGAAAGATGATCTAATAAGTTTTTTTTAATGAAGATCATTTTCTAAATATTTTTTAATAAATTCCCGCAATTAATAATGTAATACAGCCCTCCCCATCGTTTGGGCCAGTTGAAAGTGCCGTGAGCACCGTTCTTGTTTTTTAATCAAAATTTTGAAAAAATCAATTGTCTATTATCTATATTTTTTATGTAACAAGTTACACGTTACTTTTTTAATAAGGTAAAGAGTAACTCCTTTATTTCAAAAGCAAACATGTTTCTTTTTTTTTTGAATTAAAGTTTACAGAAATAAATAATATATAATTAGTAAATCAAATTAGAATCGTTAGAGAATTATATTTTCATGACTAATAATGTAAATCCTAAATTTAAGGGCTCTTATAGAGGACATTCATTACATCACATATCAATAAAATCAATATATTATAGTGATAGCATGTCAATTAACGTCATTCGTTCGCGAATCAAATTGTACACCATCACTTAAATTAAAAGAGTTTTTTATAAAGTGAAAGGTTTGCAATGTTTTAAATTGTAGCCCGCTATTGTTTCGCGTTTAAAATTTTGCGCGGTTACGCTTTATTTAATAATGAGCGGTTGTTATATAACTCCTTGTAATCAAAAAAACTCGAATCTCATTAAAATGGAGTCCCGTTATGGCACTGAAATGGTGATTAGTAGTTGAAACGATTTGTGGTTAATATATGTATTCCAAAAATATTCAATTGACAGTTCTAAGTGAAAAAAAAAGGTTGGGAAAGTGTTATAACTTAATAAAATCTTGAGATATCTAAAACATTTATTAAAGGAAGTAACAGTGATATTATAATTTATTGAAATTCATTGCTTAAAAAAAAGAATTATTATATCAGTACTCGCAATAGAAGGAAGGTATCATTTTATGTACATTTAATACTTTAAAAAAATTGTTTATATGCTTATTTTTATAGCAAAGAAATTACTCTAAAAGAGAAAAATAGAGTGTCTTATAAAGGGCTCTCAAATTCCCAACAAGGGTTATTTTAGGTGTTCATTATTGCTAAATAAATTATATAAACTCATCTAATGTAAGGTTTTCGCAAGAAAACTTTATTTTCTCAATGAGATAATGTGACATGTCAAAAGCAATGGCTCGCATTAAGGCCTAAATTAAATCTAATAAAAAAATATAATATCTGAGCTTTGATAGAAAAGGGGATAGGCCAAACTAGCTTAAAAATAAATGCGATCTGATAAATGGGTTCAAATATCTGCGGAAAATTTTTCAAAAAAGTTAAAACTTGATTCGACTTTGCTTAAAAGAATTAAGAAGCTCATTAGCAAAATGGGATAGTTTTTGTTAAATGGATGGATTTTTAGAAAACGGCAACGATATTTTAGTCAAAAAATTATTATGCAAGCCTAGAGATCTTGCTCATAGATGACATAAATTTTGGACATGTATGAAATTTCTAGGCTTTGCATAATATCAATTTGGGTAAAATCTTAATCCAAAATTAGCTAAGTGGCAGATTTGTCTTATTTAGACATTCTATCTAGGTCATTATACCTTATAAAAGTTAAATTTAATGTACTCAAGGATAAATTATAAAACAATGTTAAGGGAAAATAAATGGATTGAAACTATTGTAGAAATTTCAATAATACTAACGTGAATATCTATTCATTTCTATAACAACTTAGAAAAGTTTTATTTAAAAATTGAAAACTACCTTGAAAATGCTTGGCTGATGTATTATCGAAGCTTGTGGAGTGTTGATCTATAGGTTCGTTTCTGCGATCCACAAAGGTTGCGTCGGCGCAGGGTCGTGGAGGAAGAGCGGCCGACATTTTGCGAATCTTCTCTTCAAAATCAGTGGAAACAGTGGGAGGCGTGTGTTTAAAAATTGCGTTGCCGCATATCAAGTGCAAGGATGCGAGAAGGGCAAGAGAAGAAGAGCGCGTAGCCGCATCGCGGTCGTTAAGAAACGCGGCAGCACATTTGACCGTAGCTGATAGATGAGAGGCCGTGCCGGGGTGCGCGAGTGCTGAGCGAGCCCCAAAGTTGCGGACATTTCGCGCGCATTCTTCCATTGCATCTTGCCGTTGCTTGGCACTCTTGGTGGTTCGGATTAAATCCAGTAAGTGAGGCCAAACGCGCGAAAGCGGATAGGCGCGATAAACGGCGAGCAAAGTTGAGTGGACTTGCTTACGGAGAAGCTCTTTGGGATCACCTAACCGGGCCACCAAGTAAGGTACAAACCCGGAAGCTTCGATTTCATTAAGTGCCCGAGTTCCAATCCCAGCTACTTTGAGGGAGGGATCTTCTTGATCAAATGGACAACCTACAAGTTCAACAAATTATATGGAACCAGATATGGATTATAAAAATACCAACAAAAAAAATATATAGTTTATTTTGAACAATTGAATCGAAATATCCTATCAAAAATATAATAAAGATATAAGACACTTGTATCTTTTTGTTTAACAAGGGAATCTTAGATACAAGAATTCCTCTTTTTTTTTTTATCAAGGATTATTATTTGCCAAAGAAAATATCTGAATTTATAAATTAAGTTTATATTTAATACTAATTCCAAATAAAATATATTCATAATTAAACAATGGATTAATATTATCGACATTATTTAATTATAAAGGATTAGGTCAACAAATTTTAGATCGATTTATTTAAGTCGATCCAAACAGGGTAAAACTCTGGTCCCATTTGGTTTTCTAAAATTGAATTGCATGCAGCTAAACCGGCTACTTTTTGAAAAGGACCGTTTGATAGACTCCTCTCGTCCCTAATCTGTTATTCATCATAACCGAACAATAGGAATATAAATCATTAAGATTTTTAATAACCTTCGGCCATCGATTCAAGGAGTCGCACGCAAAATTCTAGACATTTTAGCAAGAGTGTGGTGTTGGTTTCAAAAAACTTGAGACTTACCCATTTGAGGAGCAAATCGGAACAATTAAATAAATGCTCGATGACTTCCGTACCATGTGATCCCTCTGAGTTCATAATGGCTATGAGACTGTCGAGAGCTTTGATATGAAATCTATCAATAATAAAAAAAATTATATATATATATATTTAACAACCACCATTAAGAATTAGCATAATTTGCATTTTATAATCTTATTTCGGCACACCTCTCCTTCTTCTCTTCCTTCTCTAATTCTATATCTTTTATATATAACCTAAAGTCGTGGTGAAATAAATCGCTTTTAAGAGTGTTCCCAAACACCGGCTCCATTTGATCACGTAGTGCTAACGCGTATTCCGGTTTGGGAGATTGAAAATTCCACTTTAAGCTTTTGCAAGAGGCTTCGTCGCGCAGTCGACCCTCTTTGGCTTGTTTCGTAGCCATTTTTGTGAATAGGCCTTCGCAACTGCTCGTTTCTTTAGCGATGCCAAGGCGAATCGGGGCAGATCCGGCGTTCACGGAAATAGGCGTGGGAATATTAGAAGCGGTAGACGAAGGGGGGCTTGTACTAGACGAAAGTATGGCTTCTTAAATTTGTTGAAAATAATTTAGTGGTAGAAACACAAGTGACATTTAAAAAAAATCGATTTTCGGGGTATATCAGTTGGGGAATTTCAAATCAAATCGATAACTTTACGGCACGACTTTTTTATTTTAATAATATTTTGCAGAGTTGTTAAAAGATACTTTTTAAATGGATCTAGATACAGATACATAGTCTCAAAAGTTATCTAGATACAGATACAGCGTCTAAAAAGTTATCAAGATACAGATACAATTTTTAAATTATGCTCTTATAGGTTTGCATAAAGCTAAATTAATATTATATTGTGAAAATTCATGAAATGAGCTAAAAAATTTATTGACGCGATATATAACATTTATCAGAATATAACTAAAATAATGATTTTAATATAATATATGAAAATATATGATTAAATAATTATAAATAATTATTAGATTTCAGCAGAGTTGTAAAAAGATCTAGATACAAGTATCTAGATATAAAAATGTGGTATCTGTATATGTATCTAGATAGATTTTTGATTAAAATATCGGTATCTAGATATTTTTTAGACGATGTGTCTGTATCTAGATCCATTTAAAAAGTATCTTTTAACAACTCTGGATTTCAGTAATAAAATACTTTCAAAATTTTGATCATTTAGGCATCCTCGTTTATCTGTAAAGACATTTTTAGCAACACTAAATAGTCTTTCAACAGGGGCGCTTGAAGGAATTGTAGTGTTATATTTAATAAATAACAATTTTATATCAGGGTATTCTTTAAAAATGCTAAAATCTCTACATTCATTTTTGAAAAAATTATTTAAAATTTGTTGATTATCAAAATTTAAATCATTATTAGAAATTATATCTGCTGTAGGGTACTGAAAAAAATCTGAAATTAAATTATTTATTTTTTTTGGCAGGTTATTTGCTTGCAGTCAGTTGATGACTTTGATAATTCACCAGCTTATCTTTGTATCAATTGTTTTTATTATTAAGATTTTCTTCCATTTGCAACCATATCCAATCAAGTTTAAAAAAAGGGTGGAGCATGGTTGCTATAATATTATCATCTTCAAATAAGGTCACAATAAATCTAGAATTATTAAATATTTTTAATTTATTATATTAATTTACCTATCCTCAATCCCTTTAAGTAAGGCATCTAAGAGTGGTAAACAGATGAAATAAAATAAATTTTACAGTCAAATATTTTTATTTATAATAAAAAAAGGGGTATATAAAATGTATCTTAAAAAAAGTATCTAAAACAGATACAGATACCTCTAAAAAAATATCTAGATACAGATACCTTTCTAAAAAATCTATCTAGATACAGATACAGATACTACATTTTTATATCTAGATACTTTAACAACTCTGATATTTTGTATAATGAGAGAACATTGTTGTTATAGAAAACATCAAATCCAAAATTTTAGCCTCCAAGTACTAGTAGTTTCTAAGTTATCAATGGTCTAAAGTACCAAAAATGAACTTATTTCAAAATGATGCCACAAATAAAACTTATCTGTCATTTTGTAACTCTATTAAAGGCCGTTTATTAAATATTAAGGAATTTTATATAAAGCAGTTTTTATTTAAGTTATAAATTTTGAATTTGAAAGCTCGAGGTGTGTTAAGCCTTTCAACCTTTTTGAATTTAATAATTTATCACTCACTCATATTATTATCTATATGAAATGGGTTTTTCATTTATTACGATTTAATAAAAAAAATGAATGAATATTTTTTTCAAAAATAGGTGGCGCTCTTATATAAAATAACCAATTTTTGTTTATTTTTTTCTATATCATGAAATTATTTCGCTTGTAATTAAAATTATTTTTTTCTCTCGTAAAAAAAAATTTAATTAAGAAAAATTATTTTAAAAATTTAGCAAATATGATAGGAAAATTAAAATTCACGAAAGATATTATCGACTTTTCATCCAAATTATAATTTTTTAACGCCTTTAATTACGTTTTGCAATAAATGTGAGGCTAACTTCACTGTTAAAATATTATTCTTGGATACGAAAAGGAGATCTGTTGTGCTGGATGGACAAAAGAATTTGATCGTCCTTTAGGATGAAGAAAATTTATTTAGATAACCGATAAAAGTTTGATTAATAAATATTTCTAAAATTAAAGTAAGAATAAAAAACATTTTACTACCAGGTTTAACGGAAATCGGTTCGTAGCCGCCTGTCAGGTTGTCGTTTGATTTTTTTGCCGGGTTTTTTTTCTTCTGCGCAAAAATAATATTTAAAATGGAGGGCTGACTTAGCCATTACATATATTTCAAAGTTGATTACTTAAACAATAATTTATGTTAATATTAAAAACAACTAAATAAATGCTTCTTAATATCGTTATTTTATTAGGAATAAACGATACATTTAGATGGAGCCAATCTTAATAATGTTTATAGTAAACATCCTAGGAAATATATTTCAAATAATATTAACATTCCCCAAAATTTCTGTATAATATATAGAGGGTGGCATACTAAAAATTATAATATACCAGAACATACAAATTCGATCATCTAATTTATAAGCAGGACTTGGTCAGTAATTTTTATTTTAGTCCCGAGGCCAGCCGCAAAATTTTTAATTAAAAGTATTTTCGTATATTTAAATTAAAATTCGCTAATTGCTTTGCGATGTCTTTAATCCTTAGGAAAAATTTGAATTATCATTCTTCCTCAAAAATGGCAGGAATCCACATCCTAAAAAGCTATATCAATGGCGCCATTTATTTCGCCACAGTACTAGAATATTAAGGAGCCAGAAACACATAACTTATAAAAAAAGAGAACCAATTTTCTTACATTTTTTCGTCGATAAGGCCGCATTTATCGTAAACGCGTTTTTGTTATTTAACGTAGCGTTATCACAAAAAAACTAATAAATGGGTATAAATTTATAAACATGAAGCGTTATGATGATAACGCTATGATAGAATTTTAAAAACATATGTTGCGATGCGTTTAAAAAATATGCGATACGGTTATAAAAATAATAGAGAATTAGATAAAAAAAAAAGGTATATGATTTTCCTTTATAGATAAAATAATTATCTGTTTAGCTTTATCTTAAACCAGTTTTCAAAACTGAATCAGCTGTAATAAAGCTGCGTTAAATAACGAAACACTTGAAGATAACGCGTTTACTATAAATGCAGCGTAAGAATGAAATAAGTATGAAATTACTTGTTAAATGACCTATCTTTAGCCAACTCCAAAAGGACTTGATCAAATTCTTTATCATCTTAGAGGTATTTTAAGTCAAATTTTTTAGGCAAAAGCTGGGCCAAACAGTATTGGGAGTTGGCAAAAGTGTTAGGTGATTCAAATCATTAGAAAATACTTTAAATAGTCATTTATCCCAACCAAAATCTAAAATCGCAAAGGCTCCGCCGAATCCCTGATTAAAATTAGCATAGTTATGGCGAAAGCGTAAACCGGGTAAAGTATATATATATGGACAACGAAATAGGTGAGCACGTATAAATATCAAAAACTATTCCCAAATATATCAATCAATCTAAATTTGATATTCCACTAAAAAACTGGTAATTCCGCAATCTTATAGCACTTCAAACAACTGGTGTGGGGGAGGGGGAATTACACAATCAAAGTTAGAAATGTTGATAAGTTTTAAATCGAAACCTGTAGTGCATGTGAGCCGGTTTTAATAACTTTCTTGCCTTTCGATTTTTCCGGGCTATAATAATTAATGATTTAAAAGTGTTGTTTGAGTATGGTTAAATAAAATGTTTATGTATATCATATTTCTCAAAATTTCCTAAATAATAACAAAAGTTATCATAAAGAGAGATATAACGCGGAACTTAGGCTAATATGCTAATCAAATGAGAGCCCCAGGTTAATAAATAATTAAAGTTTCGTGACTAGTATTCAAAAATAATTGTGATAATAGTTAAATTGGCATAAAATAACACAAACTCATTGGTGGATTTTCCGACTTTGTTTGTTGGACCGCCACTGCCACCCGTGCTGGCGGACTCGGTAATCAAGGCCGCTGGGATTGGAGGCGGAACGATATCGCATTTTTGGCAACATTCTTTTATCTTATCGATTTTTATTTTGTCCAAATCGCTAATCAAGGGCAAAATAGCTCTTTCCCCTACAATTTTCATCATAACGCCTGTCATTTTTTTTAAAAAAAAATAAAAAAAATTTTAAAGGGATGTTTCATTGGTTGATTTCTTTCTATTATAATATATCAGAGTTGTTAAAAGATACTTTATAAATGGATCTAGATACAGATACCACATTTTTATATCTAGATACATGTTCTAGATCCTTTAACAACTCTGTCATTTATATATTATAAATCCTAACTGATAACCCACGAGTCAGACCGACCTAAAATATTTCGGGGCCATGGCAAGCAAAAAATGAAAACAAAAAATAGATAAATTTAGATTTGTGTTAGTTATCCTCGTGCTATAAAAGCAATTAACAAATTTTTTTTAAAGTTGTTGAAAACAAAAATATAACATATTTTTTAAAAAAAACAAAGATGCACCAATACCGAAATTTGGCATCGGCATTGGCAGATACTTTAAATTTAAACAGATATCAGTGGCTGATAATAAAAAAAAATAGTAATTACTCTTCAGTATAGAAATTCCTACAGAGAAGAAAAAAAGCGCCTTTAATCTTAATTTACCTAATTTCTCTTTTCTTTTTTCATAAAAATTTAGTAGATTAAAAATAATTAAATAAAATGTTAATTGATGAAATCATATCTTTGTTTTAGGGTAAATATAAGACATAATATTTACGGTATTGGAGATATAATAAGTAATACCGTGTAAGTATGGATGGTATCTGCTTAAAAAGATCAGTGCACATGCGACGAAAAATGTATCCAATATAATGAGATATATAATTCTATAAATTCCCTTGATCTGCATTATCTCTTTCACCATTTTTATAGAAATTATCCATCCCGGCCTATAAAAATTTTTGCAAAATATTTCGCGGGAGTTACCCGGCCTAAAGGTATCCAATTGACAGATTTTTAACTTTAACGCCCACCCATTGTTTTATAAAAATATTTAACCCAATTGCCTGCTTACTAATAGTTTTTTAAAAATCATTTGAATGGTTGGTTTAGCAACTTATTTAATAATATTATGAAACAAAAAATACCATTTTTTTTGCTCTAAAAAATATTTTTAAATGCTTTAGCTAGCCATATGGGTCAGATGAAACCCCGCCAATTACGACCCTCTAATCCAGACTGGTGCACAGTTATTTTTAGCCCGGATTATGAACTACGCAAATCCCCAACACTTTAAAATACTCTTACTGATTGATATAGAAAGAAATCATTCAATCAATATAATAACATGTCATATTTATAATAGAGTACGCACAAGCTGACTCAAACCCTAATAATTAATTAAATGAAAACTGATATTCATAAATTTACCCCAGATATCTCTAAAAAATATAAAAACTAGGAGCCTAAATTGTCCAAATATGGGTTAAGCGAAACTAAGTTTATTTTATAATTTACATATAATTAAAAATCGAAAGGGACTGGACGAATCGTTATACACTTTATTTGTAACTAAATCATTATCATAATGCCATAGAAAACCTAAGGTCTCTGCTGTATATTCCCGCACTAATGGGTCTGGGTCGTTCATTGTTTGTACCAGGGAATTAGCGAAAAGCTTAACGAGCTTTTTGTTCAAGGTCACCATATTGCATTTCCCGAAAGCTCGTCCCAAAAAACTAACCGTTTCTTGGCGTACCGAAGGATTTTTGTTAGCTAAAAATGGTATAAGGTATTAAATATTAATTTCAAAAAAAAGTTGTAAATCATAAACTGCCTATATTATGTTAACCAATGCAAGACGAATTCAATACTTCAATATTAGTTGATATCAGCCCATCTTTTTTAGGGTGTAACCGATATTTTATATCGGATGATCGGGTTAATATTTCATCAATTGTAAAATATCGGTTATCGGTTTTAAAAAAGTCGGTTATCGGCCGATATCATAAAAATTTACGATCCGATCCGATAAATGGCGTCTTTTTTTAAATTTTTTTTTAGATGAATGTACTATATGTTATGAAATTTTAAGAAAAAGAGTTATAGCAAAAAAGCCATTTATTTTTATAAATAAAATCGAAATCCATTTTTTTAAATTAATATTCTGCCATATTGTTATTTTTTTTTTCGCGCATTCTTTTATAAAAGTGTTAGATAATAATTATTTTAAAAATAATCGTTTGTTTCATTATATATATTACGTAAAAATTTTCGACGTATTAAATTAACAAAATATTTCAAGTTGGGCTTCCTATTCGCGTAAAATGTATTTTTTTTAAAAAAATCGGATTCGCCAATGCACATCGCAAAACTTTCTAGAGGTGGGAGATCTCAAATGACATATGCCACAACTAAGTTGATCGAACGCTTCGAAACATGTCATATGGACGCCTTTTCACTTTTAATTAACTAGCGAAAGGGAGAAAAAAAAATTGGAATAAGAATCAGGTTAAGGTAAAAAATTTTATAAATTTAAATCAATAAACATAGTCAAGTCTAGTAAATGAACAAAAAATACGGGACATTGAAGATCTCAGACCCAAAGCCACATCTCTTACATGTCAACCGTATGATAGCATTATATAATCAGCCATTTTCCAAATTGGAAGGATATTGGATTTAATCGATTAGTAAAAGCATTTATGTGGAAACTCTAAAATATATTTCTGAAAAATTTACTAAGAATAAAATGATGTGTCAATCAGATGGATGGGGAAGGGGGGGGGGGGTCCCTTTAATTTTATGAGTGATGTGTAGTCCAAATGAGTCAGATTGGCATATCAGCTTGACTTTGTCATCAGATAAATGAAAATTTCGAACCAATTGCATTTTTGCCTTATGTTGCAACTTTTAATGATTCATATACTGGGCAAAATATTGCGGTTATTATAAACAAGTGATGACCAGTTAAAATATCAACAAAGTAAAATACATGCTATTGTACGTGGCTATGCATCAAATATAAAATCTTGTTGCAATCTAGGTAATTACACAATTGTTTCATGGTTTGCCAAGTTCCTATCAAAATTATTCAGAAGCAATTGAATTAACCCACCCACAGACTTATTCAAGATGTTGACACAAGGTGGGGTTAAACTTTTTACATGCTAGAAAAACCTTGGAGCAAAAAAATGATCTTGCTTATTGATTGCAACGATTTTACCCTTGATATGTTAATACCAAATGAATGGCGTTTAGCAATAAGTAAATCTGGCCCTATTACCAATTCAACGCATCACTAAAAAATTAAATGCCACCATAGCATAGTTATTCGATTTGAAGAATTACATAAAAAAAGAGCTTACTAGTCATGGTGAGAATGCATAAAGATCTTACTAAACGTTTTTTCTAGATTTGTAATGAAGAAATATACTTCATAGCAACAATTTTGGATCCCCGATTTAAAACAATCTTTTTCTCAATTCAATGCAAACTTTAGATAAAAACTACTTCTAGAATATGTTGACGTAACCATTGTTAGAAAATTAAATCCTCCAATGTAATTTTTATTAAATGCCTTAATAAATATTAATTTATTTTATAGTTAATAACTCGTTTTATATTATTATATTAATTAAATAAATAAATTTTTTTATACGCCATGATAATACAAATTAGTTAGTTTTTTTTATTGAAAAAAAATAGGTACATATTACACCTATAAAATTTTATTATGATAATCGATTTATAATTGAGCAATAAAATGGTTTATAGATCGCAAAATCCATGCCTTATGATTATACATATTATAAATGTAAAAATAAGTGATGTCTTTAAACAAGAAATTACAATTGAAAAAAAAAACCTAAATATGTGATGACGTCCTCACTAATCGCCTCGAGAGTCGTCGTTAAAAAAATAGCGTCTATCGCGTTTTTGAGAGCGGCAACGACAATCGGTTTCTTCTCCTTAAATTTTTCGAGGATAGCGGTAACGCAGAGTCCTGAATGAGAGCTAAATTTTTTCCTCAAACCTAATATTTATTTTATTTTATTTAAAAAAATCAATTATTCGAAAACTTTAATATATTCTTATACATATAATTATTTGTATTCAATCGTGATAAAAAAGGAATTTAAAATTTCTTGTTTAAGGTTTATTTTAATTTGGAGGTTAAAAAACGCAAAAAACAAACGGCGCGCATTGCTTAAAATAATTAAATCGCTGGCGTCAAATGTTTTCAGTTTTCCGAGCCCAAACATAAGAATAAAGTATACGTGTATATCACCTTTGGCTAGACGGGTCAGGTTATCAGCGGCTAAGGCAACGACGGCTACATTGGTATCCTTAACAAGGGCCGTCCGGAGAGTTTTGATTAATTCGTGGTAATCACCCGAGGGCTCGTATTTACAGGGAGCCAAAATATCGCGTAGATTTTCCATAGCTTCCTTACGTTGTTGCCAGGCTTTATCCGCCAAATTGTCATAAAACTTACGCGTCACGAGAGATAGCACGTCGCTAGCTTCCAGCAGCTCGTAAGGATCAATCTAGTTGAATAAAAAAAAATTGGTTAGTGGATAAAATGAGGACACTTTGTGATTCCCAATATTAAAATGGCTGTTTTGCCTAAAAATAATATAACGTTAATACTGGAATTGGGAGTAGGAAAAAGAAGGATAATAAATTTAAAAACTGCCTTTGATCCACAAATCGAACAATTGTGTCATGTTTACATGATTATTCGACGAGTTTTATAAATGTCAATCAATTTAGCAGTCATTGATTAGATAATTATTATTGTATTCCAATCTTGGGTACGATTATTTCATTATAGAATTTTTTGCAATATCATTTTGATGTATGACATGGGTGACAAATAATATGCAAAAAATTGGTGACTACCATTGAGATCAAAAATAGATTATTTTAATCACGTTAATAATATTGATAGGGAATAATTATAGACGTAATAGTATAATGTTTCTTTAAACCTCTGTTTCAACGACGGGTCCTGGTTGTTCATTCATGTGGTCGGTGGTGAGACAGGCGCCATCTACCATGCTTCCACCAGCTACCCCGGCCGTCTTAGCCATAAGTTGTTTCTGGGACCTGGTGAAACGAGATTGGCGTGAGAGCTTTTCTCCACTCACCGTCAGCTTAGCAAATTCTGCCTCGAGCTCTTGTAACTGTATGGGCTTTAATGTTTGGAGGGCCGGCTTTATCACGTTTCCGAGCCATTGATAAACTTTTAAGGGCAAAAATAGAAAAATATTGAATGAGTTATAATAGATAAGGATGGTTTTATAAAGCATATACAAGAGTTATTAGTCATGTGATTATAAAATATCGATAAATGCTTATATTCTATAATAAATACAATGCATACTGTTATGTATTAAATTGTTTATTTTATTATTTTTGTAAAATGTTTATTTATTATTTTGGCATTATTTTTGTGAATTTGCATACACATCAAAAATGGGATTTTATGATAAAAATACAATAAATTTTAATTTTGTGACTAAATTACTACTAATATTTGTTAATGATAATACAAAAAAATAATTTTTATAGATAATATAGTGTTTTATAAATATTTATATTACAATTTTATTTAAATCATTTTTATATTATTATATAATGGGGGTGGGGGCACCATTCAATTCAATGATAATAAGTATATATTTATATATTAAAATTGATATTCACAAAGAGAGAATACTAATAAGAAACAGTAGCTACATGACGGGAGGGGAGGGGGGTTGAGGGTAAATGTTATCATATAGCCTTTAGATAGTGAGTAAAAAATTCTTTTAGGGGTGGGAGGTAGGAGGTATTTTTTTTCTCTCATGTAGACGCTGATAAGGAGCAAATCATAATTTATTAGAAAAATGAAAACTAATAAAGATTATAATTAAATATTAAAAATCGAATATAAATTATGTATCAAATATTTTCGGAGCTTGTTCATCTCCTCTCAAGATTCCCCTTTTTATAGCTATGGCTGTTCTAAATAAATAGCGGCTCTATTAATTAGCTACTATTTATAAAAATAATGTAACCACTGATCGCTATATAAAAAAATGTAGCACGCTACTTTTAACGGCATATCTTATGGTGAATAGCTATAACGGTGATGAAACTTGTGAAACAATCGAAAAACATATATCTCTCAATTGATTTATTAAAATGGTGAAGCAGAAAGAGGACATATTCAGTAGACAAAGCATGGCATGATGAACGTACTTCAGGAATATGTTTTTCCTTGTAAAATGACAAAGTTATAAATATCTACTAACTAAACTCAATATATTTACTCTATTTCGGAAGATAATATAAATTTTACATGTTAATGATATTTGCAGAATTTGTTATACATACACTCTCCAAATTCTTCTAAAACTTAGAACTATCAGCTTTATCTTATCAAAAAAAATGGATGAAATTATTAACTTTGACAAGAGGACCTTTTACCTATTTATCATAGATCCTGCAAACTCACTTTTAGAATATAGCAGGTCGGGAACATTGGTATGCCTATGTTATGTGATTTAAATATTTCTCGATAATATATTTTTTTAAATATAAATATATTAAACAAATACTAAAATCACTTATTTTTTTAATTTATATTCTTATATATAAAAAATTATAAGAGTTATAATTTTTACCTAATTTTAACGTGTTTTATTTTTAGGTCAATAATATAAACGACTACTTTATTACTGAAAAGTATATAAGGTGCGCGAAAACCATTATTTGTAAAATATACAATATATAGCAAAAGATGTATAAAAATATAAAATATAAGAAAAATGTAAATAAACGCGAGTTATGATTGCAATTTGATAAAATTAGATATATTATCCAAAAAAAACAAATATATCCATATGTCGATCATAAAGGGATGTATTAAAATATTAAGCTGATTATATTTCGGATTTTTACTATTAACATTCAATCCATTATTAATTTGAATTAATTTGAGCTCATAGGCGTGTTGATATCTTTTAAATTTTTTAATAAAGAATATATTTTAGGATGTGCATAGAGTGTTTTTATTTTGATGCTATAATGATAGCCCTCTAAATGGTTATTCGTCCTAGGACCATTAACTTGATATCTAAATTATAAATATATTGGGTATATATATAACTTTACTTTTTTTAATACCTAGTCCATATGTTATGGAGAAATAAGGCATTAATGGAGAGCCATGTCAGATTCATATGTTGCATAAAATTTGTTAGCAAAGGATTTTCAAGTGACATGCCAAGACACGATGACCTAACTTCAGAGATGTCTTACTCTCGGAAAAAAGGGTAAGGTAGTCATAAGTCTGACTACTTTGTGAACAGTAGAATTTTCTCTATATTCTATTGTTAACCCTAATGCGTGACATTCATATGGTTTATGAAAAGTGGAAGAGAGAGCCTAAAACGTATATTAAATATACGTAATAAATTAACCTTTAATGACCATTGTAGGGAAAACAAATCTTAGAGCTGATATTGCAGCAGCCTCATAATCAGTCTGCCCGTATCTAGGATTAAACAAAATATTATTTTCTGCACAGTATCTTAGAATTATTTGAAATAATTCTATATACAAGGCTCTGGCTTTATCAGGTAAGAGTGCATATGCTATAGGTATCATGGTCTCCTGGTATAAGACATGAATTGTATATAATTGACAATAAAATCGTGGCACAACATAAAAAGGACCCATATATATATTGTATCGTTATCACATGTTTCAATGAACTTTAGCATGCTACATGCACCAAATATCAATATATTATTATTATTATTATCATTACTAGTTAAAAATAAATCCCCTTATTTGTGGTGATATATTCGGGCATTGGAACTAAGTCATCTACGGACTGTAGCAAAGAAGGCCGATTATTTATTTGTACTTTTTATTGAAAAGGCTATCGCCTCTGGATACATATTTAAGTTTGTCGTTTCCAAAGAGCTTTTTCGTAAATATTATGCATAGTTTCTAGAGTATTTCCGGCAACAATATCCTCTAGAACCTGTTGAGTTCTCAGCTTTTCAAACAGATCGATTTAATATTTCTAAAAATCATTGAAACATGTGATAATACCATATATATGGATGGCACATTTTATGTTGTGCCAAGACTTTATTACCAACTATACACAATGCATGTCTTATATCGTGAGACTATGATACCTATAGTCTATGCCCTTCTTTCCGATAAAACCAGGGCCACCTATATAGAATTATTTCAAATAATTTTAAGATGCTGTGGTGAAAATAATATTATGCTTAATCCTAAATATGGGCAGACTGATTATGAGGCTGCTGCAATATCAGCTTTAAGATTTGTTTTCCCTACAATGGTCATTAAAGGTTAATTTATTACGTGTATTTATTATAAGTTTTTATAGGCTGTTTCTTTCATTTTTCCCAAGCAATATGGCGAAAATGTCAGGGATTAGGGTTAACAAAAGAATATAGAGACAATACCACTGTCCACAAAGTAGTCAGACGTATGACTACTTTACCCTTTTGCCGGGAGGAAGATATTTCAGAAGTTAGGTCATCATGTCTTGCCATGTCGCTTGAAAATCCTTTGCTAATACAATTTATGCAATATATGGATTTGACATGGCTTTCCATTAACGCTTTATTTCCCCATAGCCTATGGACAAGGTATTAAAAATTTTAATGTGTATATACAAAATAAATTTATAATTAGATATCAAGTTAATGGTCCTAGGACAAACAACCATCTAGAGGGCTATCATCATAGCTTGAAGCGCAAAACACACTGCACGCATCCTAATATTTATTTTTTAATAAATATTTTAAAAAGTCACCAACACTCGAGTGAGCTCAAATATATACAAATTAATAGCGGGTTGAATATAAATAGAAAATATCGAAAATATATTCAACTTAATATTTTAATAGATAATTTATATTCCCTTTACGAACGGGATATGAATGTATTTGTTTTTTTTAGATAATATATCTAATATAATCAAATTGCAATCATAACACGCGTTCATTTATATTCATTAATTTTATAATTTTCATAAATCTTTTGCAATATATTGTATATTTTATTTACATTTTGAATAGGCCTAGCCACCATTGACATCAGATGAATTATTCCGTGAAACTAAGAACATCGATAGTTTCAAGGTAAGAAAAGTTTTTTTGCTTATTTATAATATTGAAAATTAAATTTTTTTTAAAAATAATATGCTTATTTTTAAGATTTCATATATTAATTTTTTAAAAAATTCCAGGCAGGAACTGGATATTTATTTTTTAAATCTGGGCCAATCCGTGCTTAAATAATTTTTATTTAAAGACTTGACACTAGATTTTTAAAAAAAGTATCGTTGGCTTCAAGCTAATACCTCGTCCTGGTATCGGCCAAAAAATAATGTCAATGCACTACAGGTTATAAAAAAAATCATCTCTATTATGGGTAATGATGGGTAGAGTTGATCGTTTTTGATTTTTATGTTCACAAATTTTATCCTTATATACGAAGGGTAATAGCGTTTGTGGACTAATTGGTTCAGTGAGTGTCTCACAATATGATAGTTCTGGATTCGAATCCAGCAAAAACCATGTTTTTTCCTAAAGCCAACTAGGTTCCGTCCTTAGGAGGGAGGGGTTATATATATAGTAGATCTGACTGGCCTACATGATTCCGTTAATATATATTTAAAAAAATAAATGTTTATTGCATTTTAAAATATTTCAGTTCAGTCGCTGTTCAGAAAATGGCTTATATGCCAGTCAACGTCATTCATCATAACTCCACGATTATTAAGGCGAAAGTGAAATCATAAAAATATGATATTGCTTACTAATAAGGACCAATTGTTTGGTTTCTTCTCGCACCGCAAAATCGCGATTATCCAAAAGAAGCGGGATCTGTTTAATGAGCGGTTTTACTGGTATAATTTTGGGACCAAAGGCTCTGTTTATTGACAAATGTCGTATTTTTTTTATATAAGATTGATTAGCAATATTATCATTATTGTGGTTCTATGGACACTCACCGTGCTCTAGCTCAATCTTGAGAATTTTTAAGAGTGATTTTAAAAAAACTTAACTTCGATTATTTTATGTTTTTATTATGTATTGTTTTATTATATATATATATATATGGGTGGTTCTATACTTTCTTTGTTTAAATATTTTCGTAATTTCAACACACAATATTAAATTTATAAAAATTAAAATAAAGTTTATAATTTCAAAAAAAAAATTAATTAAGAGGGAAAAAAAATATGAATGAAATTATTTCCTTTTTAGGGTTTATATAATTTTTAAAATTATTAAAATAAATATAATTCATCTTATTATGAATCTAATCCTAGTAGTTCATCCCATTCCGTGACCATTGGCCAACTGTCTGCACTCTCCTCCCCCGTATTCTGACCCATTATTTCCTCCTGGAATGGACGTACTACTGCCACCGGTGTACCTGTCTCTTGTTCTTTCTCCCCATTTCTAGACGCCGTCTCTTTCCAGGTAACTACCAGTAATATATACTCTTGAATAAACTGTGACTTCGACTCCGTCGTGAGACTCCTTGAACTTCCCACCGATTATCTCCCGTTCGACTCTGTGTTGGCCTTCGGGGGCATCCATTACGTAAATGTTCCGTGTCCCCACATAAATAACATGTTCTCGCCCGCCTTATTGGTCTTAATCTAGGCATCCTGGGCTCCGGCAACTCTGGACTCATGTTTCGATGGTTCATTGTCCTTCCCATATCCATTATTCCGTCCCTTGAAGATTTTGGCTCCATCGCCTCTTGCCTCAATGGGGGGCAATCTTCAGCCCTCCTTGTCCACTCTTCCTCGATAAATACTAACTCGAATGGTCAATCTTTCCAAATATAAGCACCGATGGACCCCGTTCATTTTTAATTATGTAAAGGAGGAATACTTTATTTAAAATTAAAACAATTAGTTTACTTATTTCCTTTCGAATATATAAGATCTTCTTTTTACGTGAGAAAGAGGGTAAAAAAAATTTCTTTCTTTTTCTTTTCTTTTTTAAAAATTTTTTTTATAATTTTTTTTTCTCACAGTTCTTTGACAGAATTATTAATTTTTCCCATACCAAACTGTCAACTCCCTTTTATTTTACTCTCCCAAAAGTTATAATTCCATCCAGGATGATGTCGATTGTCAAGAACTGGTTAAGGAAATCAAAGTATGGGGGTGGGGAAATTTGGATAGCGGTGGCATATTACAACAATAGTCGAAAGGGAGAAGAACAGTCTCCATCTGAGTAGTTTTTAGGGCGGCAAACCCGGATATTGATAGATTTATTAAATCCGAAGTGGAGAAACCTGAGTTTGTAGTGGGACAAACCGTGTGGGCAAGAATATATGGAGGTACAAGAAGGTGGGAATCTGGGGTGATCATAAAAAACATTGGACATAAATTAAGTCAAGTAAAATTCACTGAAGGAAGAGAAGGAATACGGCATCGGGATCAAATAAAAAGGGGGCTGGAGGTAGGAAGGTTACTATCAGGAGTATGAGGCGGAGTGATATTATATGAAATTAAAGGGAAAATATATATGTCTATGTAATAATAAAGAGATATCTGTATATGTAATAGGAAACATTTTTTTTTAATATCAAAATTAATATATACGAAATTAATCGTAGGAAATTCATATATAACATTGTTGAAAATCCCATTTTTGGAATAATATGTATCTTAAAGTAGCAGTGTAATAATGTCCCAGTCATATGATGCTTAATAAATACGATTGATAAAATTTTTCTACTTCTCTCGCTCATTTTTGTGAAGAGAAATATTAGCATTATTGGCTCATTAACCATCATAAATCAAAAAACTTATGATATAAGACAAAAAAATATTATAGCATTATTGGCTCATTAACCATCATAAATCAAAAAATGATATAAGACAAAAAAAATAATATTATTTGGTGGTGCCCAAATAATAGTGAGTATTAAATTGTCAAGTAAATTGGATATAAAACTAGGCCCAAATATATATTAAAAAAAGGTAGAAGACAAAAAAAAACAGAGGGAAGAAAACAACAGGCAATTTGTTTGGAAAATAATATTGAAAATATTGTTTATTTAAAAGTTGGAGTTTAGTGACATTTATGATTTTGGAAATGTCATGAATCTAGCTAGCTATAAATCAAGAATTTGGAGGGAATTGTAACTTTTGGGAGAGTAAAATAAAAGGAGGTTGACAGTTTGGTATGGGAAAAATAATAAAAATGTTGTTTAATAATTCTGTCAAAGAACTGAGAGAATAAAAGAAAATTATAAAAAAAAAATTTTAAAAAGAAAATAAAAATAAAAATTTTTTACCCTCTTTCTCATGCTAAAAGAAGATCTTATATATTCGAAGGGAAATAAGATTAAAAATGAACGGGTCCATCGGTGCTTATATTGGGAAGGATTGACTATTCGAGTTAGTATTTATCGAGAAAGGGTGGGCGAGGAGGGCCAAAGATTGCCCCCATTGAGGCAAGAGGAGATGGAGCCAAGATCTTCAAGGGAATGGGAAGGACAATGAACCATCGGAACATGAGTCCAGAGTTGCCTGAGCCCAGGATGCCTAGATTAAGACCAATAAGGTGGGCGAGAACATGTTATTTATGTGGGGATACGGGACATTTACGTAATGGATGCCCCCAAGACACAGAGTTGAACGGGAGATAATCGGTGGGAAGTTCAAGGAGCCTCACGACGGAGTCAAGTCACAGTTTAATTTAAGAGGATATATTATTGGTACGTAGGGTGTTACCTCCAGAAGGGAAAGAGACGGCGTCTAGAAGTGGGAAGAAAGAACAAGAGACAGTACACCGGTGGCAGTAGTACGTCCCTTCCAGGAGGAAATAATGAGTCCGAATACGGGGAAGGAGAGTGCAGACAGTTGGCCAATGGTTGACCTATCGGCCACGGAATGGGATGAACTACTAGGATTAGATTCATAATAAGATGAATTTATATTTATTTTAATAATTTTAGAAATTATATAAACCCTAAAAAGGGAAGAATTTCATTCATATTTTTTTTTCCCTCCCAAGTGGGAAACCCTGTATATAAAACTGCAATCCTTGAATGTTTAAAGGTTTATTTTGGTTTGATTTAGTCGCAAATTATTAATCGTTGTTTGTAATCCCAAAATATTATTTAATTTGACAATAATTTTTTTTTAAAAAAATTATAATCGATTTTTTATCATTTTTATTTTTAATTTTTTTTTTTGAAATTATAAACTTTATTTTAATATAAATTTAATATTGTGTGTTGAAATAACAAAAATATTCAAATAAAGAAAGTATAGAACCACCCATATATACAATACATAATTCCCATATTTTTTCTTCTAAAATCCTTCCCTATGTCCTTCTTGAAATTCCCCCCTATTTCTCCCCTAAAATTCCTTAATTATGTATTGTTTTATTATATATATATGGGTGGTTCTATACTTTCTTTATTTGAATATTTTGGTAATTTTAACACACAATATTAAATTTATAAAAATTAAAATAAAGTTCATAATTTCAAAAAAAAAATTAAAAATAAAAATGATTAAAAAATCGATTATAATTTTTTTAAAAAAAAATTAATTGAGAGGAAAAAAATAAAATATGAATGAAATTCTTCCCTTTTTATAGTTCATATAATTTCTAAAATTATTAAAATAAATATATATTTATTAATAATTAGAAAAATATAATATTAATCCTCAATAAAAAAAATATATATATTGGTAATCATATAAAAAAAATATTAACGATGACTATAAAATTTACTATCATATCATAAATTTTTATAACGATGACTAAACTACTATTAAATTATTTTTATTACTAACAAAAAAAATAGAAAAATATAAGAGATTATGAGTAAAATTAGAACCTGTAATAAATGAAGCGTGAAACATGCATACTTAGATCGAATATTTAAAAAAAAAATTCTAATGATTTAACTTGGACGCTTCCTTGAGCAGTTGCGTAGAGGCAATTATTATCTTCGGAGATTTGTTGGATTGTCCTTTGATCAATTCCTCGATGACGATATCCTGTTTTTCCATCTCAATGCACTGCATTAAGATCTCAAAAGCTAATTCCTTGGATTTGGCTTTGGTTGTAAAGCATTTTTGGATAATGTCTTGATAAAAAAATAATAATATGTTTTAAATTAGCCTTTAAAACCAGGGTTGTTAATCAGATTCCTGATATTTTGAACCAGGACACCGAGCTATAAAACCTTATTTCAAGTTTAGGGTTCAAGAATTTTTTCATTTATTTTATTTTTATTAAAATTTCTTTACTTTTTTTTTAAATTATAAAAAAATTTGAAATAGCATGTAAAATATTTATATAACAAAAAAAAAATATTTGTGAAAAATCATTTGTTGAATCGTTTTTTTATTTTATTGTATCCGTTTTGGGTAAATTTTAAAATTTTCTAGACACCGAATCTTGAACCTATTTCAGAAATTTTTCACTGAATCCAAACCCGAATCCCTTTTTTAGAAGGATTCATAGCTCTGTTTAAAACTAATATTTATGAATAAATGAACTCGATCCAAAATTGTCATCGAAACATTCACTAATAAAGTGAACAAAATTGTTGAAAAATTACATTATTTTTTTTTGTTCTATAACAAATCCATTATATTATGAAGACCCCTGTTATTTTATAAACGTCATTATTCGGGTTGAGCAGATATTTAATATAGGATCGGATCGGCACAGATATTTGACGTTAAATATCGGATCGGGCCGATCTTATTTTAAAAACCGATCCGATATTTTTTTTATCGTTTTAAGTTATTACATTTTTATATATAATCATATATAATATTTTATTTTGTAAATAATTTCGTAATAATAGATTAATGAAACTAATAAACAATTTATTTGTTGTAATGTTCAAAAAAAATAGTTTAAAATTTTACACAAGTTTTTTTTTGTCATTCACGAGTCGCATTCAGTTAGTGTTGGCAAACGGCTCTATTCAGACAATTTTAAAAACAATCAACTCAAAAATTTTGGCCAAGAGTAAATTGCCCATGCTCATTGATTTTTTCCCCACAGATATCAGAAAGGTACGGACTTCTATTGGCAAAATTTCGAGGCGTAGGCAATATTTTGGTTAGAATTTTGATTTGGTCCTTTTTAAGTATCGACTAAATGGAGGTGTTTAACAACACTACACATTCACCCGTAAACTTTGTAAATACTTTAAATAATAATATCAACTTATGAAAAATACACTTAATCCTTCGTGAAAGTTAGAAAGTAGAAAATATTGATATATTTATGACATCGATACAAAGATAGGTGGTAAATAAAAATCAATATAAATATCGGATCGGTTTTATTAAAATCGGAAAATATCGGTTCGGATAGGTGAAAAATTTGTAGATCGGCATAGCCCTAGTTATTACTTAAAATTCTTTCGATATTTGATTCTTTTCGTAGCTTAACAATTTAAGGTAAAGTATATGTGTGTAAAATTAATTTTATATTTTTTTCAGAAGTTCTAAAGTTATAAAAGTTTATTGGAACTTACCTCTTCATCCGTGTAACTTTTTTTCATCTGTTTTAGCATTGGTATATTAATTTTTATTAATTAAAAAGTTATATTAACATTAATATTTGAACTGTATCTAAACATTTCTACGTCATCAAATTTATATCTTTATTTAATATCACATTGTGATATTTTAAGACTTTGCTCTTGACAAAAGCTGTCACTTAATGATAAAATAACATTAAATTTATTAAAATTATTAGCTTATAGTTTATTTAATATATTTTTAAAATATGGGAGCTACAAATTAATTAGATTTTGATATATACTTCTAAATTGGGGTCTGAGGATGCCCCACCTATTCACTCGGGGGATTATTTTTCACCTATGCAATGAGGGATGCTTCAATTTTAAATTTATTATCAAAAAAAAATATATCGATATAAAAGCGACAAAACTGTCAACGAAAAATTTAATTTGTAAAGTGAAAAAAAATTGTTGAAAAATTCCATTATTTTTATTCTATATATAATATTAATAAATCCATTATACTAACTAATGAATTTACATTATAAAATGACAATTTATCTATTTAGTATTAAGTGAATATTGAACGTTTGAGCGTTTACATTTTGCCGTCTTTTAATAAAAAAATAAACGTAACGCGTCCTTTGTTTAAAGTGAGGTTGCCTTATTAATATCTATTAATATCGTCTCTTCAAAATTTTAAATAAGTTTTTTTAAAAAAAAAGAATTTGTCTTTGAAAATTGTATTATCGTCTGCCTTCTGATTTCCTTAATTTCTAAATATTCCTTTTTAGGATTATAAGTAAGTTATTTATATTACACTTTTATATAATATTACAAAGCGAAGAATAAAAAAAAGTAATGAAAAAGGAAACCAATTTGCCTTTTTTTAAATGGTTGCTAACGCCAAACGGCCATTTTATCAATTTGCACGAGGCCATTTGAAATGCATTATTTGCGCTTACAACGCAGCGTTCGAAACTCAATTTGTGCGCGCTATAAGGGCTGAATAATTATTTACGATAATAACATCATGTAGAGGCTTATCACTACCTCGAGAAAACTTGGAGCTCATGGAACATTTGAAAATTTTTAATAAAGCCCTGTATTAAACCTCTAGCTACATTTAGATAACTATATAAAAAAAAACTATGCTAAAAAGAGGTCAAGTGGCAATATTGTTGCCAATTTTTTTTTTCACAAATATTTAAAATATTTGGCAAAATATTAGAATTTTAAATTTTCTTAATATTTATTTCGATAATATGATTTTTTTTTTTAAATATTAGAATTTTATAAAAAGATGTTTGTTCAAAATATTTCAATGCATTAGTATACGTATCTGAACGTAGCCTTAAATTATTTCAAAAAATCGTTTTCCAACTCCCCCCCCCCCTCCTCCCGCCCGCTTTGAATGACGAGTTATCCGTACAATTTAAATATAATAATCGAAATTTAAAACTTACTGCCGGCGACTTCGCCAACGATTTTAGAGGCCACGGCGGCGTTTTCGAAAAAAACGAGGGCCGCTTCCAAGGCTTTCTCCTGGGCCACCACGTTAGTTTCTGACACGAAGTTCTTGATGAGGCTCGAGAAGCGGGTCCATTCTCCGGATTTGGGGTCGTCGCATTTGGTGAAAACTTTGGCCGCCTCCTCGTAACCTCCCAGACGAACTTTCCAAGCCTTATGGAGGCATCGTTCCTCGAGGGATAACTTCGACGCATCTGTTCGATACGAAAATAAATTTAATTAGAATTTTGAGATGGACCTCTCCTTTAAATTTACCAGGGACTTCTCCCTCGTTTTACTCGATAAATTGAAAGGATTTTGGCCAAAACTAAGTTTAATAAAGTGATTATTCTTCGCGTTTTTCCTAGTGTCAAAAATTCTTAGATTTTGGTGACTTAAAATAATTTGGCTATAATTTTTAGTTTTTGGATACGTTGACATATTTGTATGCGTTTTAGTGAACATTTTAAATATATCGGAGTTTTTATCAAAAAATTAAATACATTATTCACCTATTCATTTACTTTCGTAATTTCGCTCTTATCAATCGCCGGCACATTAGTGATCTGCATCGTGCCTAATTTTTCAAACACCGGCTGGAAACATTTTAAAAATTTGTCCTGCCCGGCCCGATAGAAATATTTTTGTCTAGAAAGACCCGACCCGAAATAAAAATTATTTGTCCGCCAGGCCCGGCCCGAAATTATTAAAATTTTTAAGCATTTAATTTTTTTTTCTACAAATAAAAAATAAGCGCCTTGTTTCTTGCAAGAATTCATATTTATTTGACAAAATGTAATGATATATTCAAAATATAAACCCAACCCGGCCCGGTTCGAAATTTTTTAAAAAATATTCGGCCCGACCCCGAACCGAAATTATTTTTTAAAAATAGACCCGGCCAATGTCCGTGATTCGTAGATCTCTAATGCATTATTCTTATATAAATGTCATAACCTAGCTATTAATAATTAAATTATTATAATTTATAGTAAATAAACCTGTAACTTTTTAAATAAATGAACTGATTAGAATATATTATATTTTTTTTTAAAAAAAATAAAATTCAATGTTAAAATTTTTCTTTTAAATTTTTATCAAAAGAGCTTGGAATTGGAACCAGAATCCAGGAAACTAAATCAAATGCAGGAATATGAGATCTGCTTTTAGAAAATTATAAGAAATCGGGATCGAAAAATATTCATAAGTCCAGCTCTTCCAGAATGGCCACTCCTTTTGGCCCTTTTAGATGGCGAATTCACGATGATTACAAATGCTTATCAAAATGTTTAAATTATATAATTTAGCACTTCTCTAAGTTGACCAATATGTAACTGCTCTTGAGTGGTGGGCCTACATGTTTGATTCTGCGTTAATAAATAAATCAATACCTAATAAATCCTCTTTTTCAAACCGTAAATTTGTGTTGAAAAAAAAAGAATATAATTTAATGGAAACAAGAAATGGATGAATTATCATTATTTGTGTCAATTGATAGTTTACAAAAGAAGGCTTTTTTGTTTGTTCAAACAAAGGAATATCGTATCAAATTCACATATCTTAATAATGAGGGGTAAGAAAACATGTGGAATATCAGAACAATAAAAAATCTTATCCCAATCCCTTACAGAATGTAACAACCAATCATAAAATGACGTTGTCTGGCAAAAGTAAAAAAAAAAGACATTATAAAAACATTGAAAGTTTAAGCGAAAAAAATGATATTTTAGTTAAAATAAATTTTGGAAGCTCATTCTTATGTATATTATAACCATGACAGACACACGAGTAGCTGATAATCACGTGGAAAAGGATTCCCTTTGGAAAATTTATAAGTTTACATATATATATATTTAAATCCCCTATATTCCTCCTCTCTATCTTCCCTAAGATTTCATAGAAAATAAATATTTAAAAATAATTTGTCCAAGAGTAGGACATTGCCTATTACATCATACCAGAAGATGCTTCATTTCTATAGATACATTTAAAAATATCATTATTTTCCTATTTTTTAAATAAAGTTAATGATTATGATTTAATAATGTAATTTTTCACGGAACAGACGAGTCAGATTTAATAATGTAATTTTTCAGGGAACAGACGAGTCATTCCAAGCCAAATGAGCTAAAAAAATTCAATTGTCAGTGTTATATGCTGTTTTTATAAGTTCACATTATATATCGAACAATATCTTAGAGTATTTAACAACAATATTAACGGAGACAATTGTGTTTAAGAGTTCAAAAATCGCCCTTATTTTCTATTTAAAACTGATGTCAAATAACTAGTCCTTAATATAAAACTAGATAAGGTCAAATATTGAATCTAATATTAATAGCTAAGTTAATAATTGAAAATTAATGCGAAAAGATGAAAATTAATTTTAAAAAAATTTATCTCCGCAAAAAAAAATAAGAAAATTAAATAATAACCAAAAATCTTAATTATTTAAACTGACAACAAAAACTTTATTTTTTTTAAAAAAAAATAACGTTTTTCTTTATGGGAAACCTTGTAAAAATTTAAGTTTTTAAAAATATTACAACCATAGTGATATCATTGTTAAGAAAAGGTGGATCCATGTACTTTGACAAAGCTAGAATCGATTTTAAAACTTTGACTAGAGGGTAGAATAATTATATCTTACATGGTTTAAAAAGAAAATGATAATTCTGTTTAACTTTGGAAAAAAAATATAACTCTGAAAGCAATCTAAATATTGTATCGTACCGCCTAGTGCTGTTAAATGGCTCAGTTTGAACCGATTTTTTAAAAGGGCTAACTCTTCTGGCCTCGAGATTTCGATCATATATGTCTGGACTTTTGTTCTTTCTATGAAAAAATCTTCAGGCTTGCGTAATATTTTTATGAATGAAATAATTGAGTTAGCCGTTTTTAAAAATCGACCCAAAAGTAGCCGTCTAACAACACTAGTAACCGCCTTTACTATTTTAAAGTTATAAATTAGATATTGGTGCCAGTTAACTATTCGTTTAAATTTTACTTAAGCTTAAAATTTATATACTCGTATATCTTAAGCTTATTGCTAAATTTGTATTGGAAATAATTAGGGTTCCTTTAAATATACTTTTTTTAGTAATAACTGTGTCTAGCAATAACTAATTATACCTTTTAAGATTAAAAAGATCCAAAGTGATATATGAATTATTTTTATAGAAGTAGATCATACCTAAAATTTCTAATAAATAATTTTTTTGTCTAGTTCATAATGTGTGTTATTCAGTCAATCATGCCTACTCTACCTTTTTTGAATGATGAAATTGTTATACATTTAATATTGATGAAATTTTGCATTATTGGTGAATTTGTTTTACATTTAATATTGATAAAAGATTATATTTTCTTTATTTGTGTGATTATTTATTGGGATTATATGTGAATGTATAGTATCAATGTTTTTTATTATTATATATATCAAAAATATAATTCTACGCATTATTTCATTATTTGATATATAATTATAATATATTATAAGATTTAATATATTTGCAAAAGTCATTTTAAGGTTTTATTATGTTTTGATTTTAATAAATGATTTAAGATTTAATGTTATGAAAATGGTAAGTGGAGTAGAATTTATAGTATTAATATATAAGAGGTATTGTTATGAATGAAACTTAAAGCTAAAACAAATGAGATTAATAGAAACCTATTTATCCTTTATCATTAGTTTAGCATACTTCTCAAAATAAAACACTAATCATATCTTTTAAATAAAATTTGCCCATTTTACATATATAAGATTTTTTTATAATCAATTAAATTAATAGACTCAAGGGTGACCCAAACCTCTATAATGAACAAAAAAATAACAATATGGCAGAATGTTTATTAATTAATTATTATTATTAAAAAAATATGGATTTCGATTTTATTTATAAAAATAAATGATTTTAGATATAACTTTTTTTAAATTTTATTTTTGTTAAGGACGCCATTTTATATTGAATCGGATCGGCAAATTTTATAATATTGGCCGATAACCGATATTTTATAATAGGTGAAATATCGGCCAGATCCGATCCGATAAAAAATATCGGTACACCCCTAGATATCAGTAATTGAAATATTTATGAAGTGGTCATATTATTTTTTATTATTCTTTTATAAAGATTTGAAAAATAAATCCGTGATAAGATTTTGTAGTCTATGCATTAATTACCTTTTGGACTGGGCTGAAGGCTGGGAAATTAAAACATGTGTTGTTAAGATGCCCAATTTGGGCCAAATTATAAAAATAGTTCAATTAAGATTTTACCCAGAATAATATCATATATGCCTCAAGATTTGGCAAATAGAGATCCAAACCTTTCCATCGGTGGGCAAAATTTCCAGGCTTACATAATATTATTTTGACTAAAACCTTAATTGGGCCATTTTTTAAATTGACCCATATTGGGATTTTTTAAACTTTTACTTCCTTAATATTTTAGGATTCATTTGTCCTAACTTGTATACCCATAGAACTAGAACAAACTATGCATATACCCATCTTTTTAACAAAATTTCAAAATAGGGTCTATAATAACACTATTTTTTTATAAAAAATTTGATTTTCATTAAATATTAGCATATCAAAAGTCATCCAAAAGTTAAAAATTTTTAACTACCAAAAATAAAAATCTAATCTGGACATCATTATCTGTCTATCTTCATGGTCTTAAATTTTAAAAATAAAATATTTCTTATAATCTCCATTAGATTATACTTTATATTATTGATTTATTCATTTCCTTCAAATGATCTCACAATGCCTTTTAGATAATGGTTATCTTATATTTTTCCAATTATATCATTGGATTGAGCTAAGCCAAATAATTTTTTTGCCATTATGTGCTAATATATTATCATTTTTTAAATATTCATTATCTATATTTAATCATTATTAAAAATAAAATATTTCTTATAATCTCATAATATTTCAACTTAAACACAAATACTAATTATGTATTATACCCTGTTATATATTTTTATTATTTTACTTAATGCAGCTTCTTAGAGAGATGTGATAATTATATAATTTGTAGTTATAATATAACATTTTTGTAAAAAATAAAATCTGCTAATAGAACAAGGTACCATAGCATTATAATTAGCAACTAAGAGCAGAAAATTTGCATAACTACAAAAAATACAATGATATTACTCAATAGTTGCTGTTTTAAACTATATTGGATATCTAATTTATAATAGAAATGATATCAATTTATTTATTTTATAAGGTTATTTTAACTATATTATATACTTTGTTCAAAATTTCAAGTTATTAGTATAACATGTTTTACATATACATTATCAAAAAAACTCCAAAAATGTCATATTCTTAATTTAAAATAAAATTATTTTGAATGTTTAATTCCTCTAATAGGAAATATTATACTTTAAAAATATGATTTGATATAAAGATCAAAAATAATTTACCAATATCTTCTGACATAATGACTATTTCCTTACCAGAATTGTTATTTTAATTGATATATTTTATAAAAGGTCCGCAATTATAAAATTTAAAATTATAGATAGAACTAAACATATTTTCTATATATTTTATTATTTAATAAATTCAAATTTAATTTCAATAATAGTTTATATAATTACAAAATTTTAATCTAAAATTTAATAAAAATTTATTTATATTTATTTATATTTAAACCTTTAGTTAAAATCTATTCACAATTCTGATATTTTATATAAAAAATTAAGTAAAGTAAATTAAAATTATATATCAAAATTTAATCAATTATATAAGAAAGATATATTTAAAAAAATGAAACTAAAAGTTGGGGAGGAGGGGGATGTACGCCTACGGGTTATTTCTTAGGATTTCTAGCACCCTTTTCAAATTTTGAGGAGGAGTTTAGCCCTTTCTTCAAAAAATTTATTATTTTTTGTAGAGTATTAAATTTAAATTCTTTCTCTCTTTTATTTTGTTTATTTTTTAGTATCTGTAGTAATATTATATATTTATCTTTTGTATTATGTTTTCAGTTTATAAGTTAACATAATGAAAATTTATATGTTAAATTTCTATTAAATTGATTAATAAGATTTATTTTCTTGTTGAAATAATATATAAATGTTTTTAATATACAATTAACTTTTATCGAAAAATTATATATGTATAATGATAAATTGTGATAAACATTTTTTTTTTAAATAAATGTCTGTAATCCTTGTCTATCTATTTTTACATGGTTGAGGAGAGGGTAGTGTTGTTAATTTGCTGGGGCAAATCGGCTTGGCCGAAAACCCAGGAAGGTTTGAGCCGAAAAAAACGACCTTTAACTTGTGCCAACCCATTTAGCTATGGATCTGACCCGACCCAATTGATCTTATTTGATTCAGGTCGGCTTCCCTTTAGGTTTGCCAGATAAGTCGGCTCTCTGGGAGCAAAATATATAAAAAATTAAAATTAGTTTGTTTTAAGCCTAGTTCAAAGTATTTGATAATAAAAAGATATTCTAAAACCTCTTGTCTAGTAATTAATTGGCACTGACATTATATTTTATTCCACGAGGAAAAAAATCGTGAAGATTTTTATAAGGCCTAGTTAAATGTTTTTGTCTAATCTATGGGCTTAGTCAGCGTCTACATGGCAGAAAATTTGATGGAGGCAAACCCCTCCAAAATCTACCCATACTTACCTAAAAAAAATCCTGCAGCCTTCGGCCGCGAAATTTACAGACCTACGATGGTATAGTGATTTTATTTAAAAAATCTTATCTGCCACCATTTATAACCTTACAACATAATTCTATTTACAATCTTTCAAGCCTATTTAGGGAAAAAAAATTTAAAAATTTGTAAGTGATAATGAACTTTTATTTAAATCAATCTTTTCATAATTTGGTATTCACTTTATTTTCATAAAATATATATAAGTGAATTAAATGAGATAACATATTAATATTTCTATGAAAAAGATCTAAAATATTGTAAAAAATATAAGACGAATAAATTTAAAGAGGTATATTTAGCTTGATTCCACATAATTAAAAACATGTATTGTAAATAGAGCTATTATATAAAATATTAGAATAAAATGAATTATAGTATATTTTGCATTGAAATTATAAAATGTTAAATTAAATATACATTATTTAAAAGCCTATATATTCGCTGTGAAAAAGATACATTAATTATTTTATTAATAATTTGGATAACCTTATTGATGTTAAAGCAAATTATAATATCATCAATTGTAAATTTTTCAAAAACATCAATTTCGCTGGATATTAACAGTAAATTTTCCAAAAATGGGTCCGAAATTTTATTCCGCATTCAAGTTTTGTTAATTTTTACTTTGCTCATGGCTCTTTCGGCTGAACAGGAAGTTGTAGGAAGGGTTAATAAATATTTATATAATAAATTTAAATTTGAATAAGAATTTAATTGATTTAAAAGTCGGTATGGTAATATAAAAGAAAATTTTATCCATTTTTTTATTTTGGTCATGATTTCGCTGTTGATATTTTCTTTGGTAATTTGATCGTTTGCAATACCTTTAATTATATACAATTACAAATAAAATATCAATAAATTACTTTCATCAATATATAACGCGTCATTCTTTTTAACTTTTAAAAGATCTTCGCAAAAAATGATTGATTGAGACTCCAAATATAAAGAGCGAAAATCATTATATTCATCAACAATGTTTTGGACATCCAATTGATAAGTATTACAAATTTCGGATATTTGCCATCCTTCTATTTTTTCATTATCCATAATTCCAGCGGGAGTAAAAATGGATATCTGTGATAAAAAATTTAAACAATCATAATTAAATCGATCATTTAGGTGATTAATTATTGCATTTAGAACAGGGAAAAATATTTCCGTTCTATATCTATAATAATAAATAATAATTTAAATTTTTTTAATTTATTCAACTTGTTTTTTTTTGTTCAACATAATTATTGAATTCTGTTTGATCCAATTTGAATATTGATTTCATATTATACAAATCAGTTATTACATTATTCTTTTTCAAAAAACTATTAGATAAGGAATGTAATTTTAAAAATATATTGTCTCCATTAGCTATATTTTAAAATTATTTATAGAAATAGTAACTAATATTAACCTTTTAGTTTTTGTAATTTATTTTTTGTATGTTGTATTAATTTGGTTACCAAAGCCAAATCATTACCAACTGCCTGCATTTCAATACAAGCCTCATGTGTACATTTCAATATTTCTTTCAAAATAAAAAGACTTAATATAAAATTTTCATCTTTAATTCTTGATAATAACCCATCGGCAATGGAAGAGGTGCTTGGGTCATTAGAATCTTTTAATTCAACTAATGATGCTAAAATATGTTCATAAACATCTAAAAAGATTTCTACAGATTTGTAGGATGATGACCAATTTCTGAAAATATATAAGTTTCAAGTTTCATTAAAAATATTTTATTTACCTTGTTGTGTTTTTAATTCTTTTAAGAGATTTCTTGGACTTTCTCATTTGATATTTAACAAACACACCTTGACGTCTAACTCCATTCATAAAATTATATAACTCATCTAATATTCCCATTGCCTTTTTCATTTCAATTTTGCATCCACAAACATGAGCAACTACTAAATTTAGCCGATGTGCATGGCACCAAATATAGATGGCTTTTGGAGCCTCTTTCAATATTAAAGCCTGCATTCCTTTGTATACTCCTCTTATATTCCCTGCACCATCCATACTTTGTCCAACCAAATAATCAAGAGGAAGACCAAGATCATTAAACTTAGAAAAAACATGTTTCTTTATATTTTCCCCAGTGGTTTCTGATGTTGTAAAAACATGTATGATCCTTTCTACAGAATGTGGATGCAGATCATCTTCTATATACCGTACAAGCAAAGCTATGCATTCTTTTTTAGACACATCAGTTCCATCTAATATGATGCTATAGGCACGATTCTCTTTAATTGTGAATAATGCTTTTTGTTATTTTTATCTTAAAAATTTCAGTTATTTTTTTCACGTGGCCATATGACAGTAAATTTATATAAGGTCTCGAAATTTTATCTGATTTTTTTCTCCGCAATTTTTCGTTGTTATCCATGTATGCACGTAAAGTTGGAACCGTTTTTGCCATTAATTTTATGAGACACATAAAATTACCTTCATTCGAATTAGAACCCCAAAAGGCTATATTACATTTTATAAGGTACATAATGGCATTGATAATATTATGAACTATATTAGGATTTTCCATGATTATATCAAGCATATTTGATAGCAAATGATCTTGAATGCGTTTATTTGCAAGCCAAGTCATGTTTGCATATTCACAATCTTTATGAAGAGAAGATGCTTCGTGTCTCTCTAAGTCACGCTTTATGTTTTTCCAATTATTTACCCCATGTTGAGTCCAAAAAGTATTGGACTTAGGGCCACCAAACATAATACAATATAGACAAAAGACTTTGTCTAAAGTAGTGCTATAAGATAGCCAATTTCTGGAATTGAGGGAACCATCTATATTAACCTTTCTATAATAGGTTATATTCATGCTCCTGTTTAAAAAGTAAAAAAAAATATATTGGTATAGAAATAATGGATGGGTAAAAATTAATGAAAATAAATATTATTTAAAACCTCTTGTTAGTAACAGGATATTGAAATTTATTTGTACATGGCTGACAAGGGCCTACAGCAATTATGAAATTTATCAAAATATTTGTCATCCTAAATAATATAAAGTGAAAAGGGTCATTTGGTTCCTTTTTTTGTATAGCTGAATAAAACTTGGACTTTGAATATCCTCATAATTTATTCCCTTCAAAAGTCATTATATAAATTTTATTTAAATATAATGCCTCATGCAAAGTAAGTGCATCACTAGAACCGGGGATTGGATGAGGAGATAATACAATTTGTGAATCAATATTGGAGATTTGCTATAAATAATGAGTATAATTTGTTTACTTATGAAAATCTATTTTTAATATAATTACAGCCAAATGGTCATTTGCTACATTATAATTAAGTTAATCAATAAATGTTGGAAATATTTAAATGTCCTAATTTATTTTCTTCAAAAGTTATCATATAATTCGTATTTAAATTAAATACCTCATCATGCAAAGTAAGCGCCTCACTGGAACTGGGGATTGGATGAGAAGATAATACAATTTGTGAATCTTCAATATTGGAGATTTGCTATAAAGAGTATAACTTGTTTACTTATGAAAAACATATTTTTAATAAAATTTTAGTCAAATGGTCATTTTATTCTTAACTACATTATAATTAAGTTTTTAATAAAGGTTGGAAATATTTAATTAACCTCATAATCATAATTTATTTCTTTCAAAAGTTATCATATAATTCATATTTAAATTAAATACCTCATCATACAAAGTAAACACCTCACTGGAACTGGGGATTGGATGAGGAGATAATACAATTTGTGAATCTTCAATAACTGAGATTTTCTATAAATAAAGAGGTAATTTCTTTCCTTATGATAACTATATTTTTAATAAATTTTTAGGCAAATGATAATTTTTTTTAACTACATTATAATTAAGTTTTTAATAAATGTTTTAATTCTACATGATGATTGAGAAAACAGGTATTAAAAATATTATGAAGTCCAACATAAAGTTATCAGGTTACAATGGAAAGATGATACAAGTAATAGGTAAAGCACAAGTGAATGTAGACAAAGGGAATTCACATATTTTGAACGCAATAATCATAAACATCAATATGACTTTGTTAGATCATGTAGAAACATTTTTAAAATATACTTGAAAGATTCATAGGCATGATAGATGCAGATTAATATAAAACTGCGATCACATGAAGAAATCATAAAACAATATTATAATGACTATAAAAATAAAAACAATATTAAGTATAAATAAAATTGTGAAATTCATGATGAAAGTATATTATCTAAAGAAATTCTAATAGCTAAATAAAACAATGATAATAAACATAGCTAATATAACACATAATGTAAATAAAGGGGATGAAACTCACACAGATAACATTTTGAAAATAGTTGATTCCAAATCATATTTTATAAGATTTATATTTAAAAAAAAGTAAAAGAATTTGAAGTCTTAATTCAATTAAAGATGAAAAGATTTAAATTAAAAAATTCCTAGAAATTAACATTACCTTATTTTACTACATTATATTAACTTAATAAGTTTTTTTAATACTTTGGTTTTAAATTATTATTATTAACTTATTAAACATATTGTTAAATTGAACTTTATAAAGTATATATAGATATAAAAATAGTGTGATAAACAGTTAAAAAACATTAAATAATAATATATATAATTTATTTTCTCTATACCCTGACTACTTTAATATTAATTTTATTCTGGTAAAATTTTAAATCAGTTTCTATTAATTCACAAATTTATAGTTACAATAATAAATAAAAATATTACTTTTTGGAAGTAAGATGTTATTGTCTTTTTTTGCAACTGGGTTTCAACTCCATTTGTGATATTATATGGAATATCACAATTTAAAGATACCCAATTATTATTATCTCTTTTGATGGCTACCTTTGTAAATTTCATATCAGCTGGCTTGACATGAGGATGTTTATGTTTATAATGTTCATGTATCTTGTCACTTCTTATTTTAGAAGTTTTGCAATTTTTAATATTGCACTTAACTTTAAATATGGTTTTGTTACTTGGCATCTAGAAAGAAATAATTATTATAATATAATTTTTTACATATTATGTTTTTTATTATTCTTTGCTTGCTGATATATATTTTTATGCATGACTCAAAAAATTACCTAAAATTTATCCTGCTAAAATCTATAAATTTATTAAAAAACATAATATAAATATATTAACCTCTAAGAAAAGTACCAAATAGGAAATGTGTAAATATTAACTTGATAAAATGCTAAATGAAAATCGTTGACAAAGAAAATTTATATTATTTATTAATTGACAAATATCTTTACTTTAATTGACATTTTTCAGAAAATCAAACGATAACCATCATAATCGTATCAATTAATGGATTAAAAAAAGATTATAATTCAAATCAAAAATTACCCACCAAAAATCAATACCTACCCCCAAAAAAATAATGCCTACCCCCAAAAAATTAATATCAACCCCTTAAAATCGATACCTACCCCCAAAAATGCTAATATATTTTGGAGGCATTTGTCTCCCCCCCCCCCCGGCCATGTAGACGCTGGGCTTAGTAATAAATTTTACTTTATGAAAAAAATAAATATGAGAATTTTAAAAAAGTTTGTTTTAAGCCTAATTAAAACTTTTTAATATTTATTTACATGTTGGTCAGAGACCTTGAAGGCCCATCCTATGCCGATTTTTTTTTCTCATGGATACAAACAAACCTTGTAACCCAGATATGAGGTTATATGAGGGTGGAACTACACCCAAGCGATATATATATATATGTTTAGTAATAAATAAAGCAGAGAAAGAAGTAGAATATAAGAATAAAAAAGAAAGGCCCTTCTTCCAAAAAACTTATAAATTTTAATAATTATTTTAATTTAATAAATTTAGTTAGAAATTTGTAAATATTAAATTATTATGTAAAAATATAAAATAATGTTATTTGGATATTACTTATTTATTGGAAGGTAAATTAAAATTAATAAATAATATTATAAGAATAAATAAAAAATATGGTGGACATAGAGTAGATATTAAAAATTAATAAAAAATTTAATAATAAACATAATAATTTATAATAATGAAAAAACGTGTTTGGGAAAGTAAGTTTATGTAAAAGATAAATAAAGAGATGTAAAAAAATAGGTTAAAAGTATAATGTTCTAAATTAAAAAAACGTTTTTTTATTTTTATTTATTTTTTTTAAATATTTTTAGAAATTGGAATAACTTGTTAAAGTATGATGGTTAAAAGATAAATAAAAAATGGTGGTTGAAAGGTGACTTGATGGTACTCTTTACTAATACTAATTTACTGATTTAAATAATTTATGCCGGGTTTTTAAATCAGATCAAATACCAAATACATTTATTTTACTTTAAAATCTTTTGTTAAATTTTCAATCTGATTTTACTAATTTAAAATATAAAAAAAAATTTTTTTCACTTATATAATGTCTATTAATAAACAAAATAATAATACAAAAATAAAATATGTCAACAAAAATATCATCGATAAAATATCGCTACATATAAATATAAATAAATATAATCGATAAAATATAATAACTATTAGCCAAGCTTCGTAAAAGGATATTTGAATAAAATATAAGTTAAGAAATAGTAGTTTAATTGAATTTCGGAATTAAGAGAAAATAATTAATTTAAAAAGTAAATTAAATTAGTGTATTATTTAGTTTAATAAGAGGAGTATAATGAATTAGTATAAAAAAAAATGTATTTTAATAGTTAAGAAATTTGGAAGAAGGTAAAATAAAGTGAGTAATGAGATTATAATTATAAAGGTGTTATAAATTTAGTAATCTTATCTATTTTGAATCCATGAAATTGCCACATCAATAATACGAAATGAAATAAAGAATACAAGAATTATTTACAAATAGATAATTAAATTTCGTTTGTCATGTTGATTTCCATATCTTCTAAATATTCTATGAGGTATATTCAAATTCCAATGCCAGATTTTGAATTTTTTTTTTACTTGTAGCATTTTCATCATATGATATAATGCCTTAATCAAAGTTTTAATACTAAAAACATGTTCTAAGACCTTTGGGTATAGCAATGACATCTATAATACTTATACTGACGATTCATTCATTAAAATGCATTTTTAAGTGTCGTTAAAAGCAAATCAGGTGAACCCGCCATTTTGGTAACACATATAGTAATTTTCTCATGTTTAAAACTACTATTAAATTGATAACTTGCTTCCTTATTATCTCGATGATCCGGTAATTCTTTAATAAAGTTTGCATCAGATATAGGAATTTAGGTATTCGTTTAAAATTTTAATACTGATTAGTTTAACTAAGATGGCGTTTCCAGCTGATTTGCATTGATGTACACTTTTAATGAATGAATCGTCAGTCTAGGTATTATATATGTCATTGGGGTATAGTAATATATTGGCATTACCCTTATATTTTACTCCACGAATAAAAAAATTTATTAAAATTAAAAAAAATTTTTTTTTAGGTCTAGTTAAAGTTTTGATGCTAAAAAGATCTTCTAAAACTTTTGGGTTTAGTAATAAATTAGCACTGCCATGTTATTTTATTTTATTTTATTATATTCCATCAGGAATAAAATTATAAAATTTTTTAAGCTCTGTTTTATGCCCATTTTTTGATACCAGAAGGTTGTTCTAAAACATTTGGGTTTAGTAATAAATTGGTACTATTAAATTTTTTTTTTTTAAGCTAAGTTAAAAGTTTTTAATACTAAAATATTTTTCTAAAACCTTTGGGGATAGTAATAGATTGACATTGCCTTTATATCTAGTTATGACTGTTGAATCTTAATACATTAGAGATATAATAAAAAAAGGAATTATTTATATTTTACGAATACAAATAATGAAATTATTAGAATCGAACGTGAATAATAAAAATAATATTAACAGTCGAATTACTTTTTTATCTTTATTTGATAGAATTATTTGTATAATTTAGCAATATTCGAAATAATTTGTAAATATTCAAAATTTTTCATAAATATTTGAAATTATTTAACATGTTCTTTGCAGATTTTTTATTTTATTACTTTTTTCCGTATCTATATTTTAAATAAAAATTTTTATAGTAGAAAATAAAATTTTATTAGTTTTAAAATTAACTAATGGCTGATAAAATTCTAATAAAAATACATCTATTAAAGAAGTTTTTTGGAGCAGCAAAACTCTTAATATTGTTCTTCTCCTCAGGAAAATCAGGGGCGTCGCTAGCCCTTACAATCTCAGGGGGCTCAACTAAAAATATTTTTATGAGGGGCTTTACCCCCATACCCTCCATTTTAGGGGCCTTCGGTCCGCCTTTGTCCGACCTTTGGCTGGTGTTTATATTGATATATTATACTAATTTGTTAACTCTGAACAATTATTTTGAAATTCATATTTTGTAATGTATATTATGCATACAAAATAAACTGGCATATAAATAATTAAAACAATACAAGATATTTCTAAAAATAATATTTTTAATACAAAAATTTACAGTATAAAATACTTTCGATTGCTGATATAAAAAAAATTTGCGTCTAAAGAATTACAAGTGATAAAAAAGATTAATTATTTCATACATATGCCTCAATTGACAATGGTTTTTAAAACCACAAAATGCAATAATATAATTCCTAGCAACTTACATTGACAATGGTTTTTAAAAACCACATAATGCAATATTATAATTCTTAGCAACTTACATCGTCAAAAGTTATCAAACTAATATAACACTCTGTTACCATTTTAGACAATGTTTATAGAATGGACTAATAAGGAAAAATTTATACGCCTAAACCAAATCAATAATTATTGAAGAAGATGGTATAAACGACCAATCCAAATCATAAACCTATATATTAGTTAGAGCTTCCTTTTAGATGAAATGATGGAAGTTAGATAAGTAATCGAGAAAATTATTGTGAGATATTAAATTTATAAAAGATTATTTTCCATTTTAAATGATATATAAACAACTACACAGTTGACTATTATTGTTTATCTAATAAAATATGCAATCATTAGCTCTCAGCCGTTGTAGTAATTGTTGTAGTTTTGTTATATATTTATATATATATATATATTATGATATGTATGAAATGTCAATATTATGATATTGAAATGTCAATATTATGATATGTATGAAATGTCAATATTATGATATGTATGAAATGTCAATATTATGATATGTATGAAATGTCAATATTATGATATGTATGAAATGTCAATACTATGATATGTATGAAATGTCAATATTATGATATGTATGAAATGTCAATCAAAAGTGATCTTTTGAAGCAGTTGGGTTGTAGTTAAAATGAGATGATCTTTTATTCAAGAGTTTATACTTAATATGTTTATACTATGATTATTTATATTATGATTATGATAGTAAGATTAAAATAATTAATGTAAATAAATGTTAAATGTTTAAAATTATAGGTGTGTAAAAGTAATAATCTTAAATTTCATAGCAACACATATATTAGATGCTGTTTAATTTGCAGTAATAGCAATGACACTCACGATGTATGCTAATATCAGAATTTATTAGGTTAGATAAATTGACCTAAAATCTTTGGAAGAAATAATTATGCAAATATATTGAAGCCTGGAGTTATTTAAACTGCAATGCTATATTAGAAATGTAACATTTTCTAACTATAAAATAAGGACCAGAATGTTATGCTGAAACAATTAAGATTTTATATATTGTCGCACCACCTTGGTATATTATATCTTATCAAAAATATACTTGTATAAAAAATTTAACTCAAAACTGTTTTTCGAAAAAGAAAAAAATAGCTTTCCTAAAAACACTTGAAAAAAAGAGAAGAAAAGTAATCAAATTTATTACATCTATTTCAAAATGAATAATAAAATGTTCAATTTTTAAAATTATTAATAACTAAATAAATGGCGTTACATACTTGTAGCAATGTTACTATATTTATTATCAAAACCATTTATTAGTAAAATTTATTATAATATTAACTGTAATATATTATATAACTGTCAAATACGTCTATAAAAGTGGCATTTTATCTAATATTTTATAAACAACTGTATATAGTAGAGGATTATCAACTATATGTCTACTTACTTTTTATAAAAAATCTTATACTTATTTGGACCTTGAAAATATTTTTAGGAATAGGTATGATAATAAAATTTAAAAATAAATATACAATTGATTAGTCATTTTGAACTCGGCTAATTATTTATAATATTAAATTTGCTAATTTTCAAATAATATATGATTATATTTATTTAATAAGGTTTATATAATAAATTAAATAATAAAAGTCAATTAAACTTCAACTGTTAAGGCTAAATTAATATTTAGTGAATTATTGATATTATATTTTTAATTCAGAATTTGATTGCAAGCTGACACAGTGAAAATATAATTGTATGTATTAATCTACTTTAATAATTTAAATAGTATTCATTTAATAAAAATTTAAATAGTCTTATTAATTTCTAAATAATAAAATTATATCTATATATTACTTAATGTAATTATAAAAGAAATCATTCAGGGATGGTATATTAAGGAGCCATTAAAAAAAATAATTTGCTTCAGGGGGCTACTCAAATTTTTCAGGGGGTGCGCCTTCTCCCTAGCGACACCACTGAGGAAAATTATAGCAACGTTTGGCACATTATATATTTATAAATTATTAAACGCGAATATTAGCATAATTTAAATATTAGGTGACTTTGTTTAATTATAATAATATTTATGAGAAAAAAATTTGATGATTTTGTAAGAAATATCAAAATAAAGTGAAAGAGTATAATTCATTTAGCTCTAATGAATATAGAATTTCCTAGTGTATAATTATTTATCATATGTTTTACACCTAGTTTAGGTAAATTTATTTTTTTGCTACATTTGAAGTTATAAGAAATTAATTCTCTACCTTCGATTTTTACACATTATATTTTTCTTGAAATTTTGACCAACCTCATAATGCTTAGTGAGATGAATATCATTAATAATAATGTAAAATTTATTAAATTTTAATATCCCAAATTACCAAAATTTATATTTGTTATTTAACATTATTAATAAATAATAGACCTGTATATGTCACATTTTCTACCTTGTATCATCTGATAATTAAGTCTTACTCTAAAAATATTGTCATTGAAATTAATTTTACTGGATTTTTTGTAAATTGTTTCAAAGGAAAATTATGAGGAGCATATGAATGATTATATTATTTTTAATTAAAAAAAATTATTTATCTTTTTAACCAGCTTTGAGCCTATATTAGCCTATGTAAAATTTATTATATTTTTTTAAAATTTTTGTATATATTTCTTGTATCTCATTTTAATATAGATTATAATTATGTGCTCATATACTCATTTGATTTTTTTTAAAAATATATTTTTATATTGAAATTCTATTTTTGATTTGTTTTGTTAGATTTTTTGATTTTTATTGTTGGTTTTAAATACATTTGAATAATAAATCAAAATATGATAATGATATTATAAATAATTTATTAAACTTTAAGTTGAATTTACTAGATCAAACTAAAAAAAATATTGAACTTTAAATTTTTATTGTTAATTATTTTTATAATTGCTTTTGCCCTCTAACGTTGAAGGTCCAACAGAGCTATGCTAGGTTTTCCTCATTTTCATCTAATTGGAATTTATTATTTAGGTAAAAGTAAAAATATGAGGAGCCCTCCACATGTTTATGGGCAAGCCACACGTATTTGTACACACAACATTACAAAAATGTTACTTAAACATCTATAGGCTTTAAGAAATCAAGGCTCGATGTGGCCCGAGATTAGTCTATATAACATTATTTCTTTTTATAGGCCAAAAGGCCTAATATAACCCAGGGTTAGTATCCTTGAAAAATAGTGTTATTATAAAAACTAGCCACTATAATTATCAGAGACCTGTAGAGTTAACATGCATGGCCTGACTTAGATTTTTCAGGCTCTGTCTGAATTTTTTGAAATATATTACATTTATTCTTAATTTTTGCAGTTAATAATGGCAATTTAAAATATTCAGTTTTAAAATATATGGCCTGGCCCAACTATATAGGGAAATTTTTTTTTAGTCTCCCTGGGCTGGGGTTAGGGCCCAGCATGGCCTGCAGCTCTCTCACATAATTAGTTACATTAAAAACTGTAACAAGTTATATTTTTGAAATATAATGATAAAAGAATAAATTTATTTTTCTAGTTACTTTTTAAAATATAAATATGTTGAATTTTTCTCTTTCATTGTCCTTATATATATTTTTATGTAAAAAGATCTGTTTAAAAAGTGGGTATATCATAAAATTATTTTTCTGGCATCCCCTCCCTTTATACTCTAGCATCTTTTCCTCATTATATGATGATTGATTGATATTTCCAAATTAAAATTTTTTTTAAAAATTGAATATAATTCCTCATTTACATTAAGCATTCTTGTAGAAAGTTTATTTAGTCTATGATGGAAGCTTATTTTTGGAGAAACTAGTATGCTCTTTAGACATAAAATCTAAAAAATTTTGTTAATAAAGTTAATAAATGAGCCCATATTTTTATGAAAAAATAGATATTACATGTTTTTTTAGTGCAATTGTTGCACATATTTTTTAGTGTAATTATTAATATTGTATTTCATTTATCTCATAAATGGCAAAATTATTTTGTATAATAAAAAGTTTTGTAAAGTAAAACTTGCAATGTAAATATTTACTTTTGGAAATGTAAATAGAAGTAACTTATTGAAAATATAAGCTAACTAAGGGGTACAAGATTACCATTTAAAAAAGAATCATCTGAACCATTTTCAATTTTTCTCAACGTTTTTGTTCATATTTTTCTTCTTCTTTTATAAATTAACCCTCGAAAAGTGATCACCCCCCCCCCCCCCCCCATCAATTCCCTCACCTCCCCCCCCTTTAGTTTGGTCTCTCCAACCCAAAATCAATCCTTCTATAAATGCTTTATCAAACTCTTCTATATTGACAATGCATAAATTCTTTTCGATCATCATATGTAGGTTTTTTTATAATAATTTTTGAATGAAAACGTTTTAAATTTTAAATACAATTCTAATTCCAAATATTTACTTAATCATTTTTTTTTATGTAACACATTTTATAGAATAAAAAACAATATTCAATGTCGATGAATAGCATGCCAGATTATGACTTATTTCTAATGTGACCTTTTTTTAATAAAAAAAACTTTTACAATCGGATATGACTGCCATTTTTTAAGGATAACCTTGTCTTTAGAAATTTTTTAATGACTGGCACTTTCTAACTTTATTAGTCGTTCAGAATCATTTCTTACTTATTTGTTACCTGATATATTTTTTAACTAATCAAAGAACTTTCTTATTTTTAGAAATTTGGTCCCTCGAGATGTCAAATTTATTCCAATTTATTATTTTGCGCATATGAACTTAGTGCGCATGTGCGATTTGTTCTTATCGACTAACCGATTTATCGAATCCTCGTATGTAAATTTTTTTTCCCCTTCTACGAAATTAATTTTTTATTCTTTGGCATAACATGAATTTTTCAAGGAGTATTTTTATCACGTGATCTAAAATTTATAAGGTGTCATAAAACTATTTTCTTAAATATATTTTCATTATTAAATTGCTTGACTTTACCTAAACTATATGGGTAAGGCCTTAGGGTAGTCTTGGGGTACGGAGTGATTAAAGAATGAGGGTCATATTTCGCACAAATTCAGCCTTTCTGTTTTGCTCTGTAAACGCTCCCCTTGGTTTAAATTGAGGTGGCCTTTTTATTAATATCATCGATTCAAAATTTTAAGTAACTTCTAAAAAAAAGAATTTGTCTTCGAAAATTATATTATCGTCTGCCCTTTTATGAATTTTTTTAAAATAAAATATTCCATTCTAAGGTACAAGTAAGTTTATTTTTTTTAAAACATTTTATATAATATTACAAAAATGAAGAATTAAAAAGTAGTGAAAAAAAAAGCAAGTCTTACGTTTTTCCTTTAAAAGGCATGCGCTTCGGCGTTAGGCCGTAACGCGAGGCTCAAACGGTCAACCTTTTGACCAATTTGCACGATGCCATTTTAGATCCATTATTTGCTTTTGAAAAGCTTATTGTGCTCACTATAAGGCCTGAGCCGACCAATCGTTGTATTTTGATAGGCCGGCCGCAATTCATTTATTCATAAATTTTTATATGCGAATCTGTTCCATTTGCCTATAATCCTTCATTTCTTAAACTTTGTATATCGTGTTTTTATGCGACCAATTTGGGTGGGGGGTGATTAGAACCACATAAGCTGCACTTCCTATCAGGGTTCCTTCTTGAGAGAACAGCTGATACCCATCTCTATAGTTCAGATCTAGTTTAAATCCTTCAAATCTAATATCATATACTTATATAATGAATAATAATAGCCACCTAAATATCGCCCTTCCTTCTCGACCCTTTTATTTTCATGTAATTTAAATCACCTCTAATAACTGACATTCGATCAAATTAGTTGACACGGAACTTTACATCCGAACTATTTTTTGTAGGAAATAAATATTTAAATTTTTAACTTTTTTTTGCTAATATTTAAAAATAAAATATAACCTATTTGAAATAGAAAATACTTTTGCGATTCACAATTCATGAAGATATTTTTTTTTCAAATTGCCACTCATGGGGGGGGATTTCTCTCCCTTTCCCCCTTGCTGGCACCCTAAAACCCTTTTATATTTTTCCAAACCTCTTTATAATGATTCTGCCTATATTTCAATGACATATAATAATACCTAAACTGACGATATATATTCATTAAAAGTGTACATCAATGAAAAACAGCTGGGGACGCCATTTTGATTACCCATTCTTTTTAAAATAACATATTTTTAAATAACACCAATCTGGATCATAAAATTAGGATAAAAAAAAAATTAGAAAATATTTAGTATTTTTAATATGAGAATAATGCTATATGGGTTATCAAAATGGCCGGTCCAGCTGATTTGCATTCAACGACGCTTTCAAATATATTATTATTAATTCATCGTCAGTCTAGGTATACGACATTACTATATCTATATTTTAAAAATTGTGTTTTTTCTTCTTCTGACATTCTCCCTTCATTTTTAAAAATTGATTTTGATATTCCCTTCATCTTTAAAAATTGACAAATCAAATATACTTTCATCGATATAATTTTCAAATTTTTTTTTTTTTCATTTACATTTCATTTTATTTTTTTATTTAAAAATAAATAAATATAATTTTAGAAAGAATAAAAAATAATAACAATCCACATTTGGGGGTTCATGTGACACATATATTATTCTTATTTTTTTTTCATTCACAAAACACAATTTGCTACCCCCCCCCCCTTCCCCTCCCTATCCACTAAATTCATAAATATTTTAAAAAATAAAATAAAATATATTTTTAATTGTTAAAATGTTATTTATTTTTTAATAAATAGATTAAATATAAATCAATAATTTATGATGATGACATTAATTTCTATTCGTGATGAGATATTAGATAAGTTTTGCTAATTAAATCATCTTCATAAACTTATTTTTAATTTTAAATATTGTAATACAAGATCTTTAAATATTTTAATTTTTATATTTAAAAATTAATTAATTTATGTAACGCGGTTTGAACTCAATTTTTTTTTAAGATAAAAAGATCCCTCGACAAATATTGCAGATAGAAATCCTGAAATCCCTATTTCCCAACCTCATAGGATTTTCCATCCTATGTTTATCATTCTATTTCAATTTTTTTTATTTTTTATTATTATATTGCACCTTTAAGGGTTGGCATTTAAATATAAGATACTATTTAGGGGGAGAAAAAAAAATTTAAAAAGATATAAAATACATATTTTTAGATACTAAAGTATCTTGTATCTTTAAATTCAAATTACAACGATACTTCTCAGAGTATATCTTATAATTATTTTTTTTGTAAGGACCAAAGGCAAAATGGAGTTTTAAGATGAATTTTTTTGTATCGTTTAAATACAAGATACTATTTAGGGAGAGAGAAAAAATTCAAAAAGATACAAAATATATATTTTAAGATACTACAAAAGATCTTGTATCTGTAAATACAAATTACAACGATACTGCTCATAGTATATCTTATAATTATTTTTTGTAAGGACCAAACACAAAATGGAGTTTTAAGGTTGAATTTTTTTTTTCGTAATTACAATTTTGCGACCTAAGCAAGAAAATTAAAAATTATTTTTGTAATAGTAAAAAAAATTTTTTTATTAAAGATAATAATAATAAATATTTAACTACTTAAAGTTTTGAAATCAATGCCCTTTATCGAATTAAATAACTCCAAATAAATTATCTCCCCTCTTCTTTAGTATCTATTTATTTTTTTAAAAAATTTAAAAGTTTTTTAATTTTTTTACAACTATTTATTTTTATTTTTTTTGGCCAATTATCACCATTATTTATATTAAGTAAAAAATTTTTTATCTTTTATTACCATTTTCACTTTAACAAATTATTAGATCAATAAGGCATTAAACTAATAAAAAAATAAAAGTAAGAACGAAAATTGGAGGGAAACTAGAACAATTTTTTTAAAAATAAGATTCTTCCCTGGAAACTAGTTTGGTGAAAGTTTATTTTGCAGATACTAAACCAAATTTTTTTACAGATACAAAAATGGCTTCAAATTTTGGTATTAGATTAATAAGGCATTAAACTAATAAAAAAATAAAAGTAAGAACGCAAGAAAGAAATTGGTAGGAAGCAAGAACAATGTTATTTTTATAAAATTCTTTCCTGACAACTAGTTTGGTGAAAGTTACCTTCAGCGCGTGGCAGATCCTACCAAGTTTTTTACAGATACAAAATGGTCTCAAATTTGGATAAGGGATCCCATAATTTGGCTAGGGGTGACCCTAAGATTTTTTTTCGTTAACTGATTCAAAAAAAAATCCCTATTTCTTATTGGTTTAATTATAATTTCCTCCCGGTGTGAGCCCGGGGCGCTTAAGGGATTATGTTTTTAGTTTGATCTTGTTAACATGAGTATGTATAGATTAGAGAACCCAAAGTCCGATTCATATTTTCCGCCAGTAGTAAGGGCGGACGGGTGGGCTGATAAACGTCCGTTTCGGATCTCTAATATACAGACATACAAATAAATCGCATTTTTAAAAATAAAATGTGTTTTTTTTTCTTCTTCAAAATGATAAATATTTTATATACAAATAAAATTATAATATAAGAAGCGAAGAATTTTAATTATAGAAAGAAATTTATAATTTTATTTTTTTATTATATTATATAATATGAAAAATAACTTAATTTTTATACTTTTATATATAAAAAATAAAAACTATCTTTTTATAAAAAAGACGTTAAAGAGAAGAAATTACTTTTTTATTTAAATAGCATCTTTTATTTAAACATATTATTATTATTATTAAATAAAAATCCCCCCCCCCCCCCACTCCCTTCTTCGACCAAATTTTTATATATTTTATTTTTATAGAAATTGATTTCGAAATTCGATATTCGCGAAAAAGTATAGTAAAAAAAAACAGTTTTATATTAATCGCGTTTTATTCGGGCGGAGATGGAAACGAACTCTAGACGGGAATTCAAATCCCAAATACCCATTTCGGATTCGGGAATTCCTAACAAAGCCTTCCGTAAGTATGCATACATTGTAAAAGTTATCCGTAGGCTGACTATTCGTATTCATTCGTTAAACGCATTTTGTAAAGCGTCGTTTAATACAAAGCAGCTGACGACGAGCTATTTTAGTTTCCCCGTGCGATGATAAATAATTTTTTTAATATAAATATATTTACGCGGGAAACCGGTATAGCGTGTCACCAGCTGATCAATATCGATTAAACACATTTAAATGAATTAGTCATTAAGTGTAGTTAAGTTATAATTAATAATTAAGCACACAAATAATAATATTATTTTTTTTCCTCGAGGCACTTTTTTAAAAACTTAAATTGAAACCAAGAAATCCCGAAATCATAACTCCCAAAGCCGAGATCACGCCCTAGATTCATTTACCTTTTAATCCTCAATTATATTCTAAATGGCTATCTGGACACCATTTTTACTGCTTTTTGAATGACAGATTTTTAAATTAGGTGACGCGCTTAAAAGTGCACATAATCCTATTTTAAAAAAAAATTCCTATACAGAAACGTGGAAGAAGGGAACGAGTCATGATGCAATATAGCATTTTTGACTTGCAACGTGTCATTTAAAACTCGGTATCATTTCCGGCTTTAATTAAATCTATTTTAAATAATAAAATGGGTATTACAAGTTTGAAATGTGATACACATAAGTTCTAAGAAAAAAAAACTTGATATACGCCGAACATGATTCATTTTTTTATGCTAAACGAGTTAGACCCACGTCATCCGTGTTCGAAGCGTATAATGGTATGAGATAGTAAAACTTTAATCGAGCATTATACATAATACCGTTTTTTAAATATCAATTTTTTTTTATCCTCCGCTTTTTTTACTAGTTATAAATTGACTACCCAAACGCTCGTAATAGCTTCGCGTAAATCTAGGAATGTTCAACTAATTGGATAAGATACATTTAAAATTTATAAAAAAAGTATCTGAAGTATAGGAATAGGAATTGAGGTTAGAAAGATACGTGTTAGGGTTAATATAATGCTTGAAGAGATAATGGGTTAAGTGTTAAGTGCATTGTTAAATCACCTAATATTGACCATCTTTATTATGGCTTAATCAAGCTTCTAGAGCCTCTAAGTTGAGTCTCAACTTGAAGACCGAAACCAATATTTTTTGGAATAAAAACATGGCTGCGCTGTTTTATAGTCAGACTAAAGTTAGGTAGTTTTAACAACACGATATTATTTATTGATTTTTAATATTAGAAAGAATTTAATCATTTTAATAATTAACTTTGTTTCTAAATCTGACAAGGGGCATTTGATTATATCTAGACTAATAGAAATTTAAATGAATCAGCTGTTTTGACGGCAATTTCCTTGAGTCGGACCATAATCCAAACGTTCTGTTATGACCGTAGCCTTAAGATGCATTTTATTTTTAAATGTTATTTAGACACTCTTTCTTAAATTTATCGTCGTAAATGTGGAAGAAAATGGCTACATTCTGAATTGGTGCCAATCATCACTCCCCCCCCTCCCTTCCCCCATTTATTATTCTTTTTTTTTTATCGCCGAGACATTTTTTTTAAAATAATTAGTTCTAATTTATTTTTTGACGACAAACGATAACATGTGACTCGTTTTGCATAAACCATAAAATTAATTAGCGACAAATTATTTAAAACCGTTTTATAATTTAAATGGCCTTGAATTGAAAAAAAGATACTTTTGTTTTTTATAAATGAATTTTAAATAATTTGAAAAAGAATTATAATATTTTTTTTTTTAAAAAAAGTATTATTTTTCGTGGTGATGTAAAAAGTTTATGAAATCCCGCTTATAAAATCGGGAACTGCACTGAAATCACCTTCTTAGCTGATGCCGATGGGGCCATTCCGCGTAAAATCGAAAGTGTTCCGTGATCGTGGACATCTTTCAAATCAAATAAATGTCACTTTTGCGCAAGTTGTTAAGTATGTTTGTGTGGGAGGTTTTTATAGATTAAAAATTTTTTTTTAAAAAAAAAACTCGAATTTACGTATAAATTATACACTTAATTGAAATATAAATATATTTACAAAATTTCAAAATATTTAAACGCTTAGCCGATATTTAAAAACCATCACTGAAAATGAGAAAAACAATGGAAAATTAAAGAAATAAATTTTCGTAAATATCAAATATAGGCCACTGCCATTTAAAAACTTTTTCGAGTAATCTTTATTTTTTTTGAGCGTTGTGCCAAATATAAGCTTGACACCATTTTTTTTTAACAATACCCAACACGATGGCTACCACTTTTCAGTGCACGTACGTTGGCTACATCAAACTTTATACTGACAACTTTCTATACATAGCCTGAGTATGTGCCTTGACTAAAGTGGTGGTTCTCCTTGTACTAGTTCATCCTTTAAAAGGACTAAGAACGAGATCTAAATCCTGTTATAAAGGTCCTACGCCGTCTCGTCTTATTGCATAATTACAGATGTTAAATATCAATATATCTAACCATTTTTTTAACAATACCCAACACGATGGCTGCCACTTTTCAGTGCACATACGTTGGCTACATCAAACTTTATACTGACAACTTTCTATACATAGCCTGAGTATGTGCCTTGACTAAAGTGGTGGTTCTCCTTGTACTAGTTCATCCTTTAAAAGGACTAAGAACGAGATCTAAATCCTGTTATAAAGGTCCTACGCCGTCTCGTCTTATTGCATAATTACGGATGTTAAATATCAATATATCTAACCATGTTTTTGTTATGCATTTATGTTTTAATTGTTTCAAGTATCTCAGCAAGTATGGATACTACTTTATTAGAGAAAAGCTAGACATAGTAAGGTGGATGTGACCGCTTGCCATAATATGGGACGTCTGGGCCTATACATACACTTAGCTGGATACACGAATATTCTGCGCACAAACTGTCTGCGATAGGAGTTAAGGGGCATTTGATATCCATACGTTGAAATACTAATCTGTCCCAGCATAGCAAAGGGAAATGACCATTGTCACTCTTAATCCTTATTTACTCCTATGTGCCAAGTATTTAACTCTGCTACTAAGGTCAACTGGTACAAGGAGAATCACCACACTGGCACAGGTAATTATTCAAACTATATACAGAAATTTATAAGCACCAAGGTTAATTGAGCAAATGCACGTGCGCTATTAGGTGTCAGACATCATGTTGAGCACTGGGCATTGACCAGGGCGGTATTTGCATAGCTTCATCTCACAAACGTAAATGTGGCAATGTTAGTTGTTGGAGTAAAAGTGGATCCAAGGTTGAGGGCTTTGGTTAAACATTGTGCATTATCAGTAACCTGGCTGGTACCTCTCGGCACTTTACAGCATACTCTGAAGTTTAAGCGTGTGCTCAGTTATGTAACTATTGCCCTGTGCCTGGGGTTGGCCGACTTCTAAAATTAATCCAATCCCTGTACGACCATTATTGTAGGGTAGCCTACCACATTGGTAATGAACACATGTTTGAAAGTCATTTCCCGATACAGAAACAAGTTCGCTGAACTAAGACATTTAGTAAGGCATTTATTGGGTCTGTCACACTTATGAGGACTTCTAATCTAATAATATGTTTCAAAAAGCAGATGGAATTCAGCGGACTAAATGATTTAATAATTATAAATTTAAAAATATACATCAAAACATTTTTTTTTAAAAAGATACCAAATATAGGCCTCTTAGTATTTTTTTTTAATAAAAATTCGAATTATCTTTATTTTTTACTTGATTGGCCAAAAAGAAATAAGACGCCATTTATTATCTTTTGAACCCTGACCGAAACTAATAAATTAAAATTAATTGTCACTATTCCTTCTCAACATTCTTGACAGCTATGCAACATGTCATTCTGATCTAAAAAATGCCCACAAAAAATAGGCCCTTTTTTTTATCGATTTGTACCGGAATAACCCACTACCAAAACCGATACTAACAGGTATCGACCGATATCGTAAATAATCTGGTTATCTCTACTCATGAAAAAAAAACATTTCCCGCTTTAAGATTTCTTAATTTTAGTGACATATTTACCACGAGGAATCATATACTTTATTCTATATTATAATGGGATTCTTTACTTTAAAAATAATTAATTAAACACCACGGGGAAGGGAGGGTAATCCGTATAACTTGCACTGTGATTTTTAAAGTTTGTTCTTCGTTAACATAAATATTTCAATTTTTTTTAAAAATCTGTTTATAAAAAACATATAATGTCTACAATGGTAAAATAAAACATATTGTGTGTTGATATAGGGAAAAAGAAAGAAGAAAATACATTTGTTTTTGGTCTGGAAATATAAGATTTTTTTTTCTCTTAATTATGAAGATAACTAACTGTGAGCGCCAATGAAAAAAAAAGAAAGAAAGAAAAATAAATAATACATGGATTGAATGGAAAGAAGAAATGGAAAACAAATAAATATCAAATCTCTAATTTAATTTTGTATTTTTATTTATTTTTTTTAAAAAAAGAAGCTCTATCAGAGTCTGCGCGGAAAGCGGGTTTGATAAAACCTAGAGCTGACGCTTACGCCGAAGAAGTACTAGGTCATCTACCAGGTTTCCAATTTTTTTTAATTTATATTCATTTCATGGTAACAGGCCCTCAAATTGCCAAAACTTTTAACTCTGGCACGATTGGAATTTAGCTTTTGTCCGGTCCGGTTTAAAATCCGGAAATATATCCTCGAAAAAAATAATAACCAAGGATTATGAGAATTTGAGGTTTCACGATTTTCTTATTGTAACGGTAAACACGGAATGTAGGAAAAGGAAAGAAAAGAGAAATCCTATTTTAAGAATGAATGATCATAGTAGCCGGTCATTTAATCTTCAAAATTTTTTAGAATAAAAATTTTTTTCCTTCTATGGAAAAATTTCCGGGCGTTACCCGCCCTAGCCCAGGGTATTGCGAATCTCCATTTAATAACAGTTTAACAACTCTACCGCTACATTTTATGAGCATGACCAAAGTTTTTAGCAGATTTGTATACCTTGTTTACGGCAAAACTGTTTAAATTATTCTGGGTAGTTTTTAACGGTTTTGCATTGACTCTAGTTTTCACGCTTCTCGCGCCCATCATTTCCCTTCTCCATAAAATTGTAATACGTGGAACGCATAATCGTTTCCTTTAGTTTACTTAGTTACTAACCAATCGAATTCATCTTTTCTTTTCTAAAACGAATTCGATATTTAGACGTCGGTTTTCCTTCCGGTTAATAATCAAACGGATAACTTAGACCGAATTCGTTTACGTGTCGTCTTTTTTAAAACATATTCGATATTTAAACGTCAGTTTTCCTTCCGGCTAAAAATCAAAAAGATAACTTTAGGTCAAATTCGTTTATATGTCGTATGAGTATAGAGGAATTCGCCAAGGGTAGAAAGTATAAATAATTTATTGCGCGCGTATGGATTTTTTAAAAAATTTTAAATGACTTATTTTGCCGCGATCGCGTTCTATGACGTGTACATTAGTCCCCGCCTTTCCTACGAATTTCGCGGTGAAATATTAGATCAAGATTATTTTAAATGAATCTTTCCAATATATCTTTGCAGAGTTTGAAATACTCTTCAATATAAAAAATAACTCTTCTTCAAAGATTTTGATCTCTGAAAATTTTTATTTTGAGAATTTTAACCTAGAATTCCAAAATTTTTTATAAGCAATTTTTCACGATTTTTATGCATAAAAAATCTTTCATGATGAAATCAAACTTAAAAGATTTTTTTTACCCTAGGTACTGCTATACTCTACTCTTGGTGGAATACAATCCCGTTTAAATCAGATCTTCAAATATTTTAAAAAAAATGATATTCCAAGCTATAAATTATTTAATATTTTAAAAAATACCTCTATGCCCTGATTCCTCTTCACTCTTAAAGACATATAGTTTACCGACGGTATTATTTCGACCAAATAAATCTCAGCATATCCATATGCCTGACACAAAAATGAAATAATAATTTAATTTCTTAATCCCCTCTCCACCCCTCTCGCGATTCTCGTTTCGTTTTAAGATACACTCTGTGGACCCCTCACCGCGGATACTTCTCGTAATATTTCGTATCCTGTTTTCGACAACGCGAATAACGTCACCGCCGACAAAATATATCGCCAAGACGGTGGTGCTTACGAAGGTTACGCTAAAGCAAAGGATATCAGATTGGGCATTAGAATATGGTTCAAAATACCATTGCGAGCTCTTAGCATCGAGGGAGACGCCAACGCAACTATGGACGACGTGTTTTTCAGTGGACGGGTTAGTTTCGTTAATAAATGTGGCATTATTTTATATAATTCGGAGTTCGAAACCCGGGTTTAAAAGGATTTCGGTTTTCGAGAGCGGTCCCGTTTCCGGTTCTTAGATTCAAGGGTCATCTCATAAATCTGATATACGATTATTCTCTAAAGTATCTTTTCCGCAAAACCTGCTTTGGCCACCCATTTTCAAGCCCTACCTTAAGTTTTTTTTAAAAAAATTTGGTTATTTAGACTCCAGTTCTGGGTTCAAAGGGTTCAGTCCTAGTTCATAAAAACTGTTTATAAGATTTCTAATTATTTTTAGTTGGGTCTTTAGACTTATGCTCATAATTTTAGATTTCCCCTCTTCCCCCAATCTTTCTATTCGAAAATTATAAATGGATTTTTTTTCACCCCCTTCTTAATTAAAAGGTTCAGTACATGGGTTTGATGGGCAAAACGGATGCCTCATTCAGAGTAGGCGTAGTTTTAGACTCACTGAACACATCGGCGACTCAACAAGAAAAATCCCTTTACCAACGTTGCCTATCCTTCGGTTCCGATGGCACCTATATCCCGCGTAATATAAAAACGCATCGTAAGTTTCTTTTTTTTTCTATTCAAATTTTTTTTTTTGAAAAAAAAAATCATATTTATTATATTCTATTCAAATTTTTAATGGAAACAAATAGCGAATCATTCAATTAATAATCGTTTTCCCGCCAGCAGCGTAACGCCTAACCACAACAACATAAGCAGCAACAATCGCAAATATTTCGATTGCGAACATGGCCGCGGCTTTTACCTCAAAGAGAACGAGTGCTACCAAAAGTCGGCGGCGAATCGCCACGACCAACAAGATAATTCTAGTAATAGCGGTAATCCCAGTATCATCTCTAAAAACGCCGCGAGTCAAGACGAATCGAATGACGACATATCCTCTTCCCTATCCTCCTTTTCCTCCCTAAACCTGAAAAGTCCCGGGTCCCAGTTTTCCCCGCTGCCGTCCCCCTCGAACGAATTTATCGATAACGGTAACAACACCTCTCCCCAATACCCCAATAATGCTCAAAACTATAAGCAAATCAATGCCAATAATTCTGATCGTTCATTCGACGAGGCTCCGAGAGAGGAGCTGAGAATCGGAGATAGGGTGGCCATCAAAAATAGCGATCCCGTGGCGAAATTACTAGATAAATCAAACCTTTTTGCCAATAATAGCCATCACCCTAATAATCCATCCAATTATAGTAGCATGGCGAGCGATCTGAATACCCTGAGCGATAGCGTAGTCAACTTGACCGAAACCGGGGAGGGGAGAAATATGAAAGCCGGGATCGTAAGATACATAGGCCCCATAGATGTTTCTCCCGGATGTTGGGTGGGCGTGGAGCTCGACCTAAACTTGGGAAAGAACGATGGGAGAGTTAAGAATAAAAGGTTTGATCTTTTTTTTTTAAAAAATAAGTAAATTTCTTTCCTTTTTCATTCATAATATTGTGATCCATTTTTGGAACTATGATACTTAATAAAACATGACTAATCATCACCCACCCCCAGGAAAACAGAAAAAAAGAAATAAAGACAAGGGAAGTGGAGAAGGGTTTATCATCAAAGATATTAAATAAGTTAGAATGGGAAAGTCTCCCTAGGTTTTCAAACTGTTAGAAATGGATAGTGTTGTTAAACGGCTAACTCAATATTTTAGACAGATGCCTAAGCCTCGAGATTTCGATAATATATGCCTAGAACTTTGTTCCTTCTATGAGCAAAATCTTCAGGCTTGCGTAATATTTTTCCGGATGAAATATTGAGTTAGCCGTTTTAAAAAATCGGCTCAAAACGAGCCGTTTAACAACACTAGTTATGGGGAAAAAAACACTCCCTTACCATTTTTATATGGATTCAGATAAAATGTCAATCATATATTAATTTAAAGAAATAAATGTAAGCTATAATTACGGCAAAATTTATGGTTCAATCTGGCATATTTATTGGCACTGAACTTACCGCCAATGACCGCAACATTGGAAATAATCTCATCGGGATTGGTTCTTTTGTGCTGGGCGCACTTTCGCTCATCTAGACATCTTTTCGCTAATATTTTTTGAAAATTGGAAGGAGGCCCTCTTCCTTAAAATCCCCCAGGAACATTGGGATTTAGAAAAATGTTTTACGTATTTTAGGAAACACTTATTATTACCCAAGCTTAGTTCTGCATTTTCTATTATTGTACATATTTTAGGAGAGCAAAATACTATAATATAATATGCAATAATTCTCCCCATATATTGTATTTCACATAGGTACTTCAAATGCAAACCCAACTATGGTATTTTCGTGAAACTCGAGAAAGTGGTCAAACTTCCCCAGGATAACAGCAATATCTACCACAAAATTTCCGATAACTTCAATACTTTCCGCAACGACCTCGTTTTAAACCGTAGGACCACGATCACCGGAGCCTGTCTTACCGCCGGGAACAGGAACAGGTTTTACAACTCGACATTGCATTTGGCGCGCATGGGCAGTCAGGAATCCCTAGCGAGCGAAGCCTCATTCATGAGTTTGAATCCGTCAAACGTACGCAAAACGCCTTCCTCATCGTCCGTCATCAATAACGCGCGCCATAGAATTTCGATGAGCCAAAAAAGTAATTTAACCAAGCGATATAAATGTTCTTTTGGGATCGCTAGAAAATTTCTGTCATATATTACTTTTTAAAAATTTATTTCCTTTCAGTAAGGAATATAGTTTAGTAATGGCTAAAAATAGGCAAATTTGGCTGAAACTACAGCAGAGTTGTTAGAGATATACAGAATTAAAAATGTTTTATCTGTATCCTGTCTATACATAAATCTGTACAAATGTATCGGTATCGCGATATATTTTAATTTGTTTTTTTCCAATTGTAAACACGTTTTAGTTAACACAATTTATGACGAAAATACGATTAATGGCAATAAACAATCTTTATATACTACAAAATTTTTTAATGATTGATATTAGCGATTACCGGAAGTTGAAGAATGTTTTCAAATACTTTCTCACTTCTCTTTATCATTAGGAACTCAAATTTTATTAATACGCAAGCAGGATGGTATAACATAACATTCTCATTTTTTTATAAAAAAAAACAAACATATATTTTAAGATCCAATGTACGATAACATGGCTACTAAAGGTAAGGACGATTATGCCTCTACACTAATGATGTTGCGAATGGAACTGGATAAATGCTTGAAGTGTTCGGAAGGTCAAAAAGTCGAAATAAATCGCCTCACAACTCTTATGAAAGAAGTATATTAACGACACCATTGCAAAATTAATTTCTTTTATAAATCGATTAAATCCCGCCATTTTATAAATTGTTTTAAAAAAATTCCAGTCTTATCCCTGGCGTACTTAAGCGGGCTCCGCTTTACCCGATCTCTTTAATTAAAAAAATCTTTTAAACGTATAACCCGACCTGCTTGAGGGTCGGACTCAACTTAGAATCCTATTGTAAGTAATTATATCTGTTTATGAGATTTTATAGTTCGTCATTTTAGTATTGGGTTCTAAATTTCACTTGTATCTGGTTTACAATATGATGGAGCTTGGCGCCACCTTCAGGCCCAGTTCGATCCGACGATTATTTTTTCAAAGATCCAATTCCGACAAAATTCAGGGAATTATTATTTGGAGACTGAGGGAAAAAAAAGGAAAGAAAGATTTTTTTAAGGAAACGGAATTTATTTTTATAGTTAAAATTAGAAAAATTAGCCGAGGTATTAATCTGGCCCGATCGGTCAGGAAAAATATCGGATCGATCTATCCGGGTTGGATTTGTTAGCTATCCAGGTCTGATAAGACATCCATGCTAGGTTCTACAGTTTGTTTCGAAAATACAAAGGTTTTGGTGGGTAGAGGCATGGATGCACAATATTTATCGAAATATTATATAATTATAAGATACAGATACTATTTAAAATTTGTATTTTAATTATTTTTTTTTCAAATAGCTAGAAAAGATATAAGATTCATTACTATAAAAAACACAAAATTAATGCCTGAACTAAAGACATTCAAGCAGGGGGAAGGGGGTATAGTCTTTTTAAAATATTCTAGTGATGTGAAGAACATCTTTCATGCGGGATTGGCACTCACGAGAATTTTTGCAAAAGACATAAGTGCTAAAGGGACCGGGGCAGGGTTGGATCCAAATTTTCCAACAATTTTGAATTTTCTGACCCCGAACCCGTAAATAACACATTTCCCAACACGTCACGATGCCTGATTATTTATTTTTTTTTATAAAAAAAGAAAAGTGAACAATTCGATTGCTTGAACCAAGATTACGTAAATTTTAAACAGAACAGCGAAGAAAAAATTTCGTTCCTTCATTCCCAAATCGAGGATTTTGAGAAGCAAAACGATGATTTGGAAAACAAATTCAAGGAAGAACAACAGTACGATTATTATTATTATATCTTTTGGCGCTACGTTCTTTTACTTTTTGTAACTTGTATTTCGGCATAACTGTCAAATGTATTTATGATGCACAAAATGTATGAGTTGGAACAGTTATTCTGGATTTATGATGGGATTTCGTTCCGAAACGATTTAACAGCTGATAAAATTTTTCTAAATCTACTTGAGATCAATTTTTTATTTATCTGACATTACTCTTTATTTTTAACAGGGCTTCGAACTGTTAAGTATAACAGTTCTGTTCATTTCGGGTTTTAGCTAAAAATGTTATAAAGGTTTTGTTCCATTTCCGGTTTTTATAAATTTGGGTTTTTTTTAAAAAATAAAATAAATTATACTCGATTTCGCGCTTCAAAATATTCTAGGGTTTTGCGGAGATGACAAAATTTTTTTTTTGACCAATTTAGTCACAATATAGAATTAGCTGTCGCGAGAATTCCTGCTTTTGTCTCGTGACTTTGCTTAAATTAAAAGCTTGTTACAAGGCAACAACCGTTTCAAAAAATTCGATTGAGTATATTATATCCTCCAAAATGAAAATGATTTTTTTTTTCGATTTCTTTTGGCAAAATCTGCGCTAGCCGTTATAGCGAATTCTAAAAAAACCGAACTGGTGGGACCACTTTAAAACAGTTAAATTCTTAAATATGTCGATCGTAGCTTGAGTGGCCACTTTTTTGAACCGAGCCATTATAAAACTATTCGGGTTCGGTCAATATAAATTTGATGTTCTTCATAAGAAACCCTTACAAAACAAACGGGGTTTGGCTTATGTTCATAGCCCAAATTTTTCTCTCATTCTTTTTTTTTTTTGGTTTTTCGTTTTCGGTTACTTTTAAATTGATTTAAAATATTATATTATAAAATTGTAAGGAAACGCGAAGAGGCAGAATTTCAATTGGAAGAGATGTCAATCATGAAAGACGAGAACAATCAAAATGAAAAGTGTGCATCAAAATCCGATTCGATGGGCGTTAATAACACGGGCGAAGTTATCAGCGAGGAAGTGTTCGTGGATTTAGAGGAGGATTTGATATTGAACGAAAACATTCGGGAAAAAGGTTAGCAAAATTTTTGTTTATGAAAATAAAAGTGTTTACAAAATCTAAAAAAAAAACAGAGCGGAAGCATGACCATTTTTTAAAAAAAAATAGCGCATCCGGTTTCTATTTAGAAGCATATTCATGATAAATCTACTTAAAATAAATTATCATACCTTAGAAAAGCAATCACATTTTTTTTTCACGGATTACGACTTAGTCTGCGATCACAGTTAGCGCGAATTCGCGATGAAAAATTCGAAAATACGAGCGTATTTTTTATAATTCGCCGCGAATTCGAGCTTTCTATAAATGAGGAATTCGGCAGTATTCTAGGTGGACGCGTTTAACGGCTGATCGAGTTTAAAAAATCTTTTAATTGAAATTATTCGTCAAGATTGAGATTAAAGATAATAGTAATATGTAAAAAAAAATTGATTCTATAAAAATATTAACAGTCCTGATTAGCTGTTAAAAGAATGACATTATGATTGCGGACTTATATAGTGGCCATTTTTCGTCCATTTATTTATTAGCAGTTTAGAGACTAGTCGGGGTTCGGTTGATTTAAGTATCCAGAAATTTCTTACAGATTTTATAACTTCCTGTAAATCATATTTATGCCATTTTTTTTCTCCTCCAGATGAAAAAATACAAACACTTTACACCGAGAATGATTCATTGAAATCGAAGATTGAAAGTATGAAATTATGATTTTATTTTGGATATAATTTTAAACCTCCCTCCCTCCTTCTCTTACCATGACAAATGTATTTCTAAAAAAAAATATTTTATTGTAGAACTGGAGAACGATTGGATTGAACTCAATAATGAAAGACAATCTTTAATGTTAGCCAACTATGATTTGGTAAAAAACAAATTTAAAATTGGAATTTTTTTTAAAAAAATAATAAGAAAGGAAAAAGGTGGAAAATGAAAAAACTAAATAATTAAATAATAAAAGACAGAAGTTATAAATAAATGTTTACAGATGAATCTAATATCTAGACCTGAATAGCCTAAAATCACAGATTACCTTTTTTTTTGGTTTTTAAAATTCTATTTTACTATAATAAGAAACTAATTTAATAGCACAAACAACATGACTTATTGTCTCGACTGTCCTCTCATATGAAAAACTAACGAAATACTATTGTATAAGCCCGAAAAACACATATAATTTTATTTATTAGTTATTTTAAACCTATTAAATATCATTTGTTCACTTTAGTAGACCCATTTCTAACCTATTTTATAGGGTCTATAATAACCTATTTAATCTCATTTTTCAACTTAATTAATGTGAATTTTAACCTAATTTTTCTTATATATATATATATTACATCTAATAATATAAAATGGTGGTTCCTTCCTTTTTTTCGTATTCTAACACAGGTTTGGGCTAAGTGTTGCGAAAACGCCTTATTTGGCCGGGTTTGAACCTACCCAAAACCCGAAATTAGTTTAAGATACTTAACCTAAGGAATGGTTAACCTTAAAGGAAGCCGAGAAAATAAATCAATACTTGCTCTCTTAAGACATCTGATTGTTTTCCAGCACAAATCCTCAAGATTGATAGGATCTTAATTCGCATTTGCTACATTATAGGTGTATAAAACAAACATTTTTTTTTTGCCAAATTTAAGCAAAAGGCTATGAATTCCCAAAAAAGCGCAAACGTCTCGAACGATTTGGAACAAAGAAATACTGAACTCGTTGCTATTGTTGAAAATATGCGGAAGGGTATAGAGAAATTGAATGAGGAAATCCTCGAAAAAAATACGAAAATGATTGAAATGGTATTATTATAAATTTTTTTTTTTGAATAATTTCACAATTCCAAAAACAAGACAAAAAAAAGAGAAAAAGATGATTCTAGGCAACATTTTTATTGCGCATGCTCTAACACAAAAATAAAATTGTTTAGGCCAATTAGAAAATCTCTGGATTTTCGACTTAATCTAAATAAGTTCCCTACTTCTATTGGATCCCCATTTTCCCTGCCTATTTTTTTTTATTGGTTCTTCTAATCCCCCTCATGCCTACCAGAGTAACCTATTTATAATAATGAAAAAAAAATACCGATTTTATTTTATGATCATTTCCATTTTTTTGACATTTTAAAAATATATTCACCTTAAAAGGCCTTACTATTAAGCTGTAAATAAGAAATATTAAATGATTGATGATGCCTCTAGATAAATTTATATCCAAAGATATCTAAAATTAAAGAGACGACGGACATTTGCCCAAAACACCTCATTTTTTTTCGACCTTAAGAGGAGGCACCCATATCTCACCCGCTGTTGAGTTGGAAGCTAAAAAAATATTTTTATAGGATCTTACGAAATTGGGTTGAAACTCATGGTGCTGATTTGTCATGGAAATTCACCCTTGGAGCAGCTGGTAATGATCCAAATATTTTGAGCTTCTCTCAACACGCTTTCTTCCCTATACAATTTCCACAGCTTTAAAAAATGTTTTGATACCGAATCCAATGAAATCATTTTCGAATCTTTCATGCTTTTTTTAATTATACTTCTTATTTGTAACATTGTGAACTGCAAGGAAAAGGTGTGCTTTTTGCAGGTCAAAGAAATAAACGAACAAAAAGAGGAACTAGCCAACAAATGCCTGAAGGCACAGGCTAACATCGATTTATGTCATCAGAACTTCACGGAACTGGAGGGAAAATGCCATATATACGAAAAGAAAATCGAAGTTTAATACATTTTTTTTTAAAATTATTTATTATGCATCTATTAGAAATCGGCTCAAATAGGCCCCCATAATTTGTTTTCCCTATAAAAATATTTTTACGCATGTGTTCCGCCTTACTCAAAATTTTATAAAACCGGGCTGATCTCAAATACGTATAAATTCGTGTGTTTATAACGTTCCTAAACGTCACTCGATATCACGCTTTACAACGGTATCGCATAAAGTCATGATTCACCCAAAATCCTACCTCCGGTCTTTACGTCGTGGTTGGGGGGGGGGGGAGGTGGAAACGTCTCCAGCTAGCTAATAGATGTTTAAAATGTTCTCCATGTTCTGGGATGGATACGGATCAAGGCCATCTAAATCGAGTTTGGTGTCAGAAAGGGAAAGAAAATTGGGTGATATCAAATGCGACTTTTATCTGCAGGGTATACGTGAAAGGGGTCCATGGGAGGGGTGGGGGGTTACCCGGGTAAACCTGCAAAACCGCTATTAATAAACGGTGAAAGAAAGAAAAAAAGAAGAAGTGGATATCATATAGGAGAAAAATATATAATATTTGCCAGCCCATCCCTTTACGAATCTTCTGGTGCAAAAATATTTAAGATTCGATAGAATTTCAAAATGGCAGAGTGACCAATTAGTGGGTTTTCTTCAAATTATTTCGTTTAGTAATGAGTTAAATATGTAGAAATCAGGGACTTTTAAAAGAAAGTAAAAAAAGAAATCAGAATTATTAGAAGGAGGCAGGGGAAAAATGTGAAGGGATAAATCAATGATCGTAATAAAAAGAAAATGGAATAATATTATTTATTTTTTAAATTTACGTTTCCGCCAAGGCGAACAACGCGGATTCCAATCGTAGATACGAGGAATTAAAGAGCCAACTCTTCGAGGAGATGCAAGTAAAATTAAATTTGGAAGCTCAGAAGCTTAAGCGAGACAGGAGTGAAGAAAATCGTGCCTACCAAGATAAAATAAAGCAGCTCGAAGCCATTAACGCTGAAACTCTGGAGAAATTTGTATCTACTTCTCAAAAAGTGAGAAATTTTATGACATTTTTTTGATTTCTAATCTAATTTCTCTCATTTTTTCCCATCAAATACTGTCATTTTTTAATGTGTCAATTTGCAATATCATAAGGTGTCCACAACATTACTCTTAAATTGTAAGATAATACTATAAATTTTTTATTTCTAAAAAAAGGACATTATGACAAAAAATATGTTAAAATAAACTTTGAAATGCAATTTTTGAATAATCATTATTATGCACGATAACAAGACTTGTAGAAATTTATTAATATGTACTATGTATACATAATTCTTTCTTTGTATTAACCTATTGCCTATAAATATTTTTAATCAATTTAGTTTGGTATAACATCTGGTCCTAGTAGCCATATAAGTTTCTACGGATCTTTCCTTTTTCCTTGTCATCCTTAGTTTCCAGCGTTACTTTTAGAAATTTAAATAAATAAAAATGGGCAAAGTAAGTATCTATGATTGTTGCCAACTTACTAATTTTAGTTTGATATTAAAATAAAAAATAGGCACTTAGTCAAATTAATATATTTTTTTTGAATTTTATTATGTTTAAAAAAAATATAAATCCAATTATATTGGTTTTTCCATAGGGATGGAAAAAAAACAAAGTATTTTTCGTGTTTTTTATTTACATCCCTTGATTGAATAATCGAGCATATCCCCTCATGAATTATTGATTCTCTTTTCACTCTTAGAAACCATCATGGTTTTTAATTTTTAAACTCCTCGAATTTATACAGTAAAAACACCTTTTTTTTAAGAAAATATTGATTGAATATTTCAAATTTTTTAAAACTTTTATACAGATGGAAAGACTTGATCAAAATTACCAGATGAAAGATAAGGAGCTACAAGATTTCTTCTCTATTAATGCTGGTTTAAACGAAGAAATCGAGAGGATTCAAAGAGAATTGTAAAATTATTATTTATTTTTAAAATTATACAAAAAAAAATGAATATAAATGAATATTTCTAAAGCTAAATTTTATTAGTTAAATTTTTGTCCGTTGAAATGCTTCACGAATTGCGTGGGCTATATCTTTAGTACCAGTAAAGAAAGACGGAAAGAAAGATAGTGGATAAATAGATAGATAGATATCTAGATAGCTACTATATAAACTCTTTAAATAATACATTGTCATCTTATTAAAATATTTCCTTTTATTTATAGAATGTACCTTAAAAATTACTTATTTAGAGAAAGAACGGAAGGACTGTTTTTCTCTCTTAATGAAGAAAAGACTGAAAGAGATTCGGAACTTGATGACTTGAAGGCTACGATCGTAAATAAATTTCATAATTATTGTTTTACTTGTAAATTTTAAATTATCGGTCGATCGTCTAGAGGGACTTCAATTTTTTTAAAGGCTTAATCATTGAGATAAATTCGATTTTTGGTTTAGTTTTCGTAAAAAGAAATAAAATATTTTCATTTTAAAAAAATTAAATGATTAGGATAAGCAAGAATCGATGATTCAAGCTTTGCGTTCGACGAACGAAAAATTAAGCGAAAAGGACATTTTAACCAAGGAAAATTCGAAAGATGCCGACCTAAACGGATTTTCTGATTCGTTCAAAGAAGACATCGATAACTTGAACATGGACAGCGCGATGGGTAAAAAATATATTTTATTTTTCCTTTATATACTTCTCGATCAATTTAATTTTGAGAAAGAAAGAGAGGAAAAAAAAACTATACAAATGTTGTAAAATATTAACCAATTTAGCTCAGAAAATTGTATTTTGCAACTCTGTGTTATTTTTTAAAATTTCATAATGAAAAGTTCTAACATATTATCCTCGTTGTAATTCCTATTATAACTGGTGTCGGCAAATAATTATTTATATTTAATTTTTAAAAAAACAGTAACACATTTTTAAGCTTGGGTCTGGTATGAATGGGCAGGGATAGTTTATATTAATTATGGGCTAAGACCTGATGTTGACTAAGGTTTTTTCACCAAAAATACAAAAATAAATATAATGCTAAAATTTTCACAATTTTTTTAAATTCATATAGAAAATGATACTATTTATCTGAAGATTTTTGTAATTTATTTTTTTTTAAATGTAAGACTAAAATATTTATTCAATATGTGTCTATTTACCGACCTCTTATACACATTTTTATAAAAAATATAAAGCCTTTGAAATTCTATTTCCTTTTTTTAAAAAATTAAATTTTTTGTTATATCGTATGAAGGAGATTTCAAGAATTTAGCGGCATCCTTAATTCCCGAGAATTACGATACCATACACAAACAATGCAACCTAAAAGTAAACCAAATCAGATATATTCCAATTATCCGTTGTCGATATCCGCCCAAATCATGGGCCGGTTACCAAAATATTTAAACCGATATTCGACCCGGTATGCGGTAATATAGGGATATCGGTAAAAATGTAGTATCAATTGGTTATTTGAATAATTTTTTATCGTCGTTATTCCTTCTCGTGGTTGTTATTCGATGAAAGAAAATTTTGACTACTAGAAAGTATCATTGTTGGTATGAAAGAGCCCCTCACCCCGGATTCACGGTTAGCTCGAAATCGCGGCGAAGTGAGCAAAATTGTCAAAATTAGAAAGGGCAAATGTTGTCAAAAATACTATCGCCGCGAATTCGCACTTGCGAATGCCGACTCGGAATGGCGACAATCCGACCAATTTCCTCTCTCACTTAGTTAAAGCCGGAACCATTTTTTTTTGAAAATGGCGGACCGGACACGAAAAAATAGTTTCTGTATAGCGTTTTTTCTTGAAGGTGAATCATTCCAAAAAATAATTTGTGATAACGATGTATCTTTTTACAGTTATCAGGAAATTTAGGGCATCGCTTTCGATATAATTTAAAATGCTAATTCACCACCATTTTATTTTTTTTTACAGCAAGAATTCCTGAATGCTGTCATCATTGGCATGAACGAACAACTGGGCCGGCTTAACGTCAGACTCGATGAAATGAAGATGCTGACCGAAGAATCTAACACACGTCTCAATAATGGTGATCGGGATTCGAAAATTTATTTAAAATCTAACTCTTCGGATGAAGATGGATATGAGTTATTTTTTTTAAATGATTAATAATATGTTTTAAAAAAAAGAGTTATATGAAAAGAAAGAAAGAAACCAACAAAAGAAGAGAAATAAAAAATGAAAAGAAAGCTAAAAATTTACTTAAATAGTGTAAAGAATAACTTTATTTTAAAGATTCGTATCCCCGCCAAGATCCCCTTCCAAACGCGATAAATTACTATCTGACGAGTCGAATACTTCTAACAAAAAACACCGTATCAAATTATTTGCCGATTCTGCCGAGCTCTTGTTTAACAAAAGTTTAACGGCGGCCGCTAAAAAGGTTAAAGCCGACGCCTTAGCCAAGAGACCTTATTGCGACGAATGTCAAATATTCGATTCTCACGAGACGGCACATTGCCAATACACTAGCGCTGCCGAAAACGGTCGCTTAGATGATCCAATATTCGTGGATGGCGTTCGTAACAAACAATCTCCTAAATCAAAAGGAGATTTATGGGATTTCAAAGGAGTGCTAGCTAAGGTTAAGGGGATCAACGGACATTCAAATTCTCCCGAAAGTTGCGATAAAATCTCGATAAATGGCAAAGTTGTCCGCAATGGTTCCTGCGATCATTCCCCTACAAAGAAACGCGGTACAGATACGGTTAAAAATGGCAAAGGCATGAAAGGTCTCAAGGGAATGTGGAGAGGCAGTATCGACCGACCTTATTGCGAAGATTGTGAAGGTTCGATTGATTGAAATGCGGGAAATATTCTGGATTTGATTTATATTAGTATGGTATTCGTAGAGATCTTTTCTTGCCCCGGTTCGGCCGTAATTTAAATTAGTGGGCCGGTCCGAATCTGATAATCATTGGACAATCTTTATACAATAAATTAGAATTCGATATTTAATTAAAAATCGGAATTTGCCAGGGATTTTATTTTCCGAGTGGATCGAACACAAAAAATTTTTCTCGGACCGAGCTGAACCCGCAAAAATAAAACAAGACCGACAGCTCCCACTTATAATATGTGCCAATCTGTATTGTTGCGACTTTTAAAGCGCTTTCACCGATAACAAAAAAAAAATAGGAGTTTACAATTATCACTTTTAGCATCGTAAGCGGTGTATATGCAGCTGTAAAGGATTGAGCTGGGTCGAATTCTAGACCTAACATTAAGTTTTCAAGAAGATACCAATAGTAAGCGGTTGGCATCGTTTAGGTCGATTAGTGAACGCGTTAAGGCTTATATCTTGTAACCCCACGTCTCAAAAAGTAATTTAGTAATTTTTTAAAAAGAAAATTCGCAAAAAGTTGGATCTGCTTGGTTACGTGTAATTGAAAATTATTGGCTTATAGCATAGAACCGGATCTGGCTCTATCCGGCTTTGAGTGGACCGGACTTGGAAGAACAGGCCTTGCCCGACCCTATCCAACTTGGAGTAGGGCCATACTGGGATTCGAATATAAATTTATATTGCTTATATAATAAATGCTGCCTTATAAAAAAAAAATCCCATATATTTTATATTTTATTCATTCTAGAGTTCGATCATGAGCCCTGTTCAAATCCTTGATACAATAAAATAGAAAACTTTGTTTTTTTAAAAAAAACACACAATTACATTTATTATTAACTTTTCCATCCAATTAAAATATTTTTTTTTTTAAAAAAATGTATTTATTTTTATATATATATAGCATTCCAAATTCCAAATTGTGTGTGTTTTTTATAATATAAAAAGAAGAAAAAAAACTTTATATTTATATCTTATTAATATTTCATCGAGGTATGTAAAATATTATATAAAATAGTAACTTTAAATAATTATGAAATTAAAATTCATATCTTTATAATGATTTATTTTATTTATTTTTTTATTATATTTAAAGGTAAATTTTATGTTTATTTTTGATGTATTTTGAAAACGAAATATTTGACCTCTTAGTTTTCTATGCATATTTTAATCAATATTTCATGACGCAAAATTGTAATATAATATTTTGACATATTAATTTTTTTAAAAAATTAAAATAGATTTATTTAAATTATTTATTTTGGGTTACTATAAAATAAATAAGAAATTTATTTATCTTTTTTTTTTTACAAATATTGTAAATATTTATTATATAAAAATACATTTTGAAGATTTTTTTTTTGAACTATATGAATGAATGTACGATGACAATGACGTGACTTTAAATTATGTTTAAATAAAAATTATCTTACCTAAAATTGATTTGTAAATCAGACCTGCGAACCAGGAGTTAATGACGTGCATATGCACAATTAGATTGGCGTAGGAGTCAGTTGCATCACCATCATGGTGCGAACAGCTGATTTATAATGTATGGACACCTTTAATTAACGAATCGCTAAATACATATTTCCCCGGAATGGGTTTATAAAATGGTATAATTTAAAATAGCTGGGCTAGGCTTAATAATCCGAGCCGGCCATTTTTAAAAAATAAATAAACTCGTCACGAGTTGGAAAATTATATAATAGACCACAGCATTGATTTACTTATATAAATTATCTCTAAATAGTTTTTTCCCATTAAATGTGGATAACAATGTAGTTGGATTTTATCCCTTGTTTCAGTTGATTTATAAAATAGGGGCCTGAGGTTGCTGTAATGAAATTTACTTGTTCCTATCACTGATGAGGATCAAACTTTTGTTTTTATTTAATCTTTCTTTCTATATTTTTTTAAAATCATTTCAATATTCATTGTTTAACAAATGTTTACCGAGTAAATATCTTGAAGGCAATATAAATGCAGGTTTTAACCATTGAAGCAATTTCTTTCTAATACTACACATTGAGTTATTAAAAATGGGGCAATTTGACCTGAAGACCGTTGTTGCGAACATCTAATTTACTTAGCTTTTCAAATGATGCACTTTGCTGTTGTATTGCATTTCTTGGAATTAATTAATTTGATTCAGCTCAATTTGTCCTATACTAATTTAATCTAAATTTTCGTATATTATATTAAAATATTTTATCTGTATTAATTACAAAAATATTTAGCTAGGGTAATTAATTAAGGTATATATTTTTTTAAATTTTAATATCCAAAATTGCAAATTAATTACGACGAGTTATTGTGTTGTAAAATTTTATAACAAAAAAATTAAGAAATTTAGATACATCTCAAGGAAATTACCGTCGCCTCATTAAAATTTGTTATTAATTAGTCTGTTTACAATCGCATGACCTATCAGATTTATATTGTTTTAAAAAAAGATGAACTATCCTTACCTAATTCACATCTCTCAAACCTTTAATTAAACATCAACTAGTGTTGTTAAAAACGGCTAACTCAATATTTTAGTCAGAAAAATATTGCCTAATTCTCAAGATTTCGATAATATATGTATAGACCTTTGTTCCTTCTGTGAGCAAAATCTTCGGGCTTGGGTAATATTTTTGTGGATGAAGTATGAAGTTAGCCGTTTATAAAAATCGGCTCAAAATAAGCCGTTTAACAACACTACCATCAACCATATCACATATCTCCCACTTATCCTATTCCTCAGTTATTACATATTATAGGTTATTTCTCTGTTATTAAAAAGATTTTCTTCAGATTATCGAGAATGAATAACAGTGTTTGTTTGCATACAAAAACAGAACCACTTATGAAATATGAAAATAAAAAAACACATAAAAATTGGTGAAAACTAAAGAAAATTTCCTATTTCTCTTGTTACGTTTCTGTGATATAGCTAGCGATTAATTTCAACATTGCCTGAGAAAATCGCGCCTGCTCTAAATGCAGCAGTATGCCGTTTTGCGAGGTAACCATAAGTTTAAATAAAATATTTAGGGGAAAGTATTTAAAAATCTTATTTCCTTCACTTGAAACTGTTGTTCTTTACGTAGGTTTTTCCATTTATTTTAATTATTATGGATGATAATTTTGGGAATTTTATAATTTTTTTTTTGAAAAATATAGAATTACATCCAATCTGAATTTTCCTTTAATATTTTGAATTTACAAACTCATACATTTATGCCATTGCCTTTTTCTTAACCCACATTTTGTCAAAACAAAATCATTGAGATATTGTTTTTACGTGATTTGTGAACTCTTCAACTTCTATTAAAAATTCATACAGAAACTCCTACTATGAGCGGGTAGGGTATGATGCTAGATCATCAAAATAGAAGGGGGAATAGTATGGGTGGGGGGGGGGGGGGTATAAATAAATGTTAAGATAGGTAGAGGGGGTAGATTATTTAAAATTTCCTTAATTTTTCTTTAAGGTATAAGTATGAGGGCAAGAGTCAGGGTAAAGGGCAGGAGGCAACATTCTCCATAGCCTAAGGGATGTAAAAATTCCCGGATGTTTTGCTTGTTTAGATCGCATCAGCTTCTTCGAGTTGTTTTACTATTTTTAAAATTTTTCAGAGTCTTGGGCCGATATTGTCAAAAAAAGTAACATATATAATTTTTGAAAAACTCCTGCATATAAATCGGCTATTTACTTAAACTTAAAAATAATCACCAAATTTATCCTTATGATAATCTCTGGCTAATACTGGCTTTTTTTTCTCTGTCATTTATTCATTTTTATTTCGTTTAAATGAATAAATATAACTATTTTCTTTTGGACAAGGCAGAAAAAATTAACAGACAAGGCTAGGCAAAAAATTTATGGTCATTGGAATTCTGGTATTTGGTGGAAGAGATAATCTAATCATTAATTTAACCCCTCCCCAATATTATAATAGTAAATTTTATATCGAGTTAGGTTTTGTATTTAAAAAAACGAGCTAAAACGATATAGCAAAGAATTTAGCCGAGCCGAGTACAACTTAAGCGGGAGGCCAGGTCGGACTAAACCTAAATTCCAACCGCGTGAGCCGGCCCTAGAAATTTTGCCGATTATAGCTTTAAAATGTAAAATTCACTTTTTATGAGCCATTTCTTCTAAGTTTCAATTAAAAATATAGTTTGATTATTTGTCCGCCTTCAACCGGAACCAAGGCATATCGCCAGAGTGGTTGAAGTAGAATAAATGCTCAAAATATGCTGACAAATCATATTTTTAATTTTAATATTAAAATTGTAAAGAAATAAAAAAAAATATATTCATTCTTTGAAATATGATACAAATGGCATGCATTTAGGTAAGTTAATATGAAATCATATCATATACTAATATATATATTATCTATGGTGACTGAAGATGTTCAAGAAAATTTTGCAATGTTAGCTTTAAATGAAGTTAATGATAAATAACTTTTTTTTATATAAATAATGTTTATATATACATCATAAATAATATTGTTTGTTTTTATTTGTAGTTTGATAGTTATTTTTTAAAATATATTTAATGTATATATTAGTGATCTGCATCGGGCCTAATTTTTCAAGCCCGGCCAGGCCCGACCTCGGAATTTTTTTGAAAAATTTACCGGCCCAGCCCGAACCCGAAATATTTTTTGAAAAAATTTACCGGCCCGGCCCGAACCCGAATTTTATTTTGAAAAATTTACCGGCCCGGCGAATTTATTTATATATATAAATTAATTTTTATAATTACTCAAAATAAACGATATACGTTTTATGGCGTCTAGTTTTTATAAATAAAATCAAACATTTTTATTTTACATAAAATATTCAACATAAAATTGATAAATTTAGATATATTTTAAAAAAATTTAAGCGGGCCTACTTTTGTAGATCTCTAGTATATATATATTTGTAGTTGCCTAAGAATACCTCTGAAAAATAAGGGAGGTTGTTCTAGGTATATTAGTTTTCGTGTTATATTATTAATATTATTTCGATATTATTGTTAATTTAGGGAATAAAAGATTTAATAAAATTTGTGTGGTGATAATTTTTTAATCCTTTGGGTAATTCTTGTGAAAGTTAATCGCAAAAGTTGTTAATTGTAAAAAATATCTTTTATATGTAACTACTTCCTTGTCACAATCTCGTATAATTGTAACATATTTGTTGAAAGATTTAAGGGAGACTAGATAAAATTTCCAAGGCAAATTACCGAGATTATTATATATCTAAAAATAAAAATGAAACTTTTAATAATTTGTAAAAATTATAAGAAAAAAAAGACTATTATAATTGATTAATTCAACAACGATTCTTACGACTTTATTCAAGAGAGATTTCTCTGAATTTAAACCATAAAATTTCCAAACCAAAAACTGTTTTTTATTTTATAAATCGTTTGCGTATTTATATAAATTTTTTAATATGCAAAAAAAAAATTAAAAGTAAATCAAAGTTCGTGATATAATAATATATTCAAACAACCTAAATATTCAAAATATATCTACTAAATATTAAATTATAATCGTCGAAAAACTCTATTTAACTAACACCATATTCAAAAATAAAATAATTATTTAACGACATAATTCTTGTTCAAATATTTAAATTACAGAGTAATTATTTAAATCGTTGAATAATGATCTTAATACGAATCATATTACGCAGAGTTGTTAACGCTCCTTTTTAGAAGTAGCTAGCTCCCGCTCCCGCCCCCGCTCCTACCTTCTCAAAAGTAGCTAGCTCCCGCTCCCGCTACTACATTTTTAAAAGGAGCTAGCTCCCGCTCCAAGTAATGGAGTGCCACTTCATAACCGCTCCTTTGATTTTCATTTTTTTAGAAGGTATACGAATTTTCTAAAATAGAATCTAATAAACATCCAAGCCTCTCCCTTAAGACGTCTATCGCAATATTAAATAGGCGCTCCACAGGAGCACTAGAGGGAAGCAGGGTAATATTTTTTAATTCAGGGAATTTATCAAAAATAGT